TGAGCTGGGTGATACAGGTGAACTTGGGATCCCTACCTCATAGCTCACTATGCTCGCCTATGAGATGGCCTGGTCATTACAATAAGCCATGGGCTATTGTCATGGAAAGGAACAGCAGGGAGCCTTGGGCTCACATAGTCACCCTTTCCTTCCCTGTTCTATAGATTACAAACTTTCACTTCTGCGTCCTTGATTTTTACTGGCAGTTAACTCTGTTGGCCAAACTGAACAAACCTTGATTGATCTTAAATACTATTTGAGAGCATGGGACTTCAAAGCAATCCGATTAAGCCAGAGTTTTCCCTAAATGGAAAAATGACAAAACTGAGGCTGTCATAATTTGGCTTCATCAAAAGACTCACAGGAAAAGACCATCATGCTAGGGAAAGTCAAAGACAGAAGAAAAGGAACATTAAGTATGAGATGGACTGCCTGCATAAAGCAAGTCACAACCTTGAAATTACAAGAGTTCAGCAGGGCTATCATGGATAGGACCTACTGGAGGGCTTTCATTCATAGGATCACCAGAAGTCAGAGATGACCTAATGACACAGAACAAGCAGTTTCAAAGCGTGGGCAACAAAGTGATATGCAAAATGGCTCTGTCTTGTTTAAGGATGAGTTTAGACAATAGTGTACAATTCCCCACAAAAATATGCTGACAAAAATGAGTGTGTACATGCTACCATTTTCTCAGTGTATTGTAACCTGATTGGGTTGCAAAAACTGAGTACTTCTCAGCACCGATGTGGATATTCTGGAAAGTGTTAATTGGAACAATTTTCCAGATTTAAGCTAATCCAAGTAGGATTAGCTTGAAAGCAAAATTTCCACTTTTCAATGTTCTGATGTCCTGAGAGATCTAATTTAGCATTTTTATTATGCTTGTAATTAGTAAATAAAGCTTTAACAACTACTCCTTTTTATCTTTTTGCCCCACTACGCATGCCCTAAATATTTAAGAAAAAAATTAAAGCACTCTCAATATGTTTCAAATGTTCTATTAAGTAGATTTCTTATTGGACTATTGTAAATTTTTTAAAGAACAGCATGCACTTCATTTACACTGTTTAAATTTAAGAAAGAATTGAAGGTGTTGAAAATTGTTGACAAACTAATTAATTTTACCATTCCAAAGTTCAACTCTCTCCCATTAAGGTTGTTTGGGGCACCTGTACTTTTGCTATCACTATTTATTAGTTCTATTCGTTTTTATACCTTTATGTATTTTAACAAGTATGAATTCTCTCATATACATGCTAAGGATAATCACAACCCCCCCCCCCCCAAATTAATTACAACTTTGAAATTGTCAAGCTTTTTTAAAACTGTATTTGAAATAGCCATTCATTCATTTTTACCAATAGACTTAAGAAAGGGGAGATATTCCACAGAAAAATAAAATACTGGGAATTTTCTACCCCATACCACTGCTGCCTGGTGAAATTTAGGAGCACTTAACTCTCTCTGAATCAGTGGAACTGTAATATCTCATAGATTCTATTCATTATTTGCTTCTACTGTGCACACAATGGACATAGATTAAACTGCATTACACCAAGTCAAAGCATTAGCCCATCCAGTCTTTTGTTTTTCCTGACTGAAAATAGCTCTCCGGGATCCTAGGCAGAGAGCTTGCCCATCACCTGCTACTTGATTGTATTAAATGGAGAAGACAAGAATCAAACCAGGGGCCTTCTACATGCAAAGCATTGAGATACTACCTATCTCCCTATAACATGTGAATCAAGTGAGGCTGTGCAAGTCTTGGATCAGTGACTAGACTTGGTGATGGGTTGAATGAGGGCCAATACACTGAAGCCGAATTGGCTAGGGCTAGGTAGAAGCCCTGTAAGCAAGTGGTCCCCAAATCCAGGAGACAGGTTCATTATCTGTTTTAGATGGGGTTACACCTCTTTTGAAAGGAGGTATTCCTACAGGGTACTCCTGTTCCTGTAGCCCATGGCAGCTTGGAGTGCCTTTTCCAGTTTCTCTGCCTCATGCTTCTTCTAGAAAAGGATCACTTGGCTGCAGTGATACAGACATTAGCAAGACTGGATTAATGCAATGCGTTATGTGGGGCTGTCCGTAAGGCTAGTCCAGAAGCTGAAGCTAGTGTAGCATGCTGCAGCAGCTTGGTTGTTGCCAGAAAGTGCCCTTACTCAGCATCTTCTGTTGAATAAGCTGCACTGGCTGCTTATTTACTACCAGGCCAGGTCCCAGGTTTTGCTTGTACCCTGGAACCAGGACACCTGAGAGGGATACTTCTCCCTTATAAACCTGCCCAATCAGTGAGGCTATCGGATGGTGCACTCCTCATGGTTCTGCATGCACATGGCCTGATTTGGAGTTCACTCAGAAAAGACTGTCAGTATGGCGGCCTACTTTCCATGGAACCCCTGACTCTGGAGGCCAAATAGGCACCAACATTGTTGTTTTCAGCATCAAGAAGTCTTCACTGAATGACCAGCCACAGTTTTTATTGTTTTTAAAAGCAACAAATTTTAATATGGTGCTTTGTAACAATCTTTTGTTATTCACCACTCTGGAACCTGTTTAGATATAGGGTGGTTATATAACTGCTATAAATAAAAATATCAACAACTGTAATAAACTGAATGGCCCTGTGTTAACTTTGCTTGGCTAAGTTTTCTGAACAGCCCAGAACTGTTTCAATTTCATTTTGAAGTGTGGCATTCATTGCTGACTATTTTAGTGCAAACTAAACCACTTTAAACTAGTTGAAAATGCATTCAAAGGTCTGCTTACTGTAACAGGACAGACTGGTTGCCTTTCTCCTTTGAATGCTTCTACCTGAAAACAATTTCCCTGAAGTAAAAATAGTCTTGGTGATTCAAATAACAACACAAGTATACAGAGACAGGGTGATATAATGGTTGAAGTTGGTCTGGATGGGGAGAAAAGCATTTAAATGACCATTCTCCCATGAAACTCACTGGAACCCTTTGGCTCAGTCACTCTCTCTCTAGAATACCCTCAGGGGTATTGTGAAGATTAAAAAAGGGACAGTACAAGGAGATTAGAAGAGGAAAAACAGTAGTGGAACACCAGAAACACTTAAACAAGCCTATTTGTTTTATTCCAAGCCAACTAGATATAGGGGCAGTTTACCTGCATCAACAAGCCACCATTTTTAAAATTACCCATGGTATTTGCCACTGCAGCCATGCAAGACACTGTGATGGTGTGCTGTGTCTTGTCACGGCATGTGAACTCAGCCCACCATGTGTTGTTGGCATGGTTAACAAACCATCTACAACTCTAACATTTTAGGGTTGTGGGTGGTTTATGGATCATGCCAACAACCCAGCCTAGCCAGCTTCACAGACAGCAAACCTTACAGCAGTACACCTTTTTAAAATGTTGGTTGGTGCAAAGCAACAAGCCCTGTGGGTAAGTTAACCCGCAGTGGCTTGACCTTACATGAAACTAGGTAATCTATCTGCTCAACATTTGTCTTAAACAAGCAGAGATGGGACACTACTGCCCACCAGCAATTTGTTAGAGTGCTTTCCCTGCAGATTGACATGTGGATGAGCCAATTCTCTCTGTCTTTGATGGACATTCTTTTAAGGACAATTACCTTCTACCTTAGAAAACTCTATAGCATAGAAGCAAAAGAATCCCCAATGAATCGTCTCTCTCTGCTGGCATAAGCAAACAATTGTCTAAAGGAGTGGTGTGGTGAATAGGGGTGTCTTAGTTATTAGTAATCCTACACTCAGGACAATTGGTAGGTATTATAAAAATACAGAGGTTTTATCACTGAGAGTTAAGCAAAGCTACAGCCCCTACGCATGTGTATTTCTATCCATTAAAGATGCATTAAAACGTGGCTTCAACTGTTTTTATGATAACGTAGTTTCTCTGCCTTGAGTGACAGGATTTCTATCATGAACTGTGACCATTGCAAGTACACCAGCACAAAACAGTTTGGAACATCGACAGCCAGCCATTATTAATTACACTGAGCTTTAGAACAGTATATTCTCTCTCCATTGCATGTCACAGATGTTTCACATTACATCCAACTCTTAACAAGACTGGTTAAGGGTACTCCCAAAGTCTGCATTTTCACCGCACAGCCTTCTCCACAAACCATGTTTAGTGGTTACATTTGCGCTGACCACCAGTTTAGGCAGAGTAGTCCTTCCTAGTTTTTGCTCATTGAATTAATCATATTAGATTAGGCCAGAGCTAGGTAGAATGCTTGTACCAGACTAGCCAGATTTAATGGAACTTTCAGGCTCCATATCTTTGAGGTCCCATTCAGTCATATGATTTTATAGGCATAGAAGGGATGTATCACATACCTGCAATCAAATAGGTTCAAAAGCAGGAATGGGCAAACAAAGCCTATGCACTCTTGTTCACATTTAGAGAAGCATGGCTTTAAAAAGTATTGCTATAATACAGAATGAAATTTAAAAAGTGGTGTCAAAAAGTTGAAGATCAGAAACCAAGGAATAATCTGCTTCCTAACTCATGATCCTACAACCACACAACCTATCCTAATGCTAAAGCTCTGTAAATACATGAAATTGCCTTACACAGCCTAACACTACTAGTACTGGCTGGCTGTGCATCAGACAACAAAGAGTAGTAGTGACAGGCACTCTTTCCCATCATGCTACACAAGATGCTTTTTGATGGAGACTGAAAGTGTGGCCTTCTGATTATGGATTCAACAACTGAGCATCAGGTCCATATAACATCACGAGTATTCCAAACCATGAGTGGGTTCATAAGTGATATGCAAATTGCTTAACACACATTCAGTTTATACCATTCTCTGCTAGCTGATTCTTTACCTGATAGTAATTTTCAACATGATCTGCACTGCTGAACAAGGACAATATTGAAGGCATGGTTTTATATGAGCTAGTTAAGCACAAGATGTAAACTCTGCCAGAGAAAAATTTACAGCCCCAAGATTTGTCACCACCACCACTTCCCCTTCCTTGGTTAAATGTACTTACTTCAAAAAATATCTCTGGCCAGACGGTGTCTTTGCCATCTCCCAACCTGGTGGCAGGGGCACATCATCAGGGATTTCAAAAGATGACTGACGGAGATGCTGAGAAGAAGGTGTAGCTCCAGGAACAACACCGGAAGGGGTAAGTGCCCCTGGAGAAACTGTTCCCAACTGCAGCGAGGCTGGAGAGGAGTGAGCACGGACATGCTGAGGAGTCAGGGCTCCTGCTGTCCCTGCATCTGTGCTGGCCTGCAAAGGATTAAGCAATTCCTTAAGATGTAGCGAGATACTCACCGCATGTTAAATAACCACCCCTCTTCAACCTGAGAATGGTGAAAACCTGAATCACTGCTGCTCTCAACCGAAGTGAGTATTAGACTGGTATCGCATTAACAAAGAATTTAATGTTAGTTAAAAATAAGGGTTTTTTTCAAATCCATGTTTATGTGCAGGATTGCAACTGGCCTAATTTTTTTAAAGCAGCAATTCTTCTATGTGAATATGTATCTTAAAAGCTTTCAGGCAACCCTAGTTTTTTTTCCAGTTCCAAGTACAGGTTCTGACTCCTCCTTCCTCTCCCGCTGCTTTCCCTTCCTTTGTCCCACAACTTTATCAAGGACTTCAGAGGCAGCTGTGAAAGCTATTTAAATAGTATTACAAAACGGGACAAATGAGGTCCACATTGCAAACTGTAATACATGTCTGGGTTTGCTGAAATGTGTTCCAGATGACAAAAGATTTGTGGGGCGGGGGAGGAAAAGAAAGCAAGGCATGATTTAAAGCAGGGCAGGGCAGATAACTGTTTTACAAACTTTCCTCTTGTTACTGTATCTCTGAAGCAGAAATTACAAACACTGCCATTTTAGAATCTAGCAGGAAATGTGGTCCCCACACCCCTTTCAGGACAAAATAGCTTTCTACTGTAAACTGTACACTACTCCTTTTCCTAATCAAAAAGATTACTGAAGCCAATGTATTGAAATATTCCCTGCTCATGCCACCTTCCAGGAAATGTCCTGAAGGCAATAAAGGGAAACCTAACAACAATTTCACAAAAGCCCTTGGAAGAATGGCTTTCCTACTTTAAAACTAGGAGGAAAAGTCAGCAACAATACTAAGATTTAGCCTTCTGTGAATGGAAAGACGGCTTGTGTCCATGAAAGTGTCTTCGAACTAGCAGTGAGCTCTACTAACAGAGATGGGGATACAATTTTTAACCAGTTAATCTTTCCCTGTACCATTTTCATACTGTTCTGGTGGGGCTGCTAACCTACTGGAATAGATTGGGGGTGGGCCTACAAGGGGAACTAGTGAATTCTCTCCCCCTTCAAATAGTGGAGATCTTTTAGGATCAAAAATTTGTCTGAGAACAGAACAGTGCAATCAAATTCCCAATCAGTTCAGCAGTCCTTGTTCGCACTTAACCACAATCCAGATTATATTACCGATATTTATGGTTTCAAGTAGGTTACTTTCTAGATGTAGTAACCTACTTAAAGGCAGCACATACAAATCTAGTCAGTTTTCTGAAAAGCCAGTTTCGTAAAGGAGAAAAAAACCCACACAGGCATGTGGCAACAGGGAAGTTAGTAAAAAGAACGATGTGTTAAACATGTCATAAGTGCTAGGTTAACTGGATGGGAAAGAGTGATAAATTGAACTGCTTATCACTTGTGTTACAGTGGCCTTCTCAGCACAGAAGCGCTTAACCTAAGAGATGATCTTATCCCTAAGTCTGGGGCTAAAATTTCTAGTTTCCATTAATTTTCTTTTCAGCTTTCAACCTGTATTGTTCCGTAACAGGAGGCTTAGCACCATTGTGCAGCACACCAGTGTCCTACAGAACTGTTGTGAGGTTAAAGACTCAAGAAAAAAGATATGTTAGTTTCAGTGATCATAGAAGAAAAAGACTGGACAGTAGCAAATTATACCAGCAACAACCAAAACTCCCAAGTATAGTTAAATGTGCGTCTACAGTCCTTCCTCTAGACATTTTGGACTACAACTCTCAGCATTCCTGACCACTGCCCATGCTGAAAGGTCTTATGGGAGCTGAAGTACAAAATTCTGAAGGGCACCACATTGGGGAATGCTGTTTTCTAACATCAAGAGTATTTCTAAGTACAGGACATTTCTGTCATATTAAAGTGTAATTCATTCCATTTTTTCTACATAATATAATTGAATAGAGAAAAGTGTTTCACCATGTTAAGGAGCTCAGACCAGTATACATTGGTTATCCTAAGCAACATCTCAAAATTATTTATTGTTGAGACATGGTGACTTTTGGCTAATCCCTCACTTGAGTTTCATGACAGCTAGGATTCAAAGCCAGCTCTCCACAGTTTAATTCAACATTCTAACCACTGCCACACACCAGCTCCTAAACTCAGGTGAAACTATACAGGAAAAGTGTCAAGTTTTCTCACAAACTTTAGCAGAAACACATTAACAACTGCACAATATACCTTATTGGTTAACCTAAACTCTCAGAAAACATTAGTGATGAAAGCTGCCCACTTGCAACTCAGCGATTAACAGCTTACTCACAGAACAGATACTGACTAGTTTGTACGTATGTTCAGATTGCTTCAAGATCTGAAGAACTCCTCTGTTCACAAAGGTTGCTGAACTTGGGGAAGGAGGAACAGACTCATCCCTCTAAATGTTAAGAAGCAGTGCCAGTTCCCAGTATTATTAAAGTATTAGGCATTAATAATACTAGTATATTATTATTACTACATTGCATTTCTATTGCATCTTTCCCCCACTTTTTGATTGTCTTCTGGTATGTGTACTGATAAAATGTTTTGGAAGTACACCACAGTTTTGATGATAGATGCATAAACATATTCTATGTAAATATATATATTACTAGCAGAACACACACACACACAGAGAGAGGGAGGGAGGGATCAGCACAAGGATGCTTGAACTTCAGTGATAATTTCAGATCAGAAGGTAACACAAAAGCGTCATGGGGGAATTTTCAAAGATAATATCAAGACAAGATGTAGGTAGCTGTACTTGGACCTGAATACAGTGTGTATTTCCTATAGGCAGAGGATCTCCGAGGTCAGTGGCTGGAACTTGGGACACTAGGTCCACCCATATGTACCTACCTGTACTTTAGGATCATCTTCAGAAGTCCTTCTCCAGGAGCCAAAGGATGTAAAGGGGGTGGTGGCCTTTTTGGTAGTGGTGCCTCATTTATGGAATTTCTCCCCAGAGAAATATGCCTGGTGCCAACACTGTACATGTGCCAGCACCAGGCAAAAACTTTATTTCCCCAGCATTTTAAACCATACATTATTAATATCTACAGCCAGGTCTTCATTTTACTTTCTCTTTTGGTTCTCATTTTTATCAGGATTTGGTATTTATTAATTTGTTCAATTATGTTATAAATTGTTTCATTTAGTTTTACTTATTGTTTAAGTGGAAAGGTTTATCAATTGTTAATCTGTTTTTATATATTGTATTATGTTTGGATTTTATGGAGTGTTAACCATTCAGAGAGCCAATACAGCTGAGTGAAATGGGATACAATTTTTAAATAAATAAATAGAGACTGGATTGCATCAGGCAGAAAAATACTGCTGCTTTAACTAGGCCAAGGTCCTAGGCATTTCTACCAGTGCTGCCTGATCTAGACATTTATTACTGAATCACAGAAGTTGATGTTGCACATCCCCTATACTCTTCTGCCCCTGAAGCCAGCTCCAAAGCCCAAGAACATGTAACACAGTTTATTAAGTGATGCTCCAACCTCAGTCTACAAAGCTTCAGTTGACCACCACCCAACCAAAACCAAATTGTTTGAAGGCAATCCCCATCTTGTGTTAATGGACTGTAATGTTTTGAAACACTAAGTTTTTAAATGAACACTCACACAAACACACAGCTTTTGTTCTTTGCACCATGTATGTCTGCACAGCTTTAAATCCCATCATATGTAAATAAGAGCACAGTTCTCTAGTATAATCAGAATATGGAAACTATTTAGGTAAGTATTTTAGCTTTTTCTATGTAGCAAGGGCACACTGATCCTAGAAGTTTTAAATGTTTTCTATACATAGTAATGTTTCTTCCAGATATTGGACCTACATGGAAAGTATGCGATATGTCTGTATTATGTTAAAGTTCAAAGACAGTAAAGCAATAGTCTCTGCTTGTAGCTCTAAGCTTCAAGACTAAGCTTTTTTCATTTTATATCTGACAAGTGAATTAACACTTGGGCTGAAGGCTTGTGGCAACAAGGTTCAAGCTGATTTTTTAAAAAGCCACACATACTGCCATTCCCCTGTTAGAGATGTGCAATAATGGAAAAACTGACATAATTAGAGAAAAATCAGAAGCTGTTATAGAAGAGTCACCCTGTTCTATTTGCTGCATAGATTACATGACAATAACTTCTAGTGGAAAGACTTATTTAACAACACATTTCAATTCTTACATAATGTCTTAGCAGAAAGATGCAACCTCAATTAACTCTTACTTAAGTATTTGCTTAACATCTTATCTGTATCAAGATTTAAATAACCAGGGCCCAGTTCTAAGGGTCTTCTGTTCATGCTTTTGGGTTGCAAACTGTGGCCCTGGCACCCGGAATCAAGTTTAAGAGGCTGTGTACAATTCCTACCATCCCTACCGCAGATGGTACCCAAATGTTAAAAGCACAAAAATGATACCTAAGGTAGTAACCAAGTTCTGGCATCAAGAAGTTGTGCAGAATGCATGCTGGAATGTATGACCATTTTCATTGTGAAGGCACAAGTTTAGCACAACTCTACAACTTAAAAGTTCTTGGCCAATTCCATATCCCTCACACCTTAACAAATCAACCAAGAGTTAATTGTGAAATCAAAGTCTTTTGCTCTTCCAGCTAATTAATTTCCAATACAATTTCAGAGACAATGAACCTCTCTCCTCCAGCAAACACAAGGACTCTTTGACATGACAGTTAAGTATGTTGATGAGGTGAAAATAGGACCTGGAACAGTAGCACAATATCCAAGGTGCCACAGCTTTAATTCTGCATCCAAACTTCAATGAAGTGACAGATTCTCCATACTTTGGGAATAGAAGTAGCCTAGGAATGCCAGAAAACTCATACAAGCAGACAAGAGGGCTAAAGTTCTCCCTACCCTGATATATAACTTCACTACAGAGAGAAGTCAAGGAAGAGCAGGAATTGTCACAAGCATCCTTTATAAACAACTCAGGAAAACTGACAGAATGGAGTAAACCAAGGGTGGAGAAAATGTGCCCTCCAGATATTGGGACTGCAACTCCTATCAGCCTTAGCCAAGACAGTCAGTGGTGAGGGCTGATGGGAGTCGCAGTCCAAAGCATCTGGAGAACCACGTTTCCCGCCCCTGAAGTAGACTCTCTCCCATGACAGAAATTAAAAGGCAGCTCTGAGGAAAAGCAAAATGAGACTACCAGTATTGCTGACCTCCATCAACAGAACCACACATCAAGAGAAGAAATACATGAGATAGAGAATCAAGGCAGGATAAAAGGAAGTTGACCAGAAAGTGTTTAAGGATTTATGAGAGAAAGCAATAAAATAAGAGGAAAAATCAACTACCCCACAAGAAAAGCCGACATGGAAGAAAATGAGGGGGGAAATTTACTTCAGAATGAGGCCTAGAGCATGCATGCTTTCTTATAATTAAGAACTCTGGTGTAAAAGTGGAAGTAACACAGAGGTGTCTACATTTGGCTCCCTTGCTCATCATGTCTCTAAACCCACCTTCCTCCTTGAAACAATAGCACTGTCACCAATGACACCCCATCCTATCCTCACAAAAAACCATGGAAAGAATGGGAAAAGCAGCTGCTTCCTCAAAGTGAGAACCAGAAACGAGGGAAGAATTGCTCCACCCACGCAACCACCAAGGCCAGCCATGCATTCAAGGGTAAAAGGAAAGATTATCTTGCCCTCCAGAGACCCAAAGATGTAAGTGTAGGATTCCATCTTCAACAAGCAAGCAGCAGGTCTGGGGAAGAAAGCAGGATTCTTCATTATCTCTCCTTCTGCCTGCAGAGTGTCAAACTACAACTGAGGTGATTCAGGTTCAAATTCCCACCCAGTCATAATGTTCACTGGGTGACCTTGGGCTAGTCACTGTCACCCTCACCAACTTCAGGAGGAGGGGCATATGCACTAAGCTCCTTCAAGTGTTATGAATAACAATTTTATATTTCTCATAACCAATCACAGACTTCTAGTACAACCCAAGGACAAATCCCTCCCTCCCAGTAAAACTAGGAAAAATCATTTGGGACTACAACTCCCATAAACCCCATGCAACATGATCAAAAGTCAAGAAGGCTGGAAATTGTAATCCAAATAATTTGAAGGGCACCCAGTTGACCAGCCAGAAAGGACTATAAAGTGTTTTGTATGTTAAGATGCACTTGTTGCTTTCTGTATAGGCAATTTCCCAACAGACTAAATAATATACATATGTTTTGCTGCTTTTAAGTGAATGATACACAGGACTAATCTACCAGGAAGTCATACCCTGTGCCCTGGAAATCCTGTTCCTCCAGGCTCAAGACCTATGTAGGAAACATAAAGATACCAACCATTTATACAGCAGTGTCCATTTGGTCACATAAATGGCATCTTTGAAAGGTGCACACATGGAAAAAACAAAAATAGAACTGAATAGCATACAAGTGGTTAACTCTGCATACCACTCATGCTACAAATATACTCACTCCAGGGGCAATAGAAACATAGTGCATGAAGTCCTGGGATTCGGAAAAGTGTGAAAGCCACTTACAGTGCAATGCTACACATATTCAGCCAGAAAATGGGCCTACCACTTCCAGCATGCCCCAGCCAGCCATGCTAGCTAGAGAATTCTGGGTGTGGTAGGCCTTTCATCTACCTAAACATGTGTAGGATTCTTACTGAAAAGAAGTCTAAGAAAGTGCAATTAATTATCAAAGTAATAATAAATCTTACTTATTTGACCATGATTTTTTCCTTGCTGTGTGCCTCTGGTTTGCCTTTCTTCTCACCATCCCACAACTCTAGTTGTCTCCTCCTCTGAACTTTAATACTAAAATTCTCTTGGGCCAGAGGCCTATCTTTTCTTGCTTATGAAACTCTGAAACGTTTTACAAAGTAGTAACACAAATAGAGAGATAACGTGATGAAAAGAGGCTGTTACGGCACACCTCATAAATGCGGTGTTAATATATCCAGCAACTTGGATATAGTAACTCCATGTACCCAACAGACCGCCGCCCTCCAACAAGAGCTCAGCTCAAACTTTTGCTAATAGGACACCGGGGCCTCCCCTGGCCCATAAGTCAGAGAGAAGAAGCTGCCCTTCCGTACCTTCCACCTCAAGCCTTTACCCACCCAGCTGGCTGCACGGAGAAAGCATTTACGAGAGCCTGGCGGGGTAAGCACTGGGCTGGGACTCAGACGATGCAGGCTCTAGTCCCCACTTTGTTGGGCTGGCCACCGATTCTCAACCAAACTGAGAAGAGGATTGTGTCCTCCACCTTGCATTTCTTGCAGGAAGAAAGGTGCGATAAAGATATAATAAATATGCGCCATGTGTGGATGTTTGGGGCACAAGCCCCTGCAAGCTTGGGCAGAGGAAAACTTTTATCACTCCCAGCGTGCAGAGGTCTTTTTTTCGTCTAAACTTGCATAGAACTGTGTTATTTATACCGCCTTTCCCTTGAACGTTCAAAGGCGGTCGACTCTAGATTTTCCAAAGCTGGTATCTGGACGGATGGTCTGGGGGCCAGAGGGAGGGAGGCGAGTCTCGCCAGTTCTCCCGGGCAATCCTTCCCCCACCCCATTCCCTCGGGGGCGCCCCCTAGAGGCGACCGTGACGCCCCTCCTTCCCCCGCTCCCCCTCACCTGGCGGGAGTGGGCCTTGGGCTCCGGCGGCTTGAAGAAGGAGTCGGGCAGCTTGCGGAGCCTCATGGGCAGCGTGTGGGGCACGTTGGCGCCCTTGGGGTTCATGACGGCATTGAAGAGGGCCTCCAGGTCGGTCTCCGAGTCGCCCCGGACGTGGACGATCTGGTGGCCGGCCGGGGGCGGCCCGGACACCGCGCCGCCGCCGGCGGGCTGCGGCTGAGGCGGGGGCGGCTGAGGGGGCTGCCCCGAAGGCTGCTGAGGCGCCGACGGAGGCGGCTGCTGCTGCGGCTGCTGCGAGCTCTGCCCGGCGGCGTCCATGGCTGCTTGGCTGGCTGCCCTCCCTGCTTCAGCCGCTTCTCTTAAGCCTCAGCTCCGGGCGCTCCGTCCTGCATGCCCCGCTTCGACGTCCGCGGCTTGTGGCACTCACTCGCCTCGCTTTACTCCCGCGGCTGCCTCCCCCAGGCAGTAACTCGGGACTCCCCCGCCTGCTGTAGAGTTCGGCCCGGGGGGGGCGGGCTGGCGGCGGGGGGATCGATGCGATCTCGGTAGGGATAAAAAGCGATTCCGCAAAATAAGTCGCACACAAACACTCCCAAACAAAAGTTCGGAGATGCACCCGCCCGAGCCAGCTCCGCCCAGCGCGGGCCCGCCCGCACCAATTTCGACGGGACTTAATTCAGCCCAGCCGGAGCTAGGATCCTCCTCCTCCTCCCCGCTTCCTGTTCGCGCCCGACCGTACTGAATTTAAGCAAGGGCCGAGGACGAGCTTCTCCACGCGGGCGCTCCCAATCTGTTCCTGTCACTCTCCTTGCTTTTCCTCCCAACAGGTAGAATCGCTTCTGTGACGCCTCCAGTTGTTTCCGATTGACTCGTTTCCTAATTCGCAGTACCCGCCCGCTCACTATTCTGTGGTTCTAATAAGTTCGACAACCACTTGTTTTATAGTTATTGCCCCCCTCCTCTCCAAAAAAAAAGTTTTCCAACCCTCCCACAGAAACGAGGAGGAGGAGGAGAAATTGGGACTATTTTGCCTGAACCACACGGAGTGGGGTAGGGGGGAGGAATCGAGACCACAACTCAACCGGCTTCAAAGCCCCACCGGGAAACGGGGCGGGGGGGAGAAGGGAAGGAAGACGCTTCTCCCTTCTCAGTGATAGCAGGGCTTTTATACCCTCAAGCTGTGCTAAGCCGTAGTTAAACGTAGAAGGATCTTTGTAGGATTTTACCCATTGCACACCAGGCTGAGAAAAGGTTCCCAACTCCGTGCCTGCTCGCCCCACAACACGGTGCGGTCCTGTGGCTACTCAGAACTGCTCCTCCTCCTGTGGGCAGCGGAGCTTGCTCTCAGGTAGCATTCGACCTCGCCTTTATGGCCGCCTGGGAGTGGAGACTGGCGGAGGAAGGACTGCAGCTCTTTACCCTACCGGCGAGAGCCCAGAGGGGCAGGACCTCCGGCCCAGAGTCCCAAGTCCAGCTCTCCTGAGTCTGTCTGGCCCTCGTCAGCTCCCCAGATGGCCCCAGCCCGTTTTCCTGGCCGCCCCGGTTTGGTGGTTTCCGATGAATTTGGGCTGAAAGAGGGTCAACACCTCTCGCTAGAGCTTGTCCGACACTGAGATATCAGTAGGCTCCATAAAGCACTTTCTTGCGCGATTACCAGGAGCATAACTGAGAGCTTATCCTAAGAGAGAGCTCCGTAGGCCTAGAGGTATTTTGGGGAAATGATGGTGGGGAGTTGGAGCTGTTGCTTCGCACGTTTCCGCCTTGAAAATGCACCGGGTTGGAAGAATGGATGCGTGCGGTTGGGTGTAAGAGAAAATTTTGGGGGAAATTTAATTGAATAGTAATTAATTTGGGAGAATCGGTCAAATCAAGATTCGGGAAAATTAATGTTAGAGGACTTTTTAGGGGACAATCCTATGGCCCCCAGACAACATCTGAGGGTCCATGGCAAACTTCATACTCCCAGATCTTCGACAACACTGTTAACCATCCCTTCTTCCCAGATGGTACAGAGGGGGCCACAACTCCGGTTCCTTCTGTATTAAAATCCAGGAGGATGGTGAGGCAATGATTATCTCCAGGGCTCCTCCTGCCCTGCATAGGATGAGTGTAGGCTTCCAAATTTTGGGATTCAATGATCTTTGCAATCATAATTGCATCCCTAGAAGTGATTTGGGGAATATTTTCTGTAAGCTGGGTGTTCTGCAGGAAAAGAGAATTGTGGGTTCAAAGGAGTGGTTTTCTGTTTTGTATCTTTGACCCACATCTATCTTATACTCAGTTTTTGGGCAAGTTTATTTCAATTTTTCGTGACAAACCACACCCCAATGCTTCTCAACTTTCAGAATGTGCACAAATTCAGAAAGTTGCAGATCCATGTTAATCTAAGGATAGCAATGAGATAATGCATGCAAAGCACCTAGAAGCATTATACAAATGTTAAGTATTATTATTGAAAATTATAAGGGTAAATTCAGAACTATTGGGATCAGAACTATTATGTATAATGGAAATTGGAGATTTGAACTGGCTTTCTCTGTACACACCCCAATACATAGTTTTGTCAAATGATTAATTGAATATGATTGTATTTTAGATGTTTTAGTATGCTCTTATGTGATAGTAGTGTTTCTTTTGGTTAGGGATTGTTTCACTCTTTGTGCATTAGTAAACTTTTGAATACATAGGTTTAGAATTTGTAACAAATATAGAACACCCTTTGAAATAGATTCTGTAATCTCAAAAGGACTTAGTTCCCATATCTGGGCTAGACACAGAAGTTCAGAAATGCTGCCTTTCTTAGGGAACTGTCCTGTGGCCCCTAAGGCATTATCTGAGGAGCCATTGAATAATGTGGATTCCTAGCTCTATGTCAGAGAATCAGAGTTCTGCCTCCTCACAGCTGGTATAGAAAGAGCCTTGCTGAGCTAGGGAAAGCAACCTCAGAGAAGGGTGAAGGGGGCATTCTTTGTTTTGTAAGCCGCCCCAAGGCTTTTTGCGAATGGGGCGGCATAGAAATGTTCTAAATAAATAAAATTCTGTGGGGAAGGGGAGGTGACTGGAGAGACCAGGATATAAGCCTCCTTCCCTTCCTGTTTGAAATATTGTTCACTAGGTAGCCAAAAAACCGACATCTGACAAAAATGCAAAGCAGAAGAAGTGTGGAAGCAAAGATCACCTCTCCCACTTCTCCCACTCAGCACTGGGTAAGTGTGAATTTTAGAGTTTGAAAGCTTCTGCTCATCTCCATGTTTGTGCCCATGACAGTTAGAAAAACACCTCACACAAAAAATGTATGTATTGAGAACAATACAGGATATTTCCACTGTTCTATAGTTTATTAATTTTTATCATTATTTACAACAAATAAGACATAGTATACTGGCCAATTCAACAACAGTAAACTGTTAAGGTAGTATACTCTACAAATATTGGTATGGACATACCATTTTAAACATTAATACAAATAGTATGCTTGTGAATTAATACATACTCAATGTGTATATGTAACTGAAAAGCATGAACTAATATTTAAAAACAATCAAATATTTTTTATTGATGAAGAGCAGTCAATTACAGAACAAAACTCCACCAAAAGAATGGTACAAAACATAGATATGTCGTTTGAAAGGATTCACAATGAAATAGGCAAAGTTCTGTTCATGGTTATTGCATGAAGGATAACAAAGGCCACGAGCATCCTACAAAAGAAACAAATAGCATTAATATAATGTAACAGTGGGAATATTTCACATAATATTGTGCAGCCTGATTTAAATGGACTTACACACCCTCTTGTTTATGTTCAGACATAATACAGAACCATAGTACATTATTTTGTACATTAGCCTCAAGCCCATGCACTTCCTCCTCCCCTTGTCTGGCACAGCTGCAAGGAAGAAACGGAAAGCATCTGCTTCCATTTACGCTTAATTGTAATGTGCAGTTATGCCCAAACTAGCAAAAACTGTGGTTAGTGTTAACCATGGTTTATTCATGGACTCAAGGAAATGATAGTGATCTTATAGGTCCTCTAGTCCAACTCCCCCTGCTCAATGCAGGATGTTCAGAGCAGGAAACAACTACAGTATCCTGACTGATGGCTGTCCAGCCTCTTCTTAAATACTTCCAAGCAAAGGAGGGCCTACCACCTCCTGAGGCAGGCAGTTTTCAACAGCTCTTACCATTACATCATTTCTCCTAACAGCCAGAATCTGCTTCCTTGCAATTTCAACCTATTGATCCAAGTTCCACCCTCTGAAGCAGAGAACATGCCTTCCATTTTCTGTGCAGCAACATTTTAGATATTTGAAGACCACTGTCATTCTCCCTTTAATGCTCACCTTTCTAGGTTACAAACAGCCCAGGTCTTTCAACCATTCTCCACAGGACTTGGTTACAAGACCCCTTACCATCCTGTTCAATCTGTTCTACGTACGCTTCAGTTTATTGATCCATTTTAAAACATGGTGGCCAGAATTAGACTGAGCACTCCAGATGTAGCCTCACCAGTGCAAAATAGAGGACACCTCTATACTAGCCTAATACTGTATTAGCATTTTTAGTAACCACTCTTCACTAGTTGTCCATGTTCAGCATACGATAAACTAAAGCACACACCTAGAGCCTTTTCCCATGCAATGCTACCAGGACAGAGCTTTAGATTCTTTATACTTTAATGCAGGGCTTCCCTCTGTTGAATTTTATCTTGAGTTTTTTCCCCCATTCCAGGATTCCAGATTGTCAATTGTTTTGAATCTTCATTATGTAATTGGACTAGTTTGTACCCTCAGTATTTCATGTTTAGATATTTTCAGCCCCCTTATTCTTTTTTTCCTCAGAATGTCTAATAACGGCATCATATCCAACTTTTATCTGAGGTCTTTGAAATCAGCTTTCCTAAACTCCAGGATACATGTCTGATTATACTGTTTCTTCATCCTTTGCCATCACAAATTCCAAGATGACAGGATTTACTTTAAAAGCTCTCTTGACCAGGCTTGCAAGACTCCTGGCAAACACATTTTTCCTAGCCTTTGTGAAGTTTATCCGATCTCCTTCTGAGAGTCCATTTTGATAGCACGGGTCATTAAAAAAGCTAACCAAACAGGAGCCAATTTCTCCCACTTAGGACTTAACAGCTAACTATGGTTTAGTTGAAAATGGAAGCATGATTAGTCATTGGCATGAAGGAAATATAATAAAAGAAAGAAAATGTTTAAAAATTAAGTGTATGAACATTTAAAAATAGAAACAGTGAAATCAGAGTGAGCAGTTCTAGTGTGTGCATGAAATACCACGTGAGAAGGGGCTGCACCATTCATTTATTTATCATGCAGTTCCATTGTGTGAGTACAGCAGTCCCAAATGCAGAACTGATTAAGATAGTGCTACTTCTTAAATAAGTTTTATTTGAGAAATTATAATCCTAAAAAAAAAAAAACCCCAAAAAGAAAACTACAAACAACATCCATCATCAAAAACATCGAGCCCTCTGGGTCAGCCCCCACACCCTTCTTTTTCCATTTATGATAACTTAAAAACATATTTAAATCTATGCAAAATCCCATTTCTCTAGCCAGTAATAAAAGATTCCCAAGTTTGATAGAAGATAGTGCTACTTCTGTGGAGCTCCTTGTTACCATCTGAGTATTAAAAAGCTTTGAATCAATACACTACACACCCATCTATAGCCATACTGCAACTTTATAGTCTTAAGTATTTACTTTCCCAAAGGTCCAACTGAGTTCTTACATCTACTTGAATATTCTTATCACTAAAGGAGTTTTCAGATAGTTCAACAATGATACATTCAATATGGAATGCTGGAAATTTTTAGTTGTATGAGAGTTTCTTTTCCATGAAAAACATAAAAAGAGCCCAGATGTGTCAAACTAAATTCTATAGTCCAGTATTCTCTTCTTACAAAAGCCAACTAGATGTCTATGGATATCCACAATATAATCCACGATACAACTGTAGATGCCCTATAGCAGCTCCCACTTGGTACCTCACTGATGTTTTGGATTTCAGCTCTGATCAGTCCCTACCAACATAGCCAGCAGTCATGCATACTGGGAGCCCTATCTACCTACCTACCTACCTATGTTGCCCAATGACAGAGGCTCTGAGTCTAAAACATCTGGAAGTCATCAGGTTAGTAAAGGCTGATCTACAGAATGCTGTGTATCACCACAAAGACTATGGAATACAATCAAAATAATTTTCTTTAACAATTACTATAGCATTTTCATAGCCCAGTTTTGTGCATGTTTGTTTATTTATTTAATTTTTATACCATTCAACAGCTGAAGCTCTCTGGGCGGTTCACAAAAAATATTTGGATGTAATACCAAGGAGATATATCCTGAAGGCATTAGGCATGAAATTACAGCTTCAATGTACAAAATACTTCAGTTATTAGCTTGTCAATGATGCTGTCAAGCTTTAAGTTTTAGAAATAGTAATCCAGCATGCTAAATAGCCTCACAGCATTGCACCAATCTATTCAGTGTTTTCAGAATGGGATTTGTGCAGAATTCCTATGATTACTGTTAAGTCCCACTGTTAGAGCAGTATGGCAATGGAATCAATTACCTAGGGAGGTTGTGGGCTCTCCCACTCTAGAGGCATTCAAGATGCAACTGGACAACCACCTAAGAGTGATGGTTTGGAGTCCTGAATTGAGCAAGGGGTTGGACCTGATGGCCTTCTTGGCCCCTTCCAACTCTTCTATTCTGTGAGTCTATGAATTACTTCATTACTGACTTCCTAGTAAGTGTTCATCAGTGGAAGCTGCCAGTGCTACAAAAACTCATATGTATCTTTATCCTTGCCAAAAGGATATTCTTGTATTCAAAAGAATATTCTTTTATCCAAAAGATAACCAGAATAACAGGCAAGTTTGGCCTTGGAGTACAAAATGAAGCAGGGCATAGGCTGGTAGAATTTTGTCAAGAGAATACGATGGTCATAGCAAACACTACTTTCCAACAACCCAAGAGCCGACTCTACACATGGACATCACTAGACGGTCAACACAGAAATCAGATTGACTATGTGCTCTACAGCCAAAGATGGAGAAGCTTTATACAGTCCGTAAAAACAAGCCCAGGAGCTGACTGTGGCTCAGATCATGAGCTTCTTAAATTGAAGAAAGTAGGGAAAAGCACTAGGCCACTCAGGTATGACCTAAATCTTATCCCTGATTAATATACAGTAGAGGTGACAAATAGATTTAAGGAATTAGATCTGATAGACAGAGTGCAGAGGTTCACAACATTGTACAAGAGATAGCAACTAAAACCATCCCAATGAAAAAGAAATGCAAGAAAGCAAAATGGCTGTCTGAGGAAGCTTTACAAGTAGCTGAGGAAAGAAGGGAAGTGAAAGGCAAGGGAGAAAGAGAAAGATACACCCAATTGAATGCAGAATTCCAGAGAATAGCTAGAAGAGATAAGCATGCCTTCTTAAATGATCAGTGCAAAGAAATAGAAGAAAACAATAGAATAGGGAGGACCAGAGATCTCTTCAAGAAAATTTTGGAGAAATGAAGGAAATGTTTCATGCAAAGATGGGCATGATAAAGGATCAAAATGGCAGGGACCTAACAGAGGCAGAAGAGATTACGAAGAGGTGGCAAGATTACACAGAAGAACTATATGAGAAAGAGCTTAACGTGGTCACTGACCTTGAGCCAGACATCCTGGAATGTGAAGTCAAATGGGCCTTAGGAAGTCTGAGCAACAACGAAGCTAGTGGAGGCGACAGTATCCCAGCTGAGCTATTCAAAATCTTAAAAGACGATGCAGTAAAAGTGCTACGCTCAATATGCCAGCAAATTTGGAAAACTCAGCAGTGGCCACAGGATTGGAAAAGGTCAGTTTACATTCCAATTCCAAAGAAGGGCAATGCCAAAGAATGCGCAAACTACCACACCATTGCACTCATATCTCATGCTAGCAAAGTTATGCTCAAAATCCTACAAGCTAGGCTCCAGCAGTATGTGGACCAAGAACTACCAGAAGTACAGGCAGGATTTCAAAGAGGCAGAGGAACTAGAGATCAAATTGCCAACATACGCTGGATCATGGAGAAAGCTAGGGAGTTCCAGAACTCCCTAGGGTTTCTTGGTCTTGTGAGCCGTCTTGTCTGCCCTATCCTTCTTAGCCTTCTTGTGGCTAGAGGATTTATCCAAGCCGCCATGTTTCCTCTTCTCCCTTTGTTTACAAGGGGGAGAAGAAGGTTGCTGGGCCCCCATAGCCAAAGCACCATCATCCGATGGGCGCAGTGGAGGTGCGGCTGAGGCAGAGGCAGGTTTTACAGCCTGCTGGTCGGACTGCATAAGGGCCTGGTCCCAGAGCAGTTTCCGTAAGCGGTTCTTCCGATCTTACGGGCCTGCTTAGTAAAGGCCTGGCAATGGCCACACTTATCATTTCTGTGCCCCTTGCCTAAGCAAAGGAGACACAGATCGTGCAGGTCCACAGGGGACATGTTAGACCCACACTTGGAACATTTATGAAACGCTGCTCGCTGCGCCATCGGAAAGGGAAATAAGATAGCAAAGAGGGAAAGATAATCTTTCTCTCTCTCTCTCTCTCTCTATATATATATATATATAGAGAGAGAGAGAGAGAGCGCGCGCACGCGCACGCTAAAGAATGAACGAGAGAGATAATCTAACGGGGGAGAAAAACTTGGAGATACAGGAATGATTAACAAGAATAAGGCACAATAGAGAACAATAGTACGAGAGCAAAAAGGCACGAGGCACAGCGAACAGCGGTCACAAAAGACTGAGAAAATGGCGGACACTCCGCTCTATATACAGTATGGAGGGGGAGGGGAGGGGAGTTTCCCACCAAAAACCGTTAGCTTTCTGATCTTTCCAGCCTTAGGCACTGTGCAGGCGCAGCACCCATATGTGTGATGCACAGAGGCCATGGCGAAGAACATCTGCTTCATTGACTATGCTAAAGCCTTTGATTGTGTGGATCACAACAAATTATGGCAAGTTCTTAAAGAGATGGGAGTACCAGACCATCTTCTTTGTCTCTTGAGAAAGCTATATTGGGTCAAGAAGCAACAGTGAGAACTGGACACGAAACCACTGATTGGTTCAAAATTGAGAAAGGAGTTCGGCAAGGCTGTATACTGTCACCCTGCATATTTATATGCAGAGCACATCATGAGAAAGGCAGGGTTAGATGAATCACAAGTTGGAATTAAGATTGCTTGGAGAAATATCAGCAACCTCAGATATGCAGATGATACCACTCTAATGGCAGAAAGTGAACAAAAGAGCCTCTTGGTGCGGGTGAAGGAGGAGAGTGCAAAAGTTGGCTTGAAACTCAACATTAAGAAAACTAAGATCATGGCATCCGGTCCTCTCACTTCCTGGCAAATTGATGGGGAAGAAATGGAGGTAGTGACAGATTTTATTTTCCTGGGCTCCAAGATCACTGCAGATGGTGATAGTAGCCAAGAAATTAAAAGACGCTTGCTCCTTCGGAGGAAAGCTATGGCAAATCTAGACAGCATATTAAAAAAGCAGAGTCATCACCCTGCCAACAAAAGTGCGTATAGTCAAAGCAATGGTTTTTCCAGTTGCAATGTATGGCTGTGAATGTTGGACCATAAGGAAGGCTGAGCGCTGAAGAATTGAGCCCTTTGAATTGTGGTGCTGGAGAAGACTCCTGCAAGTCCCTTGGACTGCAAGATGATCAAATCAGTCAGTCCTAGCGAAGATCAACCCTGACTGCTCTTTAGAAGGCCAGATCCTGAAGATGAAACTCAAATACTTTGGCCACCTAATTAGAAGGAAGGACTCACTGGAGAAGAGCCTAATGCTGGGAACAATTGACGGCAGAAGAAGGGGATGGCAGAGAATGAGGTGGCTAGATGGAGTCACTGAAGCAGTCAGTGTGAGCTTAAGTGGACCCTGGGGGATGGTGGAGGACAGGAAGGCCTGGAGGAATGTTGTCCATGGGGTCGCTATGGGTCGGACACGACTTCGCAACTAACAACAACAATTCAAGTACTAGTCTGTTAATCATAGGCAACAAACAGTTGCATGCAGGCTAGTAAGCAGGTTACCTGTGTACCTAAGCACAGAAATAAATCAGGTTGCTGGAAGAGAGAAGCTCCCTCCCTCTGCACCCAACATAAAAATGCATTGATCTGCTGTAGAAAGAATAGAGCTTTGTAGTTACTAGCAAGCTACCTATTTCTTTCATCTTATTTACAATGCTGAGTATGTGCCATCAATTTCAAAATAGGTTTTCATGGGTAAGAAGTTAAAATTTTCTATTTTCTACTTTCAGGGCATGAAAGGCTATGCCACAATTAATCCAACATCTCCATTCTAATACCTATATTTGAAAAGTTTATTTTTCTGCTTTCACGCATGATGGTGCATTTTTATGAGATGCAAGCTTAACTGAAAATTTGGGACAATTTTTATATGCAGCCCAATGTCCATCCATTCTGTCTCATATTTTAGGACTGTTACACTCTTTTATACTTTGATCATGCCTAACATATCATGCCACATAATATGACAGAGGATCACGAAATCATAAAATAGTAGAGTTGGAAGAGGCCTGTAAGGCCATTGAGTCCTATTTCCTACTCAGCACAAGACACCAACTTAAAGCATCCCTGACAGATGGCTGTCCAAATGCGTCTTGACTGCCTCCAGTGTGGGAGAGCCCATAACCATCCTAGGTAATTGCTGTACTGCTCTAACAGTCAGGAAGTTTTTCCTATTTCTAGCTAGAATCTGATTTCCTGTAACTTAAGCCCATTATTCTATGTCCTGTGCTCTGGGATAACTGAGAAGAGATCTTAGCCCTCCTCAGTGTGACAGCCTTTCAAGTACTTGAAACATGTTGTCATATCTTAGTCTTCTCTTCTACAGGCTAAAGATGTCCAATTCTTTCAATTTCTCCTCACGGGAATTTGTTTCAGTGCTCTCCTCTGAATGTTTCCCAGTTTGTCTGCATCTTTCTTGAAGTGTGGTGCCCAGACTGGACACAATACTCAAGATGGTGCCTAGTTAATGCTTAATACAGTGGAACCAGTACCTCACATGACTTCCAAACTCAATTTCTACTAATGCAACCCAAAATAACATTAGCTTTTCTTGCAGCCATATCACACTGTTGGCTCATATTCAACTAGTAATCAGAACAATTCCAAGATCCTTCCGGCTTGTATTGTCAAGTATTTCCCATCTTGTAACTGTGCATTTGATTCTTTTTTCCTAGGTGTAGAACTTGGCATTTGTCCCTATTTTGTTGCTTTCAGCCCAGCACTCCAGGCTATCAAGATCATTTTGAATTTTCTTTCTTCTATGGTATTAGCTGTCCCACCCAATGTTGTATCATCTGCAAATCTGATCAGTATTCCCCGTACTTCTTTGTCCAAGTTATTAACAAACATATTGAACAGCAATGGGCTCAGGACTGGGCCCTATAGTACCTTGCTTGTTACCTCTCCCCAGTATGAGAAGGTGCCATTGAGAAGCACTTTGAGTCTGATGCTGTAGCCAACTTTGGATCCACCTGATAATTGTTCCATTTAGTCCATATTTAGCTAGTTTGCAGAACAGAATGTTAGGAGCACTTTATCAAAAGCTTTACTGAAGCCAAGGTATATTATGTCCACAGCATTCCCACAGTCCATAAGGGAGGTTACCCAGTGATGAGATCAGATTAGTCTGGCAAGATTTCTTTGAGATAAATCCATGCTGGCTTCCAGTAATTACTGCATTGTCTTCAAAGTGTTTACAAGCTGACTTCTTTATAATCTGCTTCAGAATTTTTCCAGGGATTAAAGTCAGACTAACTAGTTTGCAGTTCCAAGAATCCTCATTTTTGCCCTTTTTGAAGATAGGGACATTAGCCCTTCTCCAGTCATCTAGCACTTTATCTGCACACCATAATTATTCAAAGATAATAGGCAGTGATTCTGGGAGTTCTACCAGCTCTGTTATGACTCTAGAGTGCTGTTCATCTGGCCCTAAAGATTGAACACATTCAAAGAATTTACGTGTTCCTTGCCTATTTGTTTATTAATCTCAAGCTTCAATCTTGACCTTTCAATTTGTACTTTGTTTCTAGCAGTGGGTTTGCAGACCTGCTTTTGGGAAAAGACCCAAAGTAGGAATTTATTCCCTCAGCCTTTTGTTCGTTAGGTGTTATCAATTTTCCCTCCTCACTGAGAAGTTGAACCACCCTTTCCATTTTGTCTTTTACTGTGCATATACCTGAAAAAAAGCTTTTTTAAAAAGCATTCCTTGCTAGATTCAGCTTATTCTCATCTCTGGCTTTCCTGATATCATTCTTGCATTTCTATAGGTTCATTGGGTCTACTGCTGCTATTTTAGCATTGTTTTTATACTGATGTATCATTAATCATTGATTTTAATGTACTGTTTTTACTTGTACAGTTTGATTATGGAGACAGTCCAGAGTCATCTTGACTACTGAGCAGTAGAGAAAATAAATAAATAAAACATTAAGCATTATTTGTGATTTTATTTTAAAATTACATCCAAGCAAATTTGGATACATAATATTCCTGTTGTGGTGAGATACTTACATAAGCATGGACTTTAAAGACAGTAGATACTATATTTATCTCCTTAGTTTCAGGATTCTTTTGAACACTGAAATTAGAAAAATATAAACCAACTGTTAATGAGGACATCTAAACTAGTCAAAATATACATTTTATGGTTTGCAATACTTATCAAAGAAGTGAAAGAAAAATATTTGATTGGCTGAGTGGATTGTTAACTAAACAAATAATAGAATGGTAACTAAACAAATGAGAGAATGCAAGATCAAAGAGGAAACAATAGGATAATAAGTAGAAACATGAAGTACACCAGAAAGGATGAAGAAAAAAGCTACCAAAAGAGAGATTGGAATGCTCAGCAGGGTAAGAAAAACATTAAGAGAACCAAGGATGAATACTGTTCCCCTATGCTATTATACTGGCAAGCTTCTTTTGGGGCCCATGGGGAATCAATTTTATAAGAAGAGAAGGAAAGATAATACTTTTTTATTCAAGGTTATTCCAGAATGGTTCGATTGATTGGAAATCCTTTATTGCTTCCTTTATTGCTCCTACTATTTGTGGGGAAGGTAGAAGAGGAAAGTTACATGTCTGCATACAACAGTACCCACCAGAATGTTATGGATGGGCATCCTCCCTACCTGGGATTTAGTTTCTTACATAATGGATACAGCAAAAAAATGGTCTACGTATTTATGTTCAACTCTACTTAACCCTAGTCATATGCAACATGTGATGCAAAAGTTACAACCTGCCCATAGCATCCCAGTCATGTCAACACAGAAACCATTAATCAATTCATAACTGCCATTGCAGATACTTAAAGTATTTCCAATTGAATAAAAATGCTTTCTTACATACAGAAATATGGCATTGACCCTTTCAATTCAAATACTCTCATAACTGAAATAGATATGCACAGGGACCACATCTCAGCAGCTTAAATTTACTGCACTGACCCACAAGCTAAATTTGGGATACTGGCATTGTCCCAATCCTTTTAGGGCTTTAAAGGCATTTAAGAATTTCCTCTTCCCAGATGAATCTATCTTGTTAATAACATATCCCTCAAGCCTTCGTTTAGATTCCTCTGCCTTCAGAAGTGAGGCTAGCAGTAACCTGTGTTATTGGTTTTTCAATTGTGGCATCCTGACTTCTTTGGAATGTTCTTCCTAGAAAGACTCACATGTTACCAAGTTGCAGTCTTCCCAGTACCAAGTGAATGCCTTTGGCTAAACCTTTTAGATGCTAACTTTTATATCTGTTTTTAACTGGCTTCTTAAACTTTTGTACTACTACTAGTTTTATGTGTTATTGTCTATTTTTTATTTTAAAATTGTTAGCTACTTGTAAGTTGCAGCTTGAACAGCCAGGTAAAATAGCTCTAAGTATTGGTGCAGTCTGTGCACGATAGTTGTGTGACTCCCTGGTTTAGCGATGCTGGAAGTAATAGGACTTCTGCTTAAACATGCATTAAGATTGTGCTCTAAATTGCATTCACATCAGGAACAAATTTACCTCAATAAATCTTTATATAAAGCTTTTGTTGTCTCCAAGTATGGACCAAGTTCATCTTCATATTGACAGAGAGCTCCTCCAAGGCAAAGATGTTTAAAGAGACAAAAAAGAAACTCCTCACGGTCTGAATGGCTGAATAAGTCATAATGGTCTGAGTCTTCTAGAAGAAGTACCTTTCATGAGACATGGACAAACAATGTGATATAGGTTATTTTTCAAATAGTATAAACTCTCTCTCAATATAGGAAGAAAGATTCACATGTATTCCCAATCTTTTGTGTTTATAAATGTACACACACTAGATTTGGTAATGTGGATATAGTTTTATTTTAAAAATATTCTAAAAGACCTTATATAGAGCCACTTGGTTCTAACTCAGAAACAGGGAATCTGGCCCTCCAAATGGGATTCAAGTCCAGTTCTCATCAGCCCCATGCAACTTGGTCAGGAATTTATGAGAACTGTAGTCTATCATCTTCTGGGGTATCCCAGGTTTCCCACCAATCTTCCAACAGATGCAAGTCACCAGGCTAGTGAAATAGATAGCAGGCAACCTGGCTTCATTTTATCAGTGAAATTAATCTGGAATGAGTTTCTACTGGTGAAATAATAAACATAGTTCAGGACACATAGGGTGTTATCACTGAGAGACAAGGAAAAGTATGCTGGGCTGCAGCAGACAATCCAGACCCTAGCCTGACTGCACTGCTCTTGTCTGGTTTGGAACACATGTTAACAAGGCATAGCCTTATTAGCAAGAAAGGGAAAAGCCACTGTTGCTATAAAGAGTTTATTCTGAAAATTAAATGTCCTATGCATTTGATGTTAACATGCTCCCTCAAGGGCAATTAAAGTATAAACCAACTCATTCAACCAATATAGGAAGCTACCTTCCAAGATTGACTCAGAGTCATTATTTTCACATGCTAAGCATTTCCTGAACCTCAACTACAGAGTGCTGTTGCCCTATCAGTCATGCTTTGAGATACAAGTGTTGAAAGAAAGACTCCCTGTGGCTCTGTGATAGATCTGGTTTCAATGGGAGGTACACAATCAATTCTTGAGCTAAAAATGTTAGCAGCAGGTACCAGGGTTGTTGGTGTCATACTGCACTGAGATATGTCGTGGGTTTTACTGCCCCACTTTGGCACAGTCCTGGTATCAAGGAAAGAGACAGAAGGGACCAAAGGAAAAGGAAAAGTGGCTATCAAGGGAAAGTTAGAAAAGTAGAGAAGAGGATAGCAAAACATTCAGGAAGAAAAGCAAAGGCCAGATGATACAAAACTCTGGCTTTGAAGAATGGAACAAAAATAAAATCTGTTGATTCTGCAGAAGTAAACAAGGAACTGAGTGGCTGAGTTTCTGGCTTTGCCCCTTGACTGAGACACTGGTGCCAAAAACATTAATCAAAGGGAGGGGAATGCACACATCATGGCACAAGCACAGAAGCCTTGAGAAAGAACTGCTCATCTCAGGCTTTTACAGTCTATTATACAATGGTTGAAAAATACAGTTATCTGAAACCAAATGCTTGCATAATAATAATAATCATGATATGACAAGCAAAGAATAAATGTTTTTAATTGCTTGTGTACAGAGGACCTTCATAGGCATTAGATCAACCAACAAACATTAACTATGATAACTATGTACAAAGTGCCAAATTCTGAAGCCAAGCAGGCAACATCCTCTTTATATTCTCTGTGAGCTTGCTGAGAAAGTATCAGACAAGCATCAGACTCTGCTGGGGTCACAGAGTACTAGAGTAGATAGATGTTGGTCTGATCCAGTAAGGCAGTCATTATGTTGTCACAGGTGAATAAACATTCACAGGTGGATTAAAAAGCAATTGTGTACTTTGTTTTCTTTCTGCTTGCTTGTGTTAAATACGCTATTTTTGTTTTTAGTTGACAGAAATGAAAGGTCCACACCTTTATCAAGAATGTCGGAACACAACAACTGGATTCATACACTGTTGTATAATCATTTGGTATTGCTAAAACGTCCCACTACTATTACATGAAAAAGCAAGGTGGATTTATAAAGAAAATGTAGAACTCTGAATCATTAATTTTTCTTATTTTAAACACAAAGGAGGAGATAATAAACTACATCCAGTTCCATTTTAATGGACTGTTCTTCATTGATTCTAATGGAAGATGACTTTTTGCCCAGAAATATATTCCTATGTTTTATTATGTTAACTAACAGGTTCTTTTAAAGGAAACCCAAAGTTATTTTATTTGTACTACACTACACCAGTCTTTCCCAGCCTCCTGACTTCCAGTGCCCATGCCAGCTAGAGATAATAGGAACTGTAGTCCATCACATCCAAGATACATCAATTTGGAGAAGATTGTATTACACTAATATTCTAACTGTGAAATAGAAGGTACAAAGAGTAAAGGCAACAACTCCAACATGTAAGCAGATGTTTTTGTAATCCTTTAGAAATGAAACTCAAGCATCAGTGAACTTCTATATGGAAAGAAGGGTGTTACATAGGTAATCCTTCAAAAAGAAACCCTGGTGGTTTTGCAAAGCAAAATTCTACTGCTGAAATACAGCTGAATTTTATTTTCAGTCCTGTCTGTCTGTCTGTCTCTTTGTTTTTGAAGCTGGAAATCCTATTTCTAGTTTGGGAAAAATCAGTAGAAAATATAACAGAATGCTAGAAATAGCCAGGACAGCCCAATGTATGCACATTGGCAAAAGATCAAAATGAAAGAAAACTCCATATTGACCTTTCTTAGCTCATCTGCAATGAGAATCCCATCATGGTATTCATCCAAACACTTTACAATATTTCCACTTTCTCGAACAACTCCTTCACAGTATAATCGGTCAAAAAATGACATTGAAACTTTTGTACATAGAAGAGTCTTGACCTCAACTTTTCTCACATTGGTATCTGCAAGATACAACAGAAACAAAGGAACAGACAATACTTTTCACTTAACTTCCATAGCTACAAAAATGTCCTAAAACTGAAAATATCATTTCTGTGTGTAATATTTTACACTTATAAAATCTATGCCCAACTTAATGTAAATATATTTAAGAAAGACATCTCTGGTCCCAGAGTGTCCTAGTGATTCAGGATTTTTGGATTCCCATTCCTGAAGCTAGATACTCCTACAACTGTGGGGAAAAGAATCTTAGATCTGATCCTTCCCACCTTCCAACCCAACTTGCAATACACTGCTATAAGTATGTGTATATAAGTTGCCCTATATCTGAAGTTTTTAGGGCAACATATACTAAAACCAATACAGTAAAGACTATAATGAAGCCAGCCATATTACTTAAAATAAGAAGCAACAGTAATTTTGAAAGAAAAAGACAAAAATCAAGAGAAAAAAATCTGAGTTTCTAAAAATATAAAGGGCAATTTTAAAATATAGTTTAAAATACTTCTAAATTTCCTAATGTCTAATTCAATGTCCACATTATTATTATTATTATTATTATTATTATTATTATAGCATTTCTATGCCGCCCCTTGCCGAAACCTCGGGGCGGCTTACAACATGATAAAATACATTGAAATACAATAGTACATAATAAATTACCATTAAATATAAAAATACAAAGAATACATTGATTTACAAAAATAAAATTAAAATTATCAGTATAAAATAAAAATATAGGAGGAGAAAGAGAAGGAAGAAGAAGTTGCCCTGGCCAGATCATATGTTTTAACAATTGAAATGATGTTTAAATAAAAAGGTCTTGAGCTGGCGCCGAAAAACCCATAACGACGGTGCCAGGCGGACCTCTTTGGGGAGTGAATTCCATAGGTTGGGCGCCACCGCAGAGAAAGCCCTCCTCCGGGTACTTACTCTCCTAATCTCTTTCATGGAGGGTTCCCGGAGAAGGGACTCTCCCGCAGATCTCAAAGGGCGGTCGGGCATATACGGATGTAAGCGCTCGTTCAGGTAGCCAGGACCCAAGCCGTTTAGGGCTTTGTAGGTCATAATCAACACCTTGAATTGGGCCCGGGCTTCAATGGGAAGCCAGTGAAGCTGACGGAGGACTGGAGTCATGTGAGCATAACACCCCATCCCCGTCAGCAACCTGGCAGCTCTATTTTGCACCAATTGAAGTGTTACTTTTCAATGTGAGGCATACAATGAAGTAGTACGGGATGAAGCAATATAGAATATAGGAATACAGAATAGATAGAATTAGACATTACAAAGTGGTAGAGGGGATTTGGAGATAAATTTGCATCAGTAGTCCCAAGTACTTTCTAAAGTATTCTATCTCAGTGGAGGGCCTTGGATGAGTCACTATCAGCCTATCCACAGGATAAAATGCTGCTGACTTCCTTAACGGGAGGCCTAAGAATAGAATAAATAATATAAACATTAGGCAAAATTCATTAAGAACTTCAGTGAATGCTCCCATTAAATGAAAAGGAAATATGCAAATATTCTCCTGGTGATCATATATATGATTGTTCAAGCTTAACCCTTTTGGAGTGGCTACAGAGCACAAAAAAGGCCAAATTCAGCTTGCAAACAATGTAAATGTATCTATTTGCCTGCTTTGTACCTGCTATGGATGCCATTTTGTTTAAATTTATTTGAATGTACTGAGAGAGGCATGTTAACTACCCTGATATCAACAATAAGAACGCCTTCCCAAGAGAAAGAGTTGACGGGAGAAGAGGGTGCTGTGGTTTTTTTAATGGCTCCTGCTCCTGTTGCTTTAACAATTTCTTCTACATGTATTACCATATTACATATACAGCCTGGAATATCTCCTAGTTAGGAATTATGTGCTACCTGTCATTCACCAGGGTGTACTTTGGTCCCCTAAGGTACGTCCCACTTGGTTTCATCTGGATGACACTGCTGAACAAGGGACAGAGGAAGCTGCCTTATACTGAGTCAAGGTACTGGGCCATCTACCCCAGTATTGTCAATAGTGACTGGCAGTAACTTTCAAGCTTTTCAGGCAATTTTTCCCCCATAGCTACCTGGAGATGTGGAGGACTAACCTTTCCATAAACTGCCCCCTCCAAGAGCAAAGGATAAAATAAAGGTTCCGTAATTGTTAAATTTTGGTAGAATGGAATTTATGTTAGTAACTAATACCTGTTTTGATTCATACTATATGCAGGTAGCAAGGCTTAAAAAACACAACTGCAATTAATGTCACCTAGCAAGAAGATACAAATGTGAATTTTGCTATTCTTAATATGGAAGTAGTAGTTGCAGTAAAAAAGAAAGAGGAGTTAAAAGAGAAGGATATCCAAAATACTCACTACCTAAAGTAGTCCATTGTCCAGAAGCTGAAAGCAATTTCAAATTGCTATTAACATCTGGGTGATTAAAAAAGGCCTACAAATAGAGATGCAACAATGATTTTTAAGTTAAACAGATTCTGTTGTTAAATAAGATTTGATAGAAACATTGTATAAGGGGGATCAGTTTCATTTCTACCTCTAGCCTCTCCAAATGTTTGAAACTGGGATTGCTTTCCAAGTTTGAATTCACATAATTATTCTTGCAAAGCACTCCAATAATGAAGTCTATAATGTAGCAAGAATTTATAACCATATCTATTTATAAAACAGAAAGATCTTCAGAGGCTTCTCAACAAATCAAATCCAGATTTGCAAGTTCACAGAAATAAAATAAGTTTTGTGGTAAAATAATGTAATTATGAGAATAACTTGTAGAAATACTCCTGTGAAAGAGAATCTAATGTGGCAACAGCAACACAGATCTCAAGTAAAAGATGAACTAATATATCGGGGGGACAAATCTGAATGAGCTATTTCAAAGCAGCTAATAAAACCACAGCACTTTTCAAAACAAAAACCTCCCATTCCTGTTATTTTATATATGAGGCTCTGTAATGATGAATCAGATCACTGGTCAATATAGCACAATACTGTGTGGTTTGTCTGGGTCTTGAAGTGCCAAGATGGACATTTTTGCCAAGTCTACTGTCAGAAAAACATGTAAAAGATATCAAGAATAGAAACTTAGGTATGATATATGCAAAGGATACAGTTTATCAGTGAGCTGTGGTCTTCCCAAAAGATAAATTATAAATGGCAGCTTTAAAAAAAGTTATATGCTGGTTTTCTATTCAAGAAGCAAGCATGTAACAGACTAAAAGTACATTTTGAAAAAAATAACATGTTGAGATCTTACATTTATCAGCTGGAAATTACATCCCTTTGAGTTTTTAGAAGTTTTCCTCAATAACTATCTTCTAAAAGGAAGGAGTGATGAAATGTACTGACTTCTTTACAGAGGGAATTACACAACTGAATTATCACTACTAAAAATATATTTCACTGATTTTATCTATTGAGTCAACAGATCCTAGAATAGGGCATCTCCACTAAAGATATGTGGGTGAGGAGGAGATGGTTAATTTTGACTCTGAACACCTTCTTCTGTATGGGTAGAGACAATAAAATTTCAAACAACCTAAACCTGGGAATAAGTCTCAGTGAAGACAACAGAACTTACTGTTGGGCAGCTGTCAAGTTTTAGAATGGTTTTTCCAGTTATTTGGCTTAGGGCACAATCCAATCTGGAAGCCTATAACCTCCCAACTCACAGGACTGGAGGCATCCAAAACAGGGTGGAAGGAATATAAAGGTAAAGGTTACCTCTATGCTTTTCCTGCCTTGCACAACATCGAGATGGCTGAATTTGGCTATCTAAACTGACATCTTGGAACACAAGGGAAGACGGCTGTGTTGTCACCAGGATGCTTCATACAATGCTGGTGTCTGTTTACTCCCATTCCTGCTCTCCAAACCCCCATCTCTTAGGTATATCTTCCAATGTCAGAAATGCAGCCAGAGATCTTTCCACTACAAGATAGGGAGGGCTCCCTGAGGTCAGAGATCCATAGGGTCCAAGTGTTTTTCCAACTTTGTAACTAGGTCTCCAAAATAGCCCATGACATAGATTGTGCTGCCCTGATCAGCTATGTAGACATAGCATTTCAGCTTCATTGTCCGTTAGTGAAAGGAAGGGTGGGGGGGATGATTTCAACCTATCTACCCTCTACTGGCCCCCACTGCTTCAAAATCTGCTCTCCATCATTGAATTCCATCCTAAATTTAAATCCTATATTGTCAAAATATTTATTTTGTTTAAATGAGTCACACTGTGATAAATATAATTTTTACACGGAAGGTAGACTGTATGTAAAATTCCTGGTTGTTATTCTTTTCTATAGATTTTATTTAATGTTTTAACCATTTTCTTGTTTTATTAATACATGGTACACTACTTGACTTTTTTAACAAAATTGAAAAATGTGCTGTTAATCCTTTAAAGTAAGAAATAAAATTTGGGTAATTACCATAAGAAAGTCATCTTTCTGATAGTCTTTGAGAGTCTGATCAAAGCTGAAAGCCTGTGCTGTGATTCTCCCATCCATGGACCTATAAAAGTCAATGTCAGGGTTAGTCTACACATGCAGCATAGTAGGGTAGTCAATATGTAATGCTTCTGTGTTTTCCTACCACTGCTTCCATTTTTTTTCTTCCATATAACATTTATGGAGAAAAAGATGAAATAGTCACACCATACCTTTTTTATTGGTAGTGGTAGCAGCCCCCCATTTGTTTTTATTTGCAAGGGTTCTTTACTCAGCATCCCCCACCTACACCCTCATTCTGCCAAATGATTAAGCCAAGGCTAAAATACCCCCAAAACATTAAACTCAGGAATGATTGTGGTTACAGCAAATGAGTTCTTTTATAATCATATATGAACAAAAATATACAATACACTCATACATACAATCACAGCCTAACCCTATAGCAATCCCACTATGGTTGGTGGGGGTGGGGGGTGGATTACACTCTAGTAAGAACATTGGGAACTGCAGACTTGATTTAAATTAATTTCAGAATTCACTTTCTTACAAATGAGATATGTGTTTCTAAAGTTGGCTTCCTCGGTCCTGGAAATATTATTATTATTATTATATTCAGAGACATAATATTCTTATAATATTCATATGCAGAATATAAATAAGTATAATTGTGAGTGTGTCCCATCTGAAAATTCAGGTGGTGATAATCTGGGAACATGCCTTCTGTATGATAGCCCAGCATTTATGGAACCCTTTCCTCAGTGAAGCTCACGGAGTGCCAGCAGTGTCATCTTTTTGGCATATTTATTTTCCAAAGCACTTGGAGCCATTAGTTTATGTGGGCTGCTTTTGTGATGGCCATTCTAGACTGTTAGGATGGGGAAGGAGAGACAATACTTGAAAAATACGGAGAATGAAAAATTTCTCAGGTTGCATCACACTGATCGTTTAAAATGCTTGTATTGGTTTGGCTCAGGATGTAGTGGTGATTAGCCCACAGACCCGTAAAAACACACCACATATCATAAAACAAGTAAAACATTCTATCGAAACACATAAATAAAACATTCTACACACAAGCCTGTGCATTCCTATACACAACAAAGATGACAACAAACACTGAACCTTTGAAAATGTGTGTGTTTAAATGCTGTTTAAATTCCTAATGTGGGTCATTCATTACTGAGTAATTTCCAGATCTGGGAGGCCCTTTCTGGCCGCCTGTCTCCTAGCAAGATCCTGGTCGTGAAACGCCACTTATCCTCAGAGAATCTCCGAGGTGTCTGCAAGCAGGTACGATTCCAACCCGCAACCTGACAACGAGCCTGAACCCCATTCCCTCAGCGCGGCCTCCCATCCCTGCCCTCCCGACTACAAAGCAGCCCCAGGAGGAATGGCCGGCTCGCCCCACCATTTGAGGAGGCGGTCTCGGGTCTCTCTGCTTTCGAGGGCTGCGAAGGTTTTCTGAGGGAGGGGGCGGAAAGTGCAGCGCAACTCCACGCCTTGGTCCCCGCAGCCGGACATGGCGGCTCCTCCAATATCAGACGCGGCACGGGGTTACCATGGCAACACTCCCTTGTCCGCCGGTTGCTGTCCGGTGTTACACATTTTCCCTTCCGCATGGAACTATCAGTCTGGTGAGAACGGTTCCGTTTCTGTTCCCCAAAAGCAGAAGTTCTCTAGGACAGGGTAGGGACAGGAGGAGGATCCGGCCACAATCCTGTACGATCATACCTGGGAGTAAGTACCATTGGACTCAGTGGGCCTTGCTTATGAGTAAACATTTGTAGGATTGCCTTTGGTGGCCGTTTTTAAAATTTATTTATTAGATTTACATCCCACCTTTTTCTTAAAAAGAACTCAAAGTGGTTTACATCATTCTCCTCCTCCTCCACTTCTCAATCTATCCTCACAACAACAGCCCCGGAGATAGGTTGGGCTGAGAGTCTGTGACTGACCCAAAGTCACCCAGTTGGTCCCAAGGCTGAGTGGGGACTGCAACTCAGATCTCCTGAGTCCACAGCCACACTTTTAATAAGTGCACAACAGAGCTCTTAAGACCTCTTCCGAATTTGTTTGTAAAAGGTCTAAATCTAGTCCCAGATTTCCTTAGTCGCTAAATGTTTCACCATGTTGGGGGTTTGGTTGTGGGTCTGAAAGGCTGTGGATTTTGTCAATCAGCTGCTCCCTCCTGATCCACCTAAACACCTCCAATAGACCTCTTCCTTCTACACCACCTTGGGAAGGAGGTTGCCACAGAAGTTCTTGCAGTGGACAAGAGCAGCTGAACAGTCCGTAAAGTCGGATGAAAGTGGAGAGTCAATGTGGTGCACTGGTTAAGAGCCCAGGTCTGGACTCTCAGATCTGGGTTGCATTCCCCCCTCAACTATGGGCCCAACTGGGCAACTTGGGGTCAGTCACAGACTCTCGGCCCAACCTACTTCAAAGGGTTGTTGTGGGGATAAAATTGAGTGGTGGTGGAGGAAGAGGAGAATGATGTGAGATGCTTTGAATTTTTTTTTTAAAAAGGGGGAAGGCAGAATATAAAATTAATTGATTGACGTAGTAGGCTACGTCAATTGGAAGTAGGCTAAACATGAGTCAACAATGTGATGTAGCCGCCAAAAGGGCAAATGCTATTTTGAGATGCATTAACCGAAATATTACTTTCAAATCACAAGTAGTAGTAGTTCCTCTATACTCCTCACTAGTCAGACCTCACCTGGAATATTGTGTCTACTTCTGGGCACCAACATTTAAAAGGATGTAGGTAAATTAGAAAGGATCCTGAGGAGGGCAACGAAGTCCTGGGTTTGGAAACACTGCCCTATGAGGAGAGACAGAGAATTGGGCATGTTCAGCCTTGAGAAGACTGAGGGGGGACATGAAATCCCTCTATAAGTACTTCAAATGCTGTCACAAAGAGGAAGGTCAAGATCTCTTCTTGCTGATGCCAGAGTGTAGGACATGGAATAATCAATTCAAGTTGCAACAACCCAGATTCAGGCTGGACATCAGGAAAAGCTTCCTCCCTGTCAAAGCAATACAACAGTGGAACAGACTGCCTAGAGAGGTGGTGGGTTCTCCCACACTAGAGACATTCAAAAAGAAACTGGACAGCCATCTGAGTGGGATGGTATAACATGGTGTCTTTCAACAGCAGGGGGTTGGACTCAATGGCCTTCATAGCCCCTTCCAACTCTTCTATTCTATGATTCTAAATAGCCTAATTAAATTTGGTAGACTTTCATCTGAGTACCAGCATTGGATAACTTTGTCTTGGTAGGACAACACTTAAGAATAAATTGATCAGGATAGGGTATTAGTTTTTTCTCTGGAGGTGCTGGCTTTGATGGCCCACATGATCCACCCATCCTGCTCATCATTGTGGATTTAGACATCATCAGGTTGTCACAGGAAGCAGCTCCAGGTATTTTGGTAACACAGGAATCAGCTGTAATAATGGCACATGCACAGAAAAGTGTTTTAGCACTATGGCCAAAAGAAATAATTTAGGAGAGTAAATGTTAAGAGAACCTTGAAGATATGGATCAGCTGCAAGAGACCCACCCACTCAGGCTACTGCAACAGCTGCCAGGTTAGCCAATGTGTAAGGAAGACAATGAAGGTGTCTTCACTTGCCCAACTGGCTGTTCTAGATTTTTAGGAAAGGGCAAAGATGTAGTGAGTGCAAGTGAATTCACACCTGTTACCAAAAAGGTGACTTACACATAGTCACAATGCTCAAATGGGATTCCAGGGAATGACCCCCATCACAAGCAAGATTTTTCTACTTGCTGTTTACCATCTAGGCCAGAGGGTGTTGCCATCCTGTTCCTGGTTCCATTCTCCTCTGCAAGTCTTTCAAAGGGCTGCTACCAGCTAGGTAGCATTCTTTTTTCCTTGCAGGTGACTGAATTAATTGTGATATTTTGGATACTGAAGTTCTCCTAGTAGGCATCTTTGTTAACATGATGCTGTTTTTAATAATCATGGGAGACATGTACAATCCATGGCCTACAAGTGATCCATCAAGGGTGTCTTTCCCTCCATTCTAACCCCACACACAACAGAACCGGTCTCTTGCCAGTCTACCAATCAGCCAAGTCATCTGAGAAACAAGGTGTGCAAGAATGACTCTCCTGACTTGGAAATCCAGTTCTGCTGGGAAACAAGCTATCATCATCATCTGTTTCATTTCTATACTGCCCCATAGCTGAAGCTCTCTGGGCAGGGTGAGGAGTCATCTCCATGTCCTTGCTTCCCAGCAGAATCAGGAAGGGAGGCGGCACAATCTGAGTGTGTAGAAGGAGGGAGGGGAAATTGAAACCTGCCCATCCCTACACTTTGATAGGGGAGAAGAGTGTGTGTGCATAAAGGGAAGAGTGAGTGTATGCGTGCATGCATGTCAGCATATGTGACCCACAACCCATTGTGAGCCAAAACCTGTACACCCTTTTTTTAAAAAAAAAATTTATAAAATGAAAATAGAAAATACTTTTTATATTTCACAAATTTAAATAAAAAACCAGTGAAAGCTAAATATTACAGAAATGCCTACCCAAATCTATCATAAAAATAATAACTAAGTTGTATAACAGAGAAGTGCAAAACCTAATAAAGGATTAAGTCATTTTTTAAAATGATAGTGTGATGCACAAGTTAAATCACAATGACTGAGCTACCAGAAAAAAAACTTGTACCAAATTATATGTAAATCACGTTGTGGCTCACCTGAACTCATCGTACCTGTCAAATAGGCACCTACTGAACCTCCATCACCAGCCATTCCACCTGGCTGCCTCAGAGACAGAAAGCCCCCCTACTTTTGCTTGGCTGGAACCCACTGCTGCTTGGCTCTTCCCCTCCAAGAATTGTCTATATTAGTAAATATTCAACCTAATAAATGAGGGGAACTCAAGAGGAAGTCCTGCGTAAGTTGAAAGTGTACATAAATGGGTTGTGAGGTCCACTGACTATGACAGAGGACACAATGAGCACCAGCAGACATTTGACTGAAGATGGGAGGAATTTAAAAAATTACCAGTAAAATATACATTGGGTAGTTATCAATGGATGTGTATGGCAACTAGATAATACTTGAAACAAGGTAAGTTCTTGAATAGTTTATCATTGCAGAAACTTAAAGCTATCCTTGGGTTATTAATTAATATTGTTGTTTCTCTTGAGACATGACACAGGAAACGGCCTTCTGGAAAACCTATGGCTATTATGATCTTAGTATATATTTCTGCAGTTAGAAATGGGAGCATCAAAGCTAAGATGAAAAATGAATGATTAAACTGGTGGTGTAGTGGTTAAGAACATGGGACTGGGACTCAGAGGATCTGGGTTCGAATCCCCGTTCCGCCATGGAGCCAACTGGGTGGCTTTGGGCCAGTCACAGACTCTCAGCCCAACCTACCTCACAGGGTGGTTGTTGTGGGGATAAGATGGAGGAGGAGAATGATGTAAGCTGCCTTGAGCCCTTTGTAGGAAAAAGGCAGGATACAAATTGAAAAAAAAAAAAAAAGATTTGAACATAACTGATGATCATTTTCTACAACATAGCTTTTACAAATGTAGTAGAAATTTATTAGTAGTTCATGAAAGCCATAAAGTTAGGAGATGAATTCATACATAATTTTAATCAGTAGCAAAATAACTTCTTTTACTTTTAATTAAAATTTACAGTAAATTTACAAACATCACCACTTATTCAAAAGTGAGGTATTTCCATTCTTAAAAAAATACAATACATTTTACAATAAAGTGCATATATTATTTTTGCCCTAAATGTAAACTAGGGAACAAGCAGTCAATACTTGTGTTATTTTTGTTTATTTTAAGGTTTTTAATAGCATTTAAGGCATGTTGCAAATAATTATGTTACAAATATAGCAGCTGATAATATATTAAAATAAATCCAAGTTCAACAGCCTTCATTAGGCCAAGTCAGTATTTTCTGTGCCCTAGGGGATGAGTAGCATCTGTTATGCTCTTGTACCTCTGTGCTGGAGGCATGATGTCCATGTATGAGGGAGCTGCAACCTGGAAGAATAAATAACACGATGAAGAAATGCATTCATCACAACACACCACAAAATATTTTGTCAATAATACATTACCTTCTTTTATAAGCCAAGTACAGCAATGAATTTGTTTCCAGGACAGAACTAATTATGTATTTACACAATGAAATGAAACTGAAATTTGCCAATGCTCACCAATGGCACACACACACTTCAGAATGGTCAATTTCACTAATTTATTTTTCATACTTAGGCACCTTAATTCTTGCCACTGTGTAACATGACTCTAGGCTTAAAAGTCAAACTTATTATGCTTAAGGTGACTCCAGGCTTAAGATTAAGGTCATACAATCATGCGTATACGAGGACATGCAGGACACACTTTCCTTCCTCTTCCTGAGTAGAATATCTGTGTTGCAATCCAGAACAGTGTTCAGGTTGCAGGCAAAAGGGGCAATGGGAGGAGAGGGGGAAAATGGGTGAGGAGAGTAGTTGTTGGGAGCTGGGTTTCCCTCTCAATTCCTTTCAAACAACAGTCTTTTGCTGATCTCATTATTTCCAATATGCAGCTAGCAAACTCCAGAAGAGTCTCTGTGCATGAACAGAGTGATTCATTAAACCCAAACTAGAAATTATTTCCGAGAACCCTTCTTTTCAGTAAACTTGGGCTTCACCCCTCTGGAAAAGGGCTAGCCTCCTAGGTTTACACAAGCTCTTTAACTGGGTTTCTCCTGATGCCTGGCCTCCTCCTACTCCTCTTCCATGTATCCTCCCTGTACTTCCAAACCCTGTCAGTTGTCAAGGTCTGCCTCAACACCTGAGGATGAAGGCCATGAGATAACCTCACCTTCCTCTGTTCACACTCAACTCCCAGCCTTCACAGTCTTCATCTAAGGAGTTGGTGCCATCCTGGCCCTAAAGTTCACTATGCAGCTTTGAGAAGCACTTCAAGAATAACTGCCTCTTTCATTCCCAATAGTAGCCAAGGGTAACTTTTTTAGAGTCCAATTGAGACTATTTAGGTATTTGTAATTGGTGTTTTACATGTCAAATACTCTATGTATTTGTTTACATTTGTAGCCAACTTCATCACGAACGCTTGGTGCAATCAACAAGTCAGTAATGCTAAGGTTCCCACTATCCCTGTTTAACTCCAAGCCCCAAAGATAGCTTAGACAGATAGAACTTATGATTCAGAAAGTAGGCAGCACATGCTCCACTAATGGCCTTATTTTGCAGCCCCTAGTGCCACACCACCAGCAAAATTTACTGACACAGTAAAAAGCCCCACAACAGTTGGATATCAAAATTTGGTGGTATGGTGACAGCAGCAACAAGGGAATTACTTTGCTTTAAAACAAGGTATATGGTGAGTGTGTACTTCGTTTTCAAGAAAAATCGTGTTTCTGAAAGCGTGCAAGTTTTGCTGCCATGCTGCTGAAATTTGGCAGCAGTATCAACACTGCAGTGGCAAATTCAGTGGTGACAAGGAGATGTGTGGTCTCTTGTGCATCCTTGGAGTAGATGAATTGGACCTTAGGCCCATCAAAGCTGACTTCCTTGGTGTAACTACTTGCTTGCAATTGCTGCTTCAAATCACATTTGAAATCTCACTGGAAAGGGATGTGGGGAATTTTGAAGTATACTTTAGCTCACTATAATTTGCCCCAAGTGCCCAGTTGCTATAAAGTATTATAGGATGGATCGAAGTAAAATCTATTCCAACATTCTGGGTCTAACAGTAGCAAGTCAAATGTCTTTGGAAGTTTGCAAATAAAGTCTTGACTTTTGAATGATTACCTTTCTTGACTCTTTATCAGATACAAATCATATGCACACACAACTTGGAAGAGCAAATGTTTATGCTTACCAAAGGGGAGATAGTTTGTAAAACACTTGCAGATGATGGGGTTTGGTTGATGGTTTCACGAACATCTAAAATGGTATAAAATAAGAGTTTATATGGTGGAAGGGAAACGTGATGTACAATCACTAAGTGCATAGTCTCATAAACCTCTGAACTGGGAGGCTCACACTTATCCAGCACAGAGTGGAAGGACTGCCTGATGCAATTTTTGCTTGCCTGCTCGTCATGCTCTATATTTGTGTAATACAAAACAGCCATTTCTAGCAATACCATGTCAGAGGTGAAAGGAAAGAGTCTGGACTGTATCCTGTATCTGTAGCCTTCATCCTATATCCTCACCACCACAGTCTCCTCCCATATCCATCCACTTTACTCCTCCCCAGAGTTCCTTTTGTGCCCTCAGAGATCAACTGTCATGGTTCTATCCATGTTGGCTATGAAGGGCAGAACTCTGAATCCCACCTTTGAGGTTGGAGCATCGTCTTTGAACTTTGAAGCTGTGAATCTGAACTACTCTATGTCATCTCAGATTATGTGCAGGGGCATGGGATCATTCTGGCATCCAAAGCTAGTGTACTCCCTTTGTCTACAGAGGCTGAAACTGCAATAAAGAAGTGCTTACGTATCAAAATATGCTTTATATAGGACACTAGCATGTGTGTCATGGCTGTAAACATTGTACTGGAAAAAATGAATGTAGCTGGTCACATTCCCACATTCTGTACCATAAACCAAAGAAAACAGTCAGGAACAGTCATTCCACTGTTCATAGCTTGGAAACTAACAAAACAAATGTTATATCCGAAACACTTAAGCCCATTGGCCTAGAGACTGTTCATAACAAGCTTTTTATCTGACTGGATAGAATAAAATTAAAACTGAAAAATGTCAACACATTATGAACAGTTGGATTTAATTTTACACAAGCAAAACGCCTTGCCAAATTTCACATCAAGTATGAGTTTTGGGCTTGAACTACTGCAAGGTATTATTTGTTGAAAGGTGGGAGGCAAGACAGTGCGAAGTTTAAAAAAAAGATTATTCTGTCTGAATTATTTGTTTACACTTAGGTGGCTTGACAAACTGATTATTACACTGGTGCAGGTCACAGCATGACCAACCGTACACTTACTCTGCAGCCTTTGATTAATGCGGTCAAGTGACTGAAGAACTTTGTGCTCTTCGAATGACAGGGAAGTCATTCCTTGCCGTGGGGGTCTGTTCAGCACAACAGTCTGTTTGTGCAGTTGGGCCGTGTCCAAACCAGTCAAGATTTCACTTTCAGTAGCTGACATGTTCACTAAGTTTTCAGCTAACAGAAACTGTGTAGTGCTATCTGAAACTAATAACAGGAATGGATTAGCTATTAGGTTCAATGTAGTTTCATAGCCTTCATTTATAGCTCTTGGCCCTGCTAACAACATTTCTTCATGTTATCTCCTGAATCCTATTTATTTACATGGTACCATCATCATGACCGCCCATAAAACAAGCTAACTACAATCCTGGAATCATAAGGGTGGTTTTTTGAGGAGGAGAAAACTGGATACACAGAAAAAATAGAAATGAAATACTTTTCCTATTTTTCTATTAATATTATTAATAAGAAGTGAATTATGCACACTGTATTGTTCATTTTGATACTATGAAGCTGATCTACCTTAATAGTGTTTTTGTAAGAAACAGAAATGCCACCAGAGTAGTACTAGCATGCCTGAGTGTGTGTACTTCAAATGCAGCTTTAATCCTTGCAGAATTCCATGATGTACTACTCATTTTTAAAATAATGAACTAGATATGAAGGATAGAAAAAACTTTGTTACCCTTGTTCTGTGTAAATCCAAAAAGTGCCCTTGATCTTGTGACAACGCTTGTTCTCTCTTACTGTCCCCAACTAGTGTAATATTTTTCTCCTACCATTTGTCTGGTTTCTTACCTTGGCTTATTAAAATGCCCTGTTAAAAACTTGACTCATTATTCTGACCTTCTCCAGCTGATCTGGAAGATTAGAAAGCTAACGGTTTTTGGCGGGAAAAAACTCCGCTCCCTCCCCCCACAGTATAAATAGAGCGGAGCATCTGCCATTTTACTAAGTCTCGAAGACCGACATTCGCCCCCTAATAGAGAATGACAGTACCACAGCAAGCTACATCAGTACCGTAACATTAGTATGGAACCGATATAAAAGAAGTCCACTCACCGACACCATGCGGGGCTGGTGGGTGGGTGGTGTGAATGCACAGATGGCCACTCAAAGAACATCAGTTACAGGTAAGCAACCTGCTTTTCTTCGTTGTGGTCTCTGTGCATCACACATACAGGTGATTAGCAAGCTTACCAGACTCGGAGGAGGGAGGTGTCATCATTGAAGAATGGCAGAAAGCACCGCTCTGCCAAAGGAACAGTCCTGTCTGGCGCGCACATCAAGCCAATAATGCTTGGCAAAAGTACACGGAGCAGCCCAGGTTGCGGCTCTGCAAATATCTTGAAGTGGAACACCTGCCATAAAAGCCAACGAAGTCGCTACTGCTCGTGTAGAATGGCCCCTCGGAAGTGTAGGTAAGTCCATCCGAGCCAACTGGTAGGCCAACACAATGGTCTGCACAATCCATTTAGATAATCGCTGAGATGAGACTGGAGAACCTTTGTCATTATCAGCATATTTAACGAAAAGTCTGTTAGAATTCCGAAAGGATTCTGTATGAGATCTGTAAAAAGCAAGGCAGCGCCGAACATCAAGTGTATGGAGAGAGCGCTCAATCGGAGTCAATGGAGATGGAAAGAATGCAGGCAATGTGATATCCTGATTCAAATGAAATGATGTAGCCACCTTAGGAAGAAATGTTGAGTCCATTCAAAGAACCACGTTTTCTTTGTGGAAGTTCAAAAATGGTGGGTCTATGCGTAGAGTGCAAAGCTCACTGGCCCTTCTGGCTGAAGTAACCGCAACAAGGAAGGCAGTTTTCCATGATACAAGACGTAGATCCACCGTCACCAGAGGTTCAAAGGGTGGCTTTGTTAGCGCTTGGAGTACAACAGAAAGACTCCAAGTCGGCATGACCGGGCGAATTGATGGGTGTAGATTCTGAAAATGACGAATCAGAGGTTGAGAAAAAAACCGATGAGCCTTGTATGGTACCACGGAAATGTGAGATAGCAGCCGTGTAAACCTTTATGGACGAAGGCTTAAGTCCCAAACGGTGAAGTTCGAACAGTTTGAATGGTAAAACGTTCTCAATGGATGCTGATTCAGGAGAAAAGGAATGACGGTCGGCAAAGGAGGAAAATCTTTTCCATTTTGCTGAGTAAGACCGGCGTGTAGTAGTGCAGATTCGAGAATCGCTCTATCAGGATGTAAAAATGTCGAATCCGAGATGGGTACTGTTGATCCCGAAGGAGGAGTCGGTCGCGTATGCAATTGAGGAGAGGGTCCAGTGAATCGAGACAGTAACGGAACCGATAGAGAGACCGAATCTAGCGAATGCTCCACGCTGTCAGTTTGACCAAGGCTAGGTCTGGGTGTTGGATTGTTCCATTGCACTGAGTCAATAGGTGAGGGACCGGTGGAAGTCGATGGAAAACACCTTTGGATTGAAGGAGGAGAGCAGTGAACCAGGGTTGCCTCAGCCACCATGGGGCTATTAAAATCCCTGTAGCATTGTCCTGGACAATCTTCGATACCACCTTCATCAGAAGGGGAATTGGAGGAAACGCGTAGAAAAACAGGTTGCTCCAATCGATCATGAGGGCATTTCCCCTCGAGTTCTGTCTGATACCCGCTCTGGAGCAAAACAGTTTACATACCCTGTTTGTTCGGGTAGTGAACAAGTCTCTGTCCGGGTATCCCCACAACTGGAATAGTTCAGTGCAAATTGTCCGGCCCAACTCCCACTCATGGGTCGTTGACATCTGCCTGCTCAGTGTATCCGCTTCTACGTTGTTGGTCCCTGCAAGGTGCACCGCCAGTAGCATTATGTTCCGTGGGATGCACCAATCCCAGATCTGCATTGACAATCGGGCCAAGAGGGGCGGAGACCTGGTTCTGCCTTGCTTGTTGATGTAGAAGACAGCAGCCATGTTGTTGGACGCAATCTGCACAACTTGGCTGTGTATAACAGTTTCGAAGGATTTGAGAGCGTTGAAAATCGCCAGAAGTTCGAGGAAATTGATGTGTCTCCCCACTTCCTGTCGGTTCCAAGCTCCTTGGACCCGAAGTCCTGCACATGCCGCACCCCATCCGATGAGGGACGCATTGGTGTACCATGTCACAGTTGGATGGGGCTGATGGAACAGAACGCCTGTAGACAGCTTGCGTGTAAAAGTCCACCATATCAGGGAGTGAAGGACCGAGGATGGGATCCGAAGAAGCCTGGTTTATAGGTCCCATTGCGGGTGAAATGATCTGTTGAAGAACAATTGAAGCAGCCGAAGTCTGAGTCTTGCGTAAGGCACAATGGCCACTGAGGCTGCCATGTGCCCCAGTAGTCTTTGTATGGTGACGGCCTGCACTGTCCTTAGTCGTCAGATCCGATGGATGTGGGCACACAGCGTGGCTCCGCGGGATGGAGGAAGAAACGCTCTTTGTAGAATAGAGTTGATACGTGCCCTGATGAAATCGATGACCTGTGTCGGGATAAGTGATGATTTCTTAAGATTAATGCATAGTCGAAGGTATCAAGCAAAGTACAAGTTGCACGGACAGCCGCAAGGAGATTGGCCTTAGTCTGTGACACAATGAGCCAGTCATCTAGGTAGGGGTAGACTTGTATACCCTGAAGCCGTAGGTGGGCGCATACTGGAGCCATGCATTTTGTATAGACTCTCGGTGCCGTAGCTAGACCGAACGGGAGCACACTGAATTCGAAAATATCGGATCCAACAGTAAATCGCAGGAAGCGTCTATGGGAAGGATGGATAGAGATATGAAACCAAGCATCCTTCAAGTCCAATGAGGTGAACCAATCCCCTTTTTTCAGCAACAGAAGGATATTCTGTAAGGTGGTCATCCGGAACTACTTTGGTTTAATGTATCTGTTGACATTCCTGAGATCCAGGATAGGTCGAAGACCACCGTCCTGTTTGGGGACCGTAAAATATCGGGAATAGAATCCGTGAAGCTCATCAGTGCAGGAAAGTTGTTGAATCGCACCTTTACAAAGAAGTTGGTAGACCTCATTGCACAGAACCGAAGATGGTGGCATAAATCGGATAGGGCTCGATGGTGGAACAATGTTGAATTCTATTCTATATCCGAGCTGAATGATGGACAACACCCACCTATCAGATGTAACGGTCTCCCAAATGGGGAGTCGGTTTTGAAGCCAGTTCCCGAAAGGGAGAGGGGAAGGTGGGGAATGGAAAGATGGATTGGTTCGCCAGGACTGTCAACGAGGGCGTTTCTCGGAGTTGAAGTGCCAGTGGCCCTGAGAGAAGCGCTGTTGAGGCTGTTGCCTTCTACGCTGCTGCCTCTGCTGGTAATGTTGGCAGGGTTGGTACTGTTGGCGTCCATAAGGCCTGGACCATGACCACTTATGTTCAGTTTGTGGGAGCTCCATGCGACGCGCTGTCATGCGGGATTCGTGGATGGCTTTGAGTTTTTGATCGGTCTTCGAGTGGAAAAGACCAGTGCCATCAAATGGCATCTCCTCTATCCTCTGCTTCATCTCTTCAGGAAAATTACAATTCCTGAGCCACGCATGCCATCGTAAGGAGATAGCACTGACCATGGCCCAAGAGTCAGTGTCCACGTGATGTCTTGCTGTGGACAACTGCTGTATGGCCACTTGCATCGCCTCTTTTATAAAGACCCTGGCTAGATCTGCCTGTTGGTCCGGAAGGGAGGAGGCAACGTTATCCAGCTTCTGCATTATGAAGTACTGGTAACGTGCCAGAGTCACTTCATAATTCGATATGCGCATGCCGAGTCCTGCAACCGCATAGACCTGATGTGCAATCATATCAACCTTCCTCCCTTCTTTAACTCGGGGTGTTGTATGGCCCCGAGCCTCCCTGCCCTGGGACGACTCGACCACCACAGAGTTGGGCTTCGGGTGGGGCTGCAAGAATGGAATATCTTCCTCTCTGACCCGGTAAATAGACTCGTACCAATGAGATGTTGCTTGCGGTTGTGCCGATTGGTCCCAGGGCTGGACCACTGCCTGGTGGAGCATGGTAATTAGAGGCAAGGCAATGGTTGCGGACTGTTCTCCCCGGACAATATCATAAAATTGGTGCTGGGGCCGGGGCGATGGTAGGCCTCTATTTCCAGCGACTGAACCAGACGAGAGACGAGTTCCGAGAAGGAAACATGAGGCTTGTCTGGGGATCCAGGGTCTTGGGAGGTGATGGCCACATCCGGGGACGTGGAGTCTACTTCTGACTCGTCCGAGTCCTGGTGGTAGCGGTAGTGTTCGCTAGACGAGGAGGTCTCAGGAGAAGGCGGAGGTCTTTGTTCCGCATGGCTGGACATGGACGGCACCTCTCTCGGGATCGACGGTGAACGACGGTCCCGAGGGTAATAGGCATAGGGTGGACAGCCACTCCAGCTGGGAAAACCGCCATAACCCGGCGTAGGCCAGTCATCCCCCTGGCGTTCCAATGAGTAGCTCCTATGCCTAGGCGGCGACTGTGCTCTCTCAGGTGGCCCAGCAGTAGGCATCGGAGTCGGAGAACGCTGTCCTGGTGGGGAATCTCTAATTTCTCTGTCGGAAATGGATGCCTGAAGCGGTGGCTTCGGTGGGGGAGACATGCTCTCAGGCCGAAGCACAGGCCTGGGGGATCCCGGCGGAGTCACCTGCATCGCCATTTGCAGGGCCGGTCCCAAGTGAGTCGGTACCGTAGCGGTGGTCGGTACAGAGAACCCCGACGAACCCGAGCCCCGGTGCTTGGAGCAGTCGAGTTTCTTGCCCTTATGGGCCGCCTTAGCCACCTTGCCTTTCCTCGGCTTCTAATGCATGGAGGATTTGTCCGGTTCCGAGTGCTTACGCTTCTCCTTTTGCTTAGTTGGAGGAGAAGGTAGCTGTTGCACTTCCGTCGAAGCAGCGCCTTCATCTGAAGGACACTGCAGTGGCGCGGCCAATGCAGAGGTGGGGCACTTAGAGGGCGCGGCTAAAGCAGAGGCGGAGCGCTGCGGTGGTACAGCTGAGGAAGGGGTAGGCCTTGGGACCAACTGGTCTGATTGGAGCAAGGCCTGATCCCAAAGCAGCTTACGGAGACGATTCTCCCTATTTTTCCTGGCCTGTTTAGTAAAGGCCAGGCAATGCCCGCACTTGTCGGTCCTATGCCCCTCGCCAAGGCAGAGGAGGCGTAAGTCGTGCGGGTCGGCGGGAGACAATTTGGAACCGCACTCACTGCACTTGCGGAATGCCGCCGCTGTGCCACTGCGAAAAAGAAGAAAGAGATGATAGTACAGAGGGTAAGAATAATATTTTTGTTTTTTTGTTTTAGATAGAAGAAAGAATTACGACGAGGAAGAGGAAAAAGAACTGGGAATATAACGAGGAACGAGGTTAGTAGAAAAAGGTATAACCGTAAGGAGCACAAGGCAAAAAATCTAGCAAGAGACGTTAACAGGCACGAGGCACAGCGAACGGCGGTCGCAGAGACAGTAAAATGGCGGACGCTCCGATCTATTTATACTGTGTGGGGAGGGAGCGGAGTTTTTTCCCGCCAAAAACCATTAGCTTTCTAATCTTCTGGCCTAGGCACTGCACGGGTGCAGCACCCATATGTGTGATGCACAGAGGCCACGACGAAGAAATGACACATACACCAAGCACTGGGCAAGTTCACACATCACACCAACCCATCCTGGCAACAAGTCAAAGTAGGTTGCTTGTTGTCCAGAAAGCCACAGGACAGCCAACAGACAAGCAGGATCACCATGGATTGTTTACCGCCCCTTCCCTGCCATCCTCTAAGTATCCCAGGGAATACCACTGTTGGACTGACATGTCTTCCCTCCCCTTCCCACCATGATCATGAGCCATTTTTGGATCACCATGGTTATTTTGCACATAACTCCTTCTGAGATTCTAGTCCAAGTACACCACCCCCACAACCACTGATTAGCTCAGTGCCTATTTTCAATTTTTGGTAGGGATGCACTTTAGAACTTTCCTAAGCACCAGGAGCTTTGGGGAAAAGTGCAAGCTGTACAGCAGCCTGTGGACTGCTAGGGAGAAAAAAGGTAGAAATGCAAAGAGTATACAATTCACAATACCCCCTTTCAGAAACAAATATCACTCACACCTTTGCATTCTCTTGGAAACTTTCATTTTGACGCATGTCAAGGAAAAGCAAAGGGGGGACATACCTTTAGGGCCTAGGCAAGGGTTGGTATCTGTTGAACAAACTTATTTTTGCACGCTGCACAAAAATTTAAAAAATGATCTGATGACTGTAAAGCCAGCTTTGCAATTTCAGAAAAAAAGGGTAGAGTGCAAGAGTTTTTTGCTGCTCTTGCCAAGCAAGTTGCTAGCCAATCCCTGGGACCTATGATAGGGTTGATTGTCCAGGTTTGAATAATGTGGTATCTCATCATGTGCTCAACAAGATCTAGAACAAGCTATGGGTTGTCCAGTTGGTTTGCTGCCTTCAAACAAGCCACAAGGCAGGAATTGCTCTAGGTTCACATGACACAAAAAACCATCATGAGCAGCCACCCAACACATCAGGGAGTGAGTATACAAGATACAGCAGCATTACCTTCATCAGAATTACTGATAGCACACCTGGCTTGCACTGGCTCATATGCACACTGAGATGGAGCCTGCTTCAAGGCCTGTAATATATTGTATATTAAAAAAGGGATATTTAGCATCAAACAACATCACAATAGTAAGCAAAATGAATTAAATTAAAATTAATAAAATAATACAGGCAAATCACAATCTAGAAGTACTGGAATTATTCTGTAATCTAAAGCAAATAAAAAGGGGGAAAAACAAAAAAAAAGTCTTTAATAATATGCAATTGTATTACAGAGGACAACAGCCTGTAATTGTGGGAAATGATTCAAATTATTAGTAGTACTCAAAAGTTATTTCAGCTATTGACTAAAGAGGACTGTAATGCTTGTACACTAGAAACAACAGAGAAATGTCACCATATTGAGATTTAAAACAGCCTGTTATTGTAAGGGTTATTATGCTTCACTGCCACAATGAAGGTCATATTTGGGAGGGGTGTTTTCTACTTATCATAGGATCATAGAAGTATAGAATACTTATTTATTATTCATTTACAGAATAAATTATTTATTCCCTTTTTATTCAAATTATTAATTCAGTTTACCCTAGATGCTCAGGAAAGTGCAAAAGTGCACGCCCCCCTGTAACACTGCCACCAGGAATTCAATTCCAATCTTATTAACTTCTCCCACTATATTGTGTCCAAGCTATAAGGCTCCTTCCTTGGACTATGTGATCCTGAGGATGAGACACTGCTATTCAAACCTATGATGCTGATTTAACAATAAACAAAATAAAACTTTATTTGTATAATAAGTGTATTGTTTTCAAGATGTTCTGTAACTTATTTTCTTAGTAAATAAAACAGTGTTTAATAACAACTTTTGACAGCGGTATCTCACTCTTTCCCTTTTCTATCTTTCCTCACTCTCAAATCTTCCTTTTTCTCCTGAATGTAAATTTGGCCAGGCTTTATTCAATTTCTCTCAGTTCAATCTTTCCCTTCTGCACACAGGTTTCTGTCAGCGTCTATCGCTCACACCCTTATAATACTTGACAATATTAGGTAATAACTCTCCCTAAGTGCTCATATGTCCTCTAAGTATTCCATTTCCTTTCTTTTCCCTTTGACCTCATGAATCATAAATGCCTTCCAGAGCACTATCTAGGATTCTGAAGAGAAGGCTGCCTCTTCATTTTCTGCAGAAAGCTGACTGATTCCAACTAACTGTGACTGCTGATAGACCACAACCTTGACTGTTAACTTCTGACGGACTGATAGCATTTTTTCCTTCATTCTCATTCCTCACACACTGCCAAGCCCTGCCCACACACTCTCAATCACCAACCAATCCCCTCACTCATTCATCCCCCTCTATTACCCCTCTTCCCCTTTTGAAATTGAGTTTTAACAGTTATCAAAATGTATTTCTCCCCAAAATGGGCTGGAATGCACTTTTGCACTTTTCCCAAGCTCTTTCCCAAGTCTCATGAAAAAGTGCTAAGTATAAAGGATCCTGAGGGCAGTCGAGGCAAGACACAAAAGTGAAAGGGGTGATTTGCCATCCCAGTTTGCAAGAAGAGATGCCTTGTGGCTTTGCCTTTCCTTGTCAGCTCCCCTTTCAACAGCTGTCAAGAAAATCCCTATCTGGAGTTTCTCTCAATCAGTGTCCGTCAGTGCTACATCCTGCACTTTGACAACATCCAAGGACACTGCCAACCTGAAGTGTCCTGTTTTTGTGCTCACAGAATAATAAGCCTGTGTAGTTCCATAAATGCTGCTAAAGTTTTGTTTTTATAGTACAAACATATTTTTATGCATTTAAAAAAAACAGCTTGCCAACCACTGAAATCACCACCTCCAGTGTGCCTCCTGGGCACTCTCAAGGGGCTGCTACTGGCTGTCAGAGCAGAGATCGCAAACACTGGCTGTCAAACCATGTTGTGCAATCTGAGGGGAAAAAAGATAAAGTTGGAAAGAAGCTGCAGTGAGTGAAAGGAGTTCATGACCATAGTAGAGGGCACTCAGCAAGTGACAGTCACCACAAAGTGACACTTGGGCACTTATGGGCAGCTGGCAGTGGCCTGAGCAAGCTTGGCAAGAGAAGCAAAGGTACTGCCGCTTTGGCCAAGACCCTCATTTACTGCTTCTCTTCACCTACAATGGGGATGGCTGCTCCTAGATTTGGAAAATACTATCAGTGAAACATCCCCTACAACCAGCCATGGGATTTCAGAGAGGCTTCTTTCCATTAAGAAAGCAAGTCTATGGAAAGGGTTCAGTTCTGCACACTCAAACAACCCATCATGGTTTATAATCCATAGTGGGCTGACATGTTTTGTGAACTCTGTCTATATTTCAGGTGCAAAATACCCAATCTCCGCATTCTGCCAGGTCAGTGTGGTTGGAACAAGACGTCCAGAGACATCCACAGAATTATTTTACTATTTCTGACAATGTCATTCAATAATTTATTAGCTATACCTTTCCAACATTATTGGGCTTGTGTCCCACAGATGCTGTCACTTGTCTCCTCTGTTCTAAAAGAGCCTTGCGTTTATTTTCATTATTTTCATTACCAAGTTTTCTTCTTGCAAAAGTAACTGTTGCTGAAAGTGATAAAATGCCCACTTTGAACACATGCTAGAAAAGTGGCACATACATTTTTAAAACAAATTAACCATAGAAACATATAATGAACTCAAAGGTACCCAGAAGTAAAACTGAAAAAGAAATGCATAGATTGCTTGAGTCTGCCACTAAATTCAATCAATAATATGGAAGAGGCTGGATGCAAATCTGCCTGTATGTTACCTATATGGTTTGCTTCAGGGGATTCATTTGTAATTTGTAAGGGAGACTCAGATCAGAAAAAAATGCAGGAAGGAAATAAAAGAACTTTACAACTTTGTAAGAACCTGCTTGTGCTTACCCTCCATACATCCATACTTTTCCTTGGTCAGGAAAGATGCCCCAGATTGCATGGTCCTGTATTGCCTTATGAAGCATCTAGTCTGTGTGCCAGGAAAGGAATTCCTCTTCCCATTTAATCCATCCTGTCTGGCATGGGTCTCATCACACAAGGTCTCCTCTAGCAATACTGTAAGGCTCATACGCCAGGTTATCAGAAGGAACATCTCATCTCTTATGTACCTACCTGGACTCTAAGATCATCTTCTGGGGTCCTTCTCTGGGAATCCCCTCAAAGGAAGTAAAGAGGGTGGCCACCAAGGGCCTTTTTGGTTGCGGCATCCCAGCTCTGGAATGAGCTTTCAAAGAGGTGTGCCTGGCACCCAGTCTCTACTCCTTTTTATTTGCCCAGTATTTTAACAGTTAACTTTTTAATTTTAGTTTTTAAACTGTATTTCTGCACTTCTGCTTCTATACCTTTGTCCTGACTGACTGCAACTGCTGTGGTTTTGTTGTTTTAATATTTTATCATTCTATCGTTCTACATGCTATTTTCGTCATTGCATGTTTTTAACTCGTGTTAAATTTCCAGAGAGCCTTGGGCTATTGAGCAGCATAAAAATGAAATAAATAAGTAAATAGGCTTCATCAGACAATACATCAAAATCTGACAATATTTCAGTTATGGAAAAATATTGTCAATACTTCAGAAATTTCCAATATCAAAATGTGACAAAAAGAGAACCTTACTGCTTGGCTGAGAAGAAAAAATTGCATTCACCCTAACACCTGATTTAACTGTGCCCATCAGATTGCCACCATCAATAGTGATGTGAGACAGATTAGGTCTACTGGGTTGTAAGTCGCCGTTGTTTGAATTATTGCAGGGTGTGGCACAATACTGTGAATCTCCTGGAGGAAAGAAAGAACACAAAACAAAATTTTAAATTGTGAAGATTGCTAATACCATCCAACCACAAAAATTAATCTGTGTTTTCCATTTGTGCTTGTTCTTTATCATATACTTCTGTATTAGTTCAGGCCCAAGAAGAACATTTATGCAGTAGTCCTAATTCACCAGCAAAGGCATGGATGAATATCCAAGTTAAAATGTCCATTCAAGATATGCAGTGTTGAGGAACAAAGTACACTGCATAGGACTCTACCAGATGACAACCGAATTACTCAGTCAGTGCAGGAAGCTGTTTCAGAAAGCACTGTCACATCAGTTATCAGTTACTAATATATGAAACTACTCAGCCTGTTTTACCAGTTGTCCTGCACTAGCCAAAGGATTACATGGATAATTCCATGTAATGGCAAAGGGTAAATGTGATAATACTTAACACCTACCAAAGCCCTACCTCCTTCTCATACCAAGAGAACATTTATTGCAATACGGTGGCTTTACAGTTTTACAGATACTTCTCTTTTCCAAGGTACACTCATATGCAATCAATATTACAAAATTTCTATGTGGTAGATTGTGAATAGAAATTATCTCTCTGGGACATGTGCCTTTTGGTTAGTACCAATGATGTTAAACCCACCCTTGCATACACGTCTGGAGAGTTTTGAAATTCTCTTAAAAATGTTTACATTGTTTTTTTAATAAGACAAAGAATGGTGATATAAATGATACATATAGTCTTTTGATTTTGATTTAATAAAAAAGAGGTGGCTGAAGAGGACAGAAGAGGCAAGATGGAGAAATGGACAAATTGTTAATAGTCCCCTGCTGTTGGAGGGTATAGAAATGAAATAAACCAGCATTTGCTTTATGTACAACAATCTTAAAAAACTATGAGCTGTGGCACAACTCTGGGTAAATAACCTTCAGTAACGTCTCTTTTTATATTGTGTCCGACTTCCCTTCTTTAGTATTGAGAGAGAGAGACTGGCCACAACAACAGAATGCATTGAATGGGGGGGGGGGCCCTCTCCTGAAAATGGAGCAGGACTCACAGAAAGCATAAAAAACAGCAGCTAAATTATTATTTGGAACTAGATGTATGGAACACATCTTCACAATCCTGAAAAAGTTGCTCTGCTCCCTGACTATATTTGGACCCAATTTTCTATAATCTTTAAAGCACAGTCTAGTCTAAGTGCCTTAGCACCAGAACACTTCAAAGACCACTTCTTCCTTCATGAATATGCCTGGACATCAGAAGTCCTTCTGCAGTTCCTTTTCCTGTCTAAGATAAGGTGGGAGGGAGTCCAGAATAAGCTTTTCTCAGTTGTGGCTAATTGATTTCTTTTCCACACCACATGACAATCTTTCATCCAGCCAGCCTTTTAAGTCCTTCTGGACCTAAACAACTGGGTTTATTTGGTATTTAAAAAAAATGTATTAGATGGGCATCAGAGGGGGCTGTTGCTGATCTCTCTTTGTTTTTATTACATACATTATTCTTTGTCTCTCTGTTTTAATATTTTTTTAATCTAGCACATTTTACTCTTTTAAAATAGTTTATCTACCATTTTTTCTTATTTTTGTGTTCTTTTTTATTTTATGTTGTACATCATCTTCATATGTGATTTAATGTGGGTAGAAACATATTTTAAATAAACATATAAAACCACTTTCAGAGGCTGGGTACCTGGTCCAGCATCAGGACCCAGCATACTGCAGTGTCTGTCATAGTGGCATTACTGCAGCCCCCATCCTTCTCATCAGGTATGGCCTAACCGCTCCATTTTGCTACTTGAAACATAGAAATAAACGGTATCCCCTCCCATGCAACTCAATGTGCAGTATAACCACACTAAGTTACTGTTGACACATGTTCCAGAAAATCCCAAAGCACTTCCAGCAATGCTGGGCGGTAAATGTACAATACAGTAATACTAAATTAAATAGGAACTATTTACTCCCTTCTCATGAAACCACAGATCTGTTGCTTGAGGCAGCAGACTGCTTTTGCCATCATGGACCCACAGGACAAAAGCAGCTGCTCAGCTCCAACGCATAATAGCTCCAGCGCTGCTGCTAGGTAAACCTGTTTGTAAAGGCATGTGCAAGGCTGACAGCAGCACTAATGCCACCATGAGGGGACACATGTAGCACTGATGGCCTTCCAAACATCACCAATGGCAGTCTGCCCACACCCCCAAAACCTGCACCCAAGCCTTGCTGTTTATACCTAACAATGAATTACAAATGCTGTCCTAAATTCATCCCCACCAGGGATAGCTTTGCTTCAGTTCAACTTCTTAAAATGAAAAGGGAGCTTCCTTTCTCTTGTCAACCAAGAATCCATGGTTTAATACACTGTGACACTATTTCTCAGGGCCAAGAGAGCTAGCCCACCCATACCCCCTTTTAAATGGGCTTCAGTATCTCCAAGATCAGACACTGAATATGATTAGGTATAAGATAATTTGTCTGGAAACAGTTCCTTACCTTGATTTAGAAGGGGAATATGTCCAGCCCTGTCTATTGGTACACCACTTCCTCTTATTATTTCTGAGATTAATATAAGATTAGCACAATGAATTTTATTCTTCCTAAATCCCTCTGAATTGGCTTTTGTATCTTTGATCAAGTATCTTTGATTTTTCATATAATTTTTACTCTATTGATTAAAAAGTTCAAACATACCAGCTGCACCATCCCTTTGACCCAGTGCACGATGTACTCCTTGCCACAAGATTGTGATTTCTTCATCAGTTGGTGTGCGATCTGGACTTAATCCATTTTCTGAGTACATGGAGCCTTTTTTGGTAAAGCTGCTATACTTGCTAATTGATTGAGCACACTTGGTCCTTTTCAAAGGCTCATACATGAATATACTGTAAGAAGGGCTCATAGTGGCCATGTGAGCTGAAGTTGAAGGATTTTCTGTAGAATCGCTTCCTAAATCTTGACTTTCAGGCAAAAGATTCCTTTCATTTAAAAAGTGACTCTTTTCAGTATCTGTGTGAGCCATGCTGTCTGATGGATTTTCATCCAGTCTTTTGCCTGGGGTAGGTTTACATGGAGGGTGAGGCATTATGATTCTTCCCTGAGTTTTCATGACCTTGGTGGCTTCACTAGCAGACTGTGGTCGAATAATAGTACCTTTTCGGTTTTTATTTATTAAAGCTGCTGATGATGAAGCTTTGGCAGATTTTGGACGTTTGATCATTTTTGTTCTACCTTTCCGTGGATTGCTTCTTAAGCTTTTAGGGTCATAATTATATGGAAAGGGTTTAATTTCTTCACCTCTTGGTGCCATCCATGCCTGTTTAGCAACATGATATCCTGCAGATACAAATGCATTCTGTATCCCATTATCTCGTTCTGAGCCAACTGTAGTAAGTTTAGCAGATATTTGAGAATTCTCCTGGTGATCTTCTGAAAAAACAGAATTGATCATACAAGGTGGGATGCTTCTAATATTAGTTCTAGAATTGCTAACTCTAATTTGAAAACTGGGTGGTTGGGGCTGTTTCTGAGGTATTTCCGTTATAGTTTGTTCTGAACATTTCTCATCATAATTTGTTCCCACAACTTCATTAACTTCATCAAACCACCTAAGTTTTTTAGAGTTCTTTTGAATGTTGGCATCTTTTCCTTTTATTTTTGCCAATTCAACACTGTCTCGAGCAGATGACACAGGCTGATTCCCAAATTTGACCCCTCTATTTATAACTATTGCCTTGAAATACCGAGATTCATATTTAGATTCTTTTTTCAAAATGCTTTTTGGCAATTTCACTACTTTTTTCTCACTGGGGGTATTCCTCTGTTGGTCATAGTCAGATAAATTGTCCATGAGGTCTTCATGAGGCACAGATAACATTTCATTCACTTTTTCCTCCCCATTGTCTTTCTGTTGATCACTATTGCTTTTACATGTCTCTTCAATAAAAGGTGTATCAATATTAACATGGTCAAAGTATTTTTCATCTTTAGCACATGTTACATAGTCTAAATCTTCAGTACACCTTGCTGCATGAGCACTTTTCCCCTTCTGCATGCAATTAAGCAAGAAGCTGTCACTGTATGGAACAGTAGTACTCCACTCTCTAACTGGAAAGATTGAAGAGGGTACCGAGTGTTGAGTGGAAGCCTGCACTGATGAGGTTGCATTATTCTGGGGAAATTCAGAATTCTGTTCTTGCACTGAAACCACTGGAGAAGAATCAGGAATAGCCCAAGCTTCGTCTGATTTGAGTACAGGTGTGTCAGTGGTTAAAGGGTATTCTGCACCAACTATTCCTGGAGATGGATTTTTCAACAGAAAGCTTTTGTCTTCTCTCTTAAATTCTGCAAAAGTTAGATTATCATCAGAAGCACACGTCTCAGTCTCTCTTTGTTCGGCTGTACTTGAACCAGATGATTTCTGATCAGGATTGCATGTATCCTCATCAGAAGGTACAACATTGTATTTAATTAAAATATCACGAAAAGGGGAAGTTGTCTGAAAATCTGAGGTATTTAAATTTATGAGCCAGTTATTTACATGCTGATTTTTAGAAAAAGTGATGTCAGTTTCATCAGAGAAATGTTTATTTCTAATCTGTGATCTCTGTGAATTGTGGAGTGAAGAATCCTGCTGTGCAGTCAAAGAAGATGTTTCACTGGGCGTTGTACAACTTTCATTTGGTTCTCCAGCCTCAAGACTGTCCACACTGCAAACACTTTCTGAATGGACTATTTCATTCACTTCTTGATGAAACTCCTGAGACAGAAAAGTAAGCAATCTATGAATATACTAAAACAGACTTATTTATTCATGTTTGAAATTCAGTCACACTTTTGGAGAAAATTGGGAAAGTACCATATTTTCCCGTGTACAAGATGATACTTTTTCTTAAAAATATTTACCTAAAAATGGAGGGGTGTCTTATACACGGGGGCTTGCGGCAGCGATTGCGGACGCACTCGGGGGGGGGGAGACTGGCGCAATTGTGGGCGCATGTGCACAGGGAGGTGGCAGGTGCATGCACGCAGCAAGTCAGCAGCTTGCTCATGGGGGGCGTCCTATACATGGGGCGTCTTACAGATGGAAAAATACGGTACTCTATTTTGTGAAAAAGAGATTTTCAAATGTGCAATTCAAAGGAATAAGATGCTCTTAGAGAAATGTTTCACTATATCTATTAATATATGTTTCAATACTAAAAACAAAGTAATGGGAATAATTTCATAAGAAACAATAGGTTTCTTCAATAGCTGTATTTATACAGTCGTTTTTTGAGTATCTAGGACACAAAATGCCATCTTGTATACAGCAACAAGTGTGTTAAAACTGCCATGAAAAGTTAATATCCCTAACTGGAGACTGTACTTGGTCACCGAATTCAGGGTGATTTTTTTAAAGTTCTCTAACACCACAAAGCTTCATTTTAGGTTCTGCACAGAGCCAAGCACAAAATTTACTTTTCTAGGTGCTGATTTATTAGATTACTAGGCAAAAGCATGGACACAATATTTATACCTTTAGTGTTTATAGCTTTAAGAAGTTCCCCCTCCAAAAATGCACTTCTAGATGGATTCTGCAAGCTTAGACAGATTACTTATGCAATCTCCTGAGACAGACACAAGCTGATAAGTGTGGCACTTGGCAGTTTCAGATATATTGATTTTTGGAAATAAGCATTAAAACATGAAGAATGCTTTCCTTTGCTATTTTAATTTCAGCCTTTAAAAATATTTTATCTCCCTCTGATTACTTAGAAATGAGAGCTAAACTTATTTATCTAGAACAAAAATATTAGCTGATACCACTTCAATAACTGCATGCTGTGAAAACTGAATTGTATTTAAAGAGTTAAAAGATACAACAGAAAAACACTTTAAAATAGCAAAATCACAAATATGTAAATACATATATTGCTACAATATTCAAGATCAGAAAAGAAAGTAGAATTATTTTTTAGAGATATAAATAGTGAAACTATTTGTACTAGTGACAGGACCTGTATTGGTTCTTTTATAGACCTTAAATGAAAGGAATTTTAGGAATCTTTATAATCCTACTGGGCCTGTAAAACAGCAAAATAAGAGGTCAAAGGGCCTCAATATATAATCACAGAAATGTGGCATATAATCTGTGCTTTGCATTTCTCCGTGCAACTGTTATGTGCAGTTAACTGAAAACAACAGAAATTAAAAGCAAAAAGTCTATTTGTGTTACAGTTTGCATTTTCAACAACAGGATCATAAAATCAGTTTCTTACCACTCATACCTATGTAATTAAAAATGGAACCAGGAGTTTTTAGCTGCAAAATAAAAGCACCGCGGGCTGAAATACTATCAGTAATTACTCTGTTGTATTTCCAGTTGTCTTTCTGTATGTTTGCATTAATAATAAGAAGGGAAGGGTCCTAAACACTGTAATTCTGATTTGTAAAACTACTGATTCAGTAGAAAAGCCTCAGCGGCCCCTAGTGGCAATTTAATTATATAAAACTAATATAAATTGTAGTATTACTTGTTATTGAAGCAGGATTCCTGATTCAATCTAAAAGAATGCATTGAATGCACTATAAGACTTTCATTGATAGAAGTACAGTAGCATTACTACTGCCTAACAAGAACAATTTTCTCATCAAAAATACTTACATCACCAGAATAATGCTAAGGCCTTTAAAGTCACAATACTATGCAAATTTAGACAGAAAAAAGTCCTACAACTCCCAATATTCTTCTGTCAGAATGGGATTTTAAAAAATTGATTCAGTAAGTGGGTGACTTTTGGCTAGTCACAGACTCTCAGCCCAGCCTACCTCACAGGGGTTGTTGTGTGGATAAACTGAGAGCAGGAAGAGGAGAATTATAAGTTGCTTTGAGTTCTTTGCAAGAAAAAAGGGGGGTATAAATTTAATAAATAAATGTGCAACTGGAATTTTTTTAGCCATCTTTATCAAATACACACTTAAGCTATCCAGTATGAGAACTGACAAGATAAGATTTGCCTATCACATAATTTCTCAAGGAGGACGTAGGGGAGAATAAAACTGTGGGAAAGGAGGGATCCAGTAGGACAATTCAAAGGCACCAAAAACTACAGGGGAGTCCAAAGGGCAAGTACATCAAAAGAAGGGAATAGGAAATGTATTAAATATCTCCCCTTTGGTGCCCACCACCTTTTCAACACCTCCCTGAACACACTGTCCAGCTACTAACTCTCAGACCTGTTTTTTGCACTTCCTTTTCAGAGCAGTTACTGTGTTCCCTCAGGTTTTTAAAAAGTGCAGAAATATACATAGATTTAATGGCCAGAAAGTAAATAGAAGGGGAATTTGCACATCTTCATGAACTGCTACATTACTGCAGGTGCACTAATTTCTCCTCCATCTACTTCCCAGTTATTATATTTCTATATATTAGTCTTCCATTTACTCCCAGCTCTAAAAACCCTCAAATATTCCCAACAGTTAAAACAAAAGTACCCATAGAAGGTGGAAGAATGGGACAGAACAGACTGTCCACACCAGCAGTACACACACCTCCAACCACAATGGATCCCCAAGGAGCTGTGAAAAGTGGGGTGAGGGGAGTTAATATTTCCCCTTTCTGGCACTGCTGGAGAGCCACCAAAATGCTGAAAATCTGAAAGACACTGAGATGTGTCAGTTCAAACCAAAAGGATCACATCCCAGGCTGCCTTGGTTGCCCTGTGCTGGGAGAGAGACAAAGGGAGCACAAACGTTTATCTTCGTGGACCTCTCGGTGGTTTTTGATACCATCGACCACGGTATCTTTCGGGAGAGGCTGGCTGGGTTGGAAGTTGATGATACGACTGTGGTGGTTGGTGGATGGTGGCTCTGCTTCTACCTGGCTGGCTGTCTATAATTGGTGGAGCTGGGGGATCGTTGTTCTGTCCCATGGCACTTGTGCCATAGAGTTCTGCAGGGCTTCATTTTGTCCCCTATGTTCTTTAACATCTACATGAAACTGCTGGGAGATTTGGGCTGAACCAATATGCTCTACCTCTTGTTCTCATCTAATCCAGGTGAGGCAGTGAATGTTCTAAACCAGTGCCTTGGCTTAGTAATGGACTAGATGAGGGCCAGTAAGCTGAGGCTCGATCTAGACAAAACGGAGGTGCTGCTGCTGGGCAGTCCATCCATCCAACTGGGAAATTTTTAACCTGTCCTGGACAGGGTTGCACTCCCCCTAAAGGGCGAGGTTCATAGCTTCTGGATGCTCTTTGACCTGAGTTGTTGCTTGTCTCACAAATGACCTCAGTGGCCAGAAGTACCTTCTATTAGCTTAGGCTGATCTTTCAGCTACGCTCCTACTTGAAAAAGTAGACAGTTATCCATTCGCTGGTAACCTCTTGCCTGGATTACTGTAATGTGCACAACATGGGCCTGCCTTTGAAAATGGTCTGGGCACTCTAGCTAATTCAAAACAGAGCACTGTGGTGGCTAATGAGAACCAGTCCTAGAGAGAACATTTATTTATTTTAATTTTTATTTATTTATTTTTCGATTTCTATCCTGCCTTTTTCCTCCAAATGGCTCAAGGCAGCTTACATCATTCTCCTCCTCCATCTTATCCCCACAACAACAACCCTGTGAGGTAGGTTGGGCTGAGAGTCTGTGACTGGCCCAAAGTCACCCAGTTGGCTCCATGGCTGAGCGGGGACTAGAACCCAGATCGTCTGAGTCCCAGTCCCATGCTCTTAACCACTACCCCACACTGGCTCTCTCCCATATCACAGCTGTCCGCCACCAGCTGCATTGGCTGGCTGTTGTCGCTAACATACAGAGCCTTAAACAACTTGGGGTTGGGATATCTGAAGGAACGCCTATCTCCATATATCCCTACCAGACCTCTAAAAGTCTTCCACAGAGACTCTCCTTTGCAATCCCCCTTAAGTAAGGGGGGGAAATGGCAAGGAAAAGGGCCCTTTATATCTTCCCAAGGAAGTACGACTGGCACCTTCACTACTCAGTTTCCAACACCAAGTAAATACTTTTTTATTTACTGTTTTTAGTAAAATTCCTGATCCTATTTTACTTATTTCTGCTTACTTTTATCAATCTGTGCACTTGTTCTCCTGTTCTGTATTTTATATTGATTGGATTTTATGCTGTGCTGGATGTAATAGTTTTAATATTTTTATTCTTTTATGGTTTATGCTGCTGTTTGCTGTTTTTCTGAGCTGTCCAGAGAGTCCTTGAGCTATGGGGCAGCATCCAAATGTAATAAACAAACAAACAAACTCCTTTGGCTCTTCCAGCCAGCCCTTTTCCATGCTCCTGACTTACACTACCTGATCTCCTTTCTCTTTTATTTTTCCCCTCATATTTTGCTACTGTGCACAAATTAGCCAACACAAAACTCTGTCTTCTCAATTTCCTTGCACACTGCCTTCTGCTTCCCTTTGTTAGCTGAAAGATACATATTGACCAGCAGGACTATTCATACTGGAAAGCTGTAAGAGTACACTTACAAAAGACTGTCTAAAATAAAATTACAGGGGCACTCTGCACATTTTAGTCACTGAAAAGCAAGGTAGGGAACCAAAAATGATTAGCAATCAGAATGGGGAAGGGGCTTGAACAAGGAAACAAGACAGGTTCTGCTGCAAACTGTCCCGGGATATATGCCAGAGCTAGCTGGATGACTGGAGAGGAAGGAGAAGCAGAACAAGCCACAGCAAGCCCAATTTTCTGTTGTTTATTCACAGAGTGGCTTGGGCACGACCAGCTATAAGTAGCATGTGAAAGCCTGGTAAGGAGGTGGTTTCTGGGAGCAGCAACATTGGGACAGCAATGACACCTCCTTGCGAATACTGGAAAATGCTTGCGCTGACACTGAAGCTGGTATACTCCCATTAAAGGCAGTGGGCCTAGGCATTCCTGCTTAGCTGGTTTATGAGCTTCGCTTTAAAAAAAAGAAAAAGAAGTTTCTTGCCAGGTTACCTGAAGGTTGTCAAAATGCTGTTCTTGCAGCTGCTGTTGCATTTCATCCAGGTTTTGTTGGAAAAGAAACTGGTCACTATCCAGATTTGTCCTACAGTTTTCATGTGTTACTCTATCAAAACCAGCTTTTTCTGAGCTCTGTTTCCAATGAAAAGGAACATTTCTGGTAGCTGAGGAAGTGGCATCAGTTGTTCTTGTGGGGAAGAAACATCATAGTTACTACCAGCTTTTTTTTTTAACTTTCATGGCTAAGGTTTCACATTAATCACGTTTAAAATAAACTGCCATATCTAGAATGTAGCATTTGGCACATCAAAACTATCTAATAGCTATACAATATTATACATGGTATTAGTAAGAAATGTATTATAATGAAAAGTTTGTCTCAAGCTATGAATAAAACCAGAGAAATATTATTATATTGTTGTTGTTATATATGACTGCATTGTTATATTTGATTGCATTATTGAATACTTTTGAAGAATTTTTTTTCTGTTGACCAAACAACAAGCGTCAGTTACTTAGTGTTCTATCAGAGGGTTGAAAATGTAAAATAAACCTCTGTCAAGGTCCGAATTTGTGTAGATAAACCTGGAGGCAGATGTTTTGACACCAGATGTCTTAAAAAGAAGTGTAGGTCAAGATAATCATGCACAAAAGTAACCATTTTTTTCTGTTATGATGTTTTCTGTTACTAACCAGTGCCCAAAGCTAAACATATAAATTCACTATGCATGATGACTGTGGCAGCTGGTCCTGACGGGAGAAGGGCTCACACTCTATACTGTTAGTGTGCACCTACAATAAAGAGTCTTTTAAAATATAAACCACTTGCTGGTATTGCCTGTCAGTCTTGCAGTCAGACAATGAACAAGAGGGACTTTTTCCCCCTCAGCACTTTGGTAAGACTCTACTTAAAGACTCAAATCACAGCTGTGAAAGGAAGTCTAACTGCTGTGGAGCAGGGCTTGTCTGTGTGGAAACTTTGTGTCATGCACAGTTTGTGTGATGTGCATCTGTTTGTGTTTGTGCATGAGAACTTGTGTACATGTCTGAATGCATGAATGTGTGAATGCGGGAAGTGCCTCTCTGAATGTATATGAACGGCTCTACTGGCATATGTGCCTCTCTCACAAAGATTACCCAGGAGGGAATGCAGCTACCAGGGTGAAAAAGATTATCTAACCCTGCTCTATGTCAATGGAGCATAAACATGGGTGTTTATATATATTTTATTTATTTATTTATTTATTTATTTATTTATTTATTTATTAAAGCATTTTTATGCTGCCCCATTCACCGAAGCCTCGGGGCGGCTTACAACAATAAATAAAATGATTATAATATTACATCCAAAATAGAAACATTCAAAATATAAAAATCCAAAATATAACATTAAATTAAAAATACAAAAATACGATATAAAATAAGCCGCCCTGGCCAGATAAAATCCAGTAATATTAACAGTTAAAATGCCGCTTAAATAAAAAGGTCTTTGCCTGGCGCCGAAAAACAAATAACAAATATATATATATGCACAGAGATTTTGGAGGGGAACAAAGTCCTCCCTTCTTTATTTTGGGCAAAGAAAGCTCTCTGAAGAACAGCAAAAAGTGAGAATAAAAGAAGGAATTCAGTGATGATACTGTACAAGGAAAACTAAGAGATAAGGACTGTGCAATAAGTACACTGAGTGCTGTCTTGAAATGGAGAGGTTGGGAAATGTATGTCCGATATGACTAGTATACTTGCAAAAGAGAAGAAAAAAAGGCAACCAGGCCAAAAACGTTAAAGGTGGCTCCATAAGAAAGATACATTAAAAGGCATTTAGAACTTATAAATCTATCTAAATGGAAGGAATAGTCTTATGAAAGGAATGAAATTTAATGAGTAATTTCAAGTTATCAAAACAGCGTAGTATGAAGAAGGGAACTCAGAACATATTCTAAACACAGTAACCAAAATATCCACAAAAGCAATTTTAGAGGAAGGGGATGCAATATTTGAGACAATTGCAAATAAATCATACGTATAAACATGCAGATTTCCAAACCTAACTAATCACCATGGTCAGATTTTTAAAATGAAAAAACAACAACTCCCCCCCCACCCCAAAATATGTTATTCAAAGTACTTTCCTTTCTGAAGTCTTATGTTGTATCTTTGTGTCACATATTTTACCAGTAAATCCCCCAAACTGACATTCAAGTTTTCCTACAATGACTTGCATGCTTGAATTAAACAGAATATATACCTCACAGTGACTCTGGTTGATGGCAATGGTAATCCTGCTCCCTGAATTTTCTGAAGAGCCTCATCCAATTTAAGTTCTGGTTTTCTTTGCACTAGAAGTTAAAAATAGGGATATTGTAAAATGTTGAGTTTTTAACATAAAATTTTGTTAACTGCCCAGAGAGCAGGTAGTGTGAACATGAAATAAATAAAGCCACAGGGATCACTTTCCCTCCCCCACATGCAGTTCTAAAAGCTGTGCCCATGCCATACTCTTCTACTCAGCATTTGTTTCCTGCTTCACTTACCTTGACAACACAGCTTTGTGAGTTTTACAGCTCATTGTATCTTGCTTAAAGACACACTTAAGGTACACTTAAATCCTGCTATTTTTCTGCTGTTCTATCAATTTTTAAGGCAGCCAGTAATTATGGTATTTTTATAAATAAATCCATAAATCCATGACACTGATAGTGGGCAATGAAAAAGAAGAAGAAAGGGAAAGACAATCATGACTTATGCTTGTGGGATTGAAAAATAGCAAGGAGCCTGTTACATATGACACAAAGGTACAATCTAGGGCAGAGTAGTGGTTAGAATCCTGGACTGGGACTCAAGAGATTCACTTAATCATGAAGCTGCCTGGGTAATTTGGGCCATTGTATAGGGCCTGTGCTGTAAAGTCCAGGTCTTGGTTTCTGGCTTCTTAAGTATAGAACTTGCTTAGCATGTGTAAAGTGCTGCACTCTAGTTACCTTGTTTAGCTTAATTAACTGGAATTTTAGTTATTTTTTTCAGGCCCCAAAAAAGATGCCCAAAGAAGAAGCACATACTATGCTCTGCCTGGGATTCCACCTTATCAGACCAGTTAACAAGCTTATGCTTTGTCATACGATTAGCTTAATGAACTCATGATACTACCTCCTATCATTTTGGCACATGGAGGGGGAATATCTTGAGCAGCCAGGATGGGAAATATTCACTGTTATGTCTTGTGGCATGCTAATGAGGATGGAAAACTTCATGTGTTATAGAGCCCATGATGGGAAGCTGCATATAGTATACATTTTGGCTTGCTGTCAAGGTAAACAAATAGATTCAAACTGCTTAGGTCACAGCACCTGTGTAACAGCCATTGCTTTTCTCACAGTTAATCTATATAAGTTGGCCATTTTCCTTTGTGTTTTGTTTGGATGTCAACATCCTTGAGGGCGCTTTGCTGATTGTATGTTCCAGCTGATTGAAGCATGCCTTGTAGGCTAGTCCAGGCTGAGCATTGTAAATGACTTGCTACTAAACCCTTTGAAAAGCTAGCTACTAATTTGACTATTGCAACAATTAAGCCTCCTTGTAAGCAAATCTGATACAGCATATCAATTCCTTGGGATCTCTCAATCCTTTAGCCCACAATTGGGGCAACACAGGCAGTTACAGCCTAACTAACTTACCTAAGATGGTTGCTATGAAAATAACATGGAAAGGAGGAGAAGGATTGTGTAAGCTATTCTGGGTTCCTTGCTGGAAAAAGACAGGTTATAAATAGAATGAATGAATGAATGAATGAATGAATGAATGAATGAATGAATGAATGTAGAAGCAGCAGCTCCAGTTCATTTCAGTAGGCCTGTAAAAGAACTTCCTGGGGGACTGAACCATTAGACATTTATTGACAGACAGGAAATAAAAAGTTCTGACAACAACTGGGTAAGATCAGTGCTCATGAGAAATGACAATATTCTTCATTTTAAAAGTCATGCTTCCTTAAATAACATTCACGGTGTCTTGGTGTGCAATCCTATGGGAGTGCTACCTGAACAACAGAAGCCTCCACATTCAGAGGCTTCCAAGTAACTAATACCCCACCAGACTTTTGCCAATGAGGCAGGAGGACCAATGGAGCACCCCTCTTGACTGCATTTCTTTGTTAGATGGGCCTCTGAACCTGTCCAGCTGAATTGAGCTGCTGGAGGTTAAGATGGGAACTCAACAGCTTCTGACTTCACAGCTCCTCCACTTCCACCTATTTGCCCACCCTCAACACAGCCATTTCCTCTCCTTGAAAGTCACAACTCCACCCTTAAAAGAGGAAGCTGCCCTGGAGCTTTCCATGGCAAGTGGGAAGTATAGAGTGTGTGTACTGGGAAAATCACCATTCAGATTTTACCCTGTAGTGTTGTAGTGTCTACTAAGCCTCAGACGGAAAATCTCCAGCTCTTAGTGGCCCCTCAGATTCCATGTAGAGGACATAGGATTGTGCATTTAATAATTTATCATAATACTGGTTGTATCCAAGCTATCTCTTTTTGGATGCACACAAGCGGTGAGGGGGATTAAGGCTGTCAGAGATGATAAGAGCAATGCTATCAGAAGGCCAGACTCTCTCACTAGTCTGGTCTCCTGGCAGGATCACCAAAGATGGAATGGTCAAAGCTATGACACCAGACTACCCTCCTGAGTCCCTCCTGAGTAACTGTAACATCAGCACCGAAGGGCAGCTACTAGGCTGCAGTCATAGCAAAAGATGACACAGGTGGAGGATATTTCACAATCAATAATAGTGATGTTCAAGCTAGTTTTGGTTAGTACTGTAAGGAAGGCAATAGTAAACCACTTCTGAATATTTCTTACCTTGGAAAACCTGTGATGAAACAATCCAAAATGAAAGAAGAGATAGTGCCAGAAGGTGAGACTCCCAGGTCAGAAGCCACTCAACCAGCTACTAGGGAAGAGCAAAGGACAAGAACCAATAGCTAATGACACAACAGCTCAAAGCTGAAAGAAGTCTAGTGGCTGACATGCACAAAGGCAAAAGGAAGGACTGAAGCTAAACAACACATACAGTTCGAATATGGAACATGAGAAGTATGAATCAAGGTAACCTTGAAACCATAAAGCAAGAAATGGAATGATCAAACATCACAGTTCTTAGTATATGTGAAGTAAAGTTGACTGAAATGGGACATCTTCACGAAGACAAATTCAAAGTGCTTTACTCCAGAAATGACAAACTCAGAAGAAATGGAGTGGTTCTAATACTGAAGCAAGATGTAGCACAGGCAGTAAGGAGCTATAATGCAAAGTATAGCTGAGTAATATCACTCAGAATTTGAGGAAATCCTATCACCATAACCATCATTCAAAGTCTATGCTCCAACAACAGACAAAGCTGAAGAGGAATCCAAAACTTATATGCAAGCAACCAAGAAGAAACTGATAACACATCAAAAAAGGACCTACAGATAATACTAGGCAATTGAAATACAAAAGTAGAAAACAAAGCAGAATCCAGCATTGTAGGAAAACTTGGCCTAGGGATCAGAAAAGAAGTAAGAGAATGTCCCAAAGAATTCTGTGAAGCCAACCATCCGTTAATTGCAAATATATACTTCAGACAACAGCAGACTATATACATGGATAACACCAGATGGTCAATATAGAAATCAAATAGACTGTACAACTGGAAGTAGGAGATGGAGAATCTGGACAGTCACTGGCAAAACAATGTTAACAATTACTACAGACAGCTGAGAAACAAAAGCAAAAGATAACAGAAAAAATACAACTTTACAGCCACTATCATTTAAGACAGAAAAAACTATTATAATGACCAGTGCAAAGAAATGAAAGAGAACAATAAAGGTGGGAGGGACAGGAGACCTCTTGCAGAAGATCCAATAAATTAAAGGAAAATTCATACCTAGGCTAGGAATGTTGAAAGACCAACAGGGAAGGATACTCTTTGACCAGAAGAAAATAAAAAGTGGAAATAATATGTGGAAGAACTATACAGAAAAAAGATGGCATACTTCTTTGAAAAGAATCCTATGAGGAAGAGCCTGCAATATTAGAAAGTGAACTGAAAGCTACTTTGAAAGCAGTAGGAAGGAATAAAACAACAGGAGTAGTTAGGGCACCAATCAAACAATTCTAAGCTGCAGAGACTGGATGAGTCCAAATCCTACATTCAACAGATATTCCAATCACCAAGAAAGGGGATGCAAAGGAATGCAGCAACTATAGGACTACTGAATTAATTTCCCATATATGCAAAGTAATGTTCATGGTGTTGCAACAAAGAATTTTACTGTATATAGAGTTAGAAATGCCTCACAGTTAATTTGGATTCCGAAAAAGGTATGTAAAAACGTATCAGAAATATAGGAAAGCCACAGGAGCACACCAAAGAATGTCAAAAGATCATTCTATTGCATTATAAACTACAGCAAAATATTTGACTGTGTAGATCACAAGAAGCTATGGAGGATTCTGAAAAAAATGAGGATAGGATATAGAGAAACAGATTGTTTTCCTATTGGCAAAGGTGTCAGACAAGGGTGTCTTTTATCTCTCTCTTCCATCTGTACACAGAACATATCATAAAGGGGATAAGGAACAGAGGAAGGAGTGAAAACTGGTAAAAGACACATCAATAATTTAAGATATGCAGATGATGCCATACTGTTGGCAGCAATAACTTGAAATGACTTCTGATTAAATTCAAAGAAAAGAGTGCAAAAGCAGAGGACTGCAGCTGAATATTAAGAAAACAAAAATCATGACCAGAGAAGGATTGTACAAATTTAAAGAAAACAATGAAGAAATTGAAATAATGAACAATTTTGCATACCCTGGCTCAATCATTAATTCTAATGGATACTGCAGCCAAGAAACCTTTAGAAGTCTGAGATTTGGAAGGAATGCAAATTCCTTCCAAACTAGAAAAGATCATCAGGTGTGGAAAGCAAGGTCAAGATCATTCACACTAGTGTATTCCTGATCATTATGTATGGGTGTGAATGCTGGTCATTGAAGAAAGCAGACAGGAAGAGAATTAATGCATTCTAACCATGGTGCTGAGGAAGAACTTTGCAAATACCCTTTGACTGACAGGCAGATATATAAGTGGGTCCAAGATCAAATCAACCCAGAACTAGCCCTGGAAGCAAAAATGATGGAACTGAGGCTTGGCTACTGCCCCTGGACATGTCTCGCTGCTTTGGTTCAAGGAAGGAGAAAAAAGGAACAGCAGTAATTTGTGCCCTGTGGAGGTATACCTCTGCAGCCAAGGTATAAACAGAGCCCCTGCTTTAGGAAAAGTCTTGTTGCTACCAAGATCTCCCTAAAGCCAGCAGCCCTCCCTGGTGAAATGTAGTAAATGGAAATGTTTTCTGCCAGAAATCCAGTAAGAATATATTTATGTATTTGGAAAACATGTATAATATATTCAGTAACTGAAAAAGGAGCCAATAATCTGAAACTTTCTTATAGGGGTTAGGTCAGTCTGCCTGAATGAGTGTCCTCCAGATGTTTTGGACTTGAAAGTGTATCACCCCAATCAACATGGCCAATGCCAGATATTCTTGGAGTTGCATTCCAAAACAATTGGGGAGTGCCAGATTGCTGAACTTAAAGAATTAATTCAGGTATGAATGTCCATGAGCCATTCTAAAGGAGAAGCCAAAAGGCAGTTGGACTTAGCTATGTCAGTGAAAGGGAACTTGCTTACCATTTTACCTCTCTTTCTGTTGCTACAGATCTCTCTTAAGAGATTTTCATTTTTCAATATATATTGTCTGATTATAGAATAATACTTTTGCTTATCAAAAGATTTCTTTTAAAAAGATTATTACTTACTGTGGGTTCATGTGTTTTGGGTAATTTTAAGTAAAATAATAAGTATTATACTAAGTATATTGTAAACAAGTAACCAAGAAATTGTGACTCCATCCTCCCTGTCTCCTCACAAATTTGTGGTGAGATCAAAATGCTATATTAACTTTTCTTTCTTTCTTTCTTTCTTTCTTTCTTTCTTTCTTTCTTTCTTTCACTTCATTCATTTGATGGAGGGACAGAAAATATTACTTCACATCTGGAGCTGATGCACTTATGACTGTGAGACTGGAGAATATTTAAGTGAAGTACCACATTTCACAGTTTCAGCCTTTTGACAAGACTGTTCTAGCACTGTTATATGTGCATTACAGTATGCACTCACTCCAATTAGAGACTGGAACAAAACTAAAGGGACAGAAAGTGCTGGAAAATACACAATGGTTCAACTGTGGAATTACCGAAACCTAGCAGTTTAAAAGCAGATTCCTGTACTTAAATAAAAACAGCACTGAAATATACACTTTTATTGTATTTCATTGGGCTGTCCAGTGACTAAGATAAAAAATTAACTTTGCTCACATACAAAGCCAACGTCAATGAGATATATTTGAGATTAAATAGCTGTAACAACTTGCACCCTAGAAGCCACTCACAGTTAAGGCTTAGCATCTTTTCAACCCTCTTCCCACCTCACCCATCCAGCAAAGAACCCCTATTTTCAAAACAACAATCACAGACTAACAGGGAAAAGGCATTGGTTAATACTTGACAATGAAATAAATAGTGTAATGCCTTTTGAAAAGAGGTACCAGCCTGGACTCGCCCTGAGTAAAATCATAACTATCTAAACCTAACAGTGGTAACCATGGTTAGGTTAGCACAAGGTGCAAAGCCTTTTCAAAGCACTGACTCCCCATTTCTCCTTCTTCAAATATTGGTGATGTGCTGTTGTCTCCTTCCCAACCAAAGGTACAATCAATACTGTCAGTCTGGATAATACTAATCTTCAAGCTATCCATGTAATTTACAAACCTCCTACTCTCTTGCGCTGTGAAGATGAAAGATGGCCACGCTGGAACCTTTCAGTTGCTTCCTGAAGTTTCAGTTTCCTTTGCAGCAAAACCTGTTCTCTAAATTTTCGTTCTTTTTCTTCATCCTCTTTCCATTTTTCTTCAAGTGCTCTGTTTAAAAACAACTATACCTTTTAGTAAAAATAACTTCCATGACACTGCATTAGCTCAGTACTGCTCCATATTAAGATGTTAGACTTATCTGGGAACAAGTTTTAAACAAAAAAGTGTTGTACAAGTGACAACATTGTGAATCTAGTATATATTTTAAAAGATACCAATGTTGCTGAGTTTGTTTTTAAAACAAAACCTACTACACGGATAAACACCTAGTTCCCACAAAGTTTAGGCATACCTTGGTGTAGGGTGGGAAAGGGCAACTGCTAGCCCTCCAAATGCTTTGACCAACAATTGTCATCAGTCCCAGCTAACACAAGCAATGGTGGATTATGGGAATTGAACGCTAAATATCTGGAGGGCCACCCATTGCCCTTCCTAGTTTTAAGTGCTGCATAGCCCATATGGCATGCAAAAGCTGTTAGTGTGCACTGATATGGAATGTTACTATTCCCAGCCAGCAACTACAAGCCTGTGGCACTACTGAAATAGCCCTGCCCCAATCACAGGTACTATAAGTAGTTGCCAAATAGCCACAGCACCACACAGTAGCACAATTTCTCAGGTATATTTGGGATTTCATAGTGGTTAGCCTTCAGGAGTTATATCAGGAAAGCAGAATTATGGATCATGTCCATAGATCTACTTGTGGAGCTTATTTAAGCTATATTTATGGTGTAATCCTATGCATGTTTAGATGAGAAAGTAACACCTTCCCCAGCCAACATGGTAGACATTGTAGGTCAACAGGCACATAAATAAAACACAAGTTGCTTCATCTAAATAGCCAGTGGCAGGGGGAGGAATTTAATTCCAATTTGTGTGCTTGACTAAAAAGGAACACATTTTGTAGAGGCTTAAACTGATAAAAGCAATATTCTGGAAAAGTTAATTTCTAATACTCAAGTGTTTGTATTAATTATGGTAGGAGAAGAGGGATTAATGTTAATTTTAGAAGTGTTCCACTTTTTACTTGCTTGAGGTCAAAACCTATGAAGTCTAAGTTCCAGTAGACTGTAATAAAAATATCTGAAAAATATTGTTATATGTCTCTTTCCATATGAAAAAGAGAATATCTAACTTCTCTCACTGTTTTGCACAACCAAAGGAATTTAATCTTTAGCTAATAGGAAAATCTATTGTATCCATCTGGTTTCAGGGTCAAATGTAGCTCAAGACAGCCATCAAAATAAAATAACTGGGAAACAGAGTTTATCTTGACACAATTGGCAAGTGCCCCTTCCACCAACGAACTGCAATACACTCTCGTTGTTTATGGGTTAAACAACCCAGAGTGTCCAGGTTTGTACATCAGACAACAACCTACAAACTGGATGTTCTTAGATTATAGCGTGAACCAAAGCAGCCTGCTCATTCCATGCATCCATGGAAAATCATGGATTGAGTAATGCCACTGTGATAGAACTCTGTCAATGTCTTGGACTTCTGAGAAAAGATAAATCTTTAGTTTTCAAGTTAAGGATAACAAAAATATTAAGTGTGCAGCCTGATCCTGTCTTTATTTGAAGGTAAGACCTAATAAGCTTGACAGGAACTGGAACATTAATGGAGTATTGTTTTGATATGCTATGACTTGGGAACTCAAAGCAAAACTCAGGCATATTTGCTCAGAAATAAGTCCTGCTTTGTTTCATGGATCTTGTGTCCATGATTGTGCTGTGCATTCCACTCCACGTATAAAAGTACTTAATATGATCACATAATACTAGCAATAAATGCCATTAAAAATATTCTTGAAGAAATCAGATTCTTAATTCCTAGCACTGCAGCAATGTAATTTCTGAAAGCCATACATTTTAAGTATTCTCCATCCAACTGATCTAACAAATAGGTGACTATTATTCAACCATCATCCTGGTAAGTGTGGTTATTTTTCACCTTGCTGGAAGGGATCTTGGATGGTACGTGGTAAGTATGGTGCATAGGTAAGCCTCTGAGGGCACAATCCTATGCATGTTTGGACAGCATAGGGCAGACAGGCGGTCTATGGAATGTTGGGAGTTGTAGGCCTTTCTTCCAACTAAATGTGCACAGGGTTGCACCTGAAGGCTTCGCTGGCATGGGCCAATATCTCTCTTCCCAACATCTATCTTTTTCCCTTCCCAGCAGATCAGGACAAGAGGCTTCTAACTGCAGTATCATATTAAAGCTGGCCAGCCAGGAATGGTTTTTTGATGCAAAGAGATTTAGTTCAAAAAACATTTCAAGAGGCATCCAGCAAGTTAAAACCTTCTAATTATGGATTTAGTTTTGTCCATACCAGATGATTCCTCTTGTCCCTTCTCCCCCAAATATAGTTGGTTCCATCTTTGGGGAGATTTATGCTGCCTAAGTGCCAAACAGCAGGAATGCCAGATGCTACTAAACTGGTCTGCTCCTTTTATTTATTATTATATTTTTACCCCACTCTTGACTTGACATTGGATCCTGGGCCTGAGAATTCACAGCTCTCCTCCTCTGACTCTCCCTATTCCAGTTTCTCCTCCTTCCCCAACCAGAGGTGGTACTGTTCTCACCACTCATTTGGCTTATCTCAAAGACTGTTAACCCTGGCATCTCAGCTAAGCATTTTGATTCTACCTGTTCTTCCAGATCCGATTCAGAGTCTGAAATATCCACTTTGGAATCCTATGTTTTGGGAGAAATGGGCCCAATCCTTACATTCACTCCTATGCATTACTTAAGAGTAAACCCCCATGGACATAAATGGATTTATTTTAAAGTATAACCTATACCTTTTTAATACCCTTTCTGAGTCTTTCTTTTACTAAGGCATTTGAGCCATGAGTAATTGCTCCCACTTTAGTGGTTTTAACTTGTTAAATGCTATGAGGTTAAATTATTACTCATACCTATTTTTATTTTTTCTCTTTTTACTTTGCTGTTATAGTGTTTCACATTAGCTTCCAATGGATTAGTGTTATTGTATGATTCTTTTAAACATTCTTATTGTTTTAATTGATTGCTATTTGCTACCTCAAGCTCCTTTAATGAAAAACAGACTATAAGTAGATAAAATACCCCTTGCATCATCCCCTCTCCAAACCTGTGATTTTTCACACATTTCTGCTTGTTGACACCCGTAAACACAATATCTTTTGTACTGCAGTGAGTGTAACATACAAAAGGAATACCAGCAGTCATTTACCAGTGCATTACAGAGACAGCTCACCTACTCACTGAATCTATTGTTACATGAAGTATTCGATTTCACTTCGTGCAGACTGATGAGTGCTATACAGGTCTAGATTGCAGTGGGGTAAAGCAGTAGCAAGTGAATAAAAGATACCTTATCTTCAAGCTATGATTTAGTGTTTATCTCAAAAGGTCACCAATGTATTAGGCTTGATCACTGTTATTTTAACCAACTACATTGGATCCAGACTTAAGGTGTATGGTTGGCTGAAGCATGCTGGGACTTGTACATCATTTTTCTGTCTAAACATCCTTACGGTTACACCTTTAATCATATATAGAACAGACCTATTTAAATCACTGGCACTTAAGGCTAGCATGACTAATCCAAGTTCCATTGATTCAACAGGTCTATCCAAAGTATGACTCAGTCTAGATCCAAACCATTGCCCATGTAAGGAACTGAAATACTTGACTATTACTGTATAAATATGGAACATTACTTGTATATTTCAGGACACACTTGAAATTCACCATAAGTAAAGAACCACAATTGTTTTTATGAACTTGAAGTCCAAATGTATATTTGAATAAATACGTATTTTAAAATATCAAAGCATACTCTATATTTGCATACCTCCTCCTTTTATTTGTTTCTATAGAATGTTTTCGTGCTCGGTTATGAAATAGTCTTTGATCCTTTAGCAACTCATGGCGCTCTTTTGATAAATCTCTCTCAAGAAGAACCTTTAGATTTCTGATCAAGGCATTAAAGATAATGGAATCTGTAGCAAAAATCCTAGAAACCAGATCAAGTGCTTGATTATGATTAGACTCTAAGTCATCTAGATTCTGTTAATTACATGGAACCTTTTATAGAAAGCAAGCTTTTTTGGTTTTAGCCCTGATGTAACATTATGTTACACAATAGTTACTTAACCAAGATTGTAAACCTATGGTCTCTAGAAGAGTGTCCCAAAGGCTTGGGTTTTTTGGATTCCCTTTCCTGAAGTCATAAACATTCCTATGACTTTGGGAAGTAGACTTCATGATGTTATTTATTTTTTGATTTATATCCTTACTTTTTCCTACAAAGGGCTCAAGGCAGCATATATCTCCTCCTCCATCTTATCCCCACAACAACAACCCTGTGAGGTGGGTTGGGCTGGGAGTCTGTGACTAGCCCAAAGTCACCCAGTTGGCTCCACGGCTGAGTGGGGACTCAAACCCAGATCGTCTGAGTCCCAGTCCCATGCTCTTAACCACTACACCACACTGGCTCTCTATCAATCCTTCCTCCTCCTTCTCCCCCAGTAGTGTCCAAAAAGAGGGCATTCCAGTGGGTGGGGAATAAAGAGGCAGGGATCCATAGAATGGCCTCTCCAGCCCTGACCCTGCAATTCTTCTGGTCAAGTTCAGAGGTCCACTGAGAGAAAAAACTAAAAAGATGAGGACAGACAGACAACTAGTGGGCAGCCACGCAGTAGGGCTGCACTCAAAAACATTCATGTTCCATTCATGTTAATTTACTATTAAAATACTACTTTATATGCCCCATAGTACACTTCTTTGGAAATAATTCTCACAGCTATTAACAAGATTTCCCTGTAATTCCATGCAGCTACAGTGATCTGTTGTGCAAAGTAACAGATGCCTAGCTTTAGTCTCCTGTCCCAGTTCAGCTGCATTTAACAGCCTTCAACTGCATCTTTCTGTACGTGTGAAAATAAACCTCTCAAGTAGTAACAAAGAATGGGTCTAAGACTGCAGACTTATGCCCACTTATTTGGAACTAGCCCTATTGAACTCAGTGGCACATATATGAGAATAAATATGTATAAGATTGCACCAATGTTAAAAAAAACTGGATGTTAGTAAAGCTATAGTAATGTAATAAGTAAAAACAGTAATGCTGAGCCAAACTAGCAGTACAACATTCTGTTTTCTGTGAACAAAAATTATTCTGGCACAAAGATAAGGTGCTAATTACCAGTATGGCATACTTCCAGGAAAATGTGGACAGAATTGCAGTCTATGCTTCCTAACTATTTGAGTCAGGTGCCTCAAGGTGGTATAATCACACCAGAAAAGATTAATCCTTCTATTCTCCCCTCTCAACATACAGTAATTTAGGGTTAAAAACTTAAAGCCTGCATGTTTAGACAGAAAAAAGTGCTACAATTCCCATGGTGGACTGAGGAATGCTGGAAATTGTAGGATTTTTCTGCCTAAACATACACAATTATGTCCTTAATATACTAGAGAAGGGTTCTGCAGCTATGGGTTAAACCTGACCATTCAGCAGTTTGAAATGCACTTCAGGGAGAAAGACAGGATTATCATCATAGAAAGGAGAGGCTGGTGACTCCTATGTCCATGGGGCTGCTTATCAATTGCAACTTTCATTCTGAGTCTTGATAAAAGCTGTAAACTGCCTAGAGTTTGGACTACTGTGTGGTATAGAAATAAAATAAATTATTATTATCATCATTGTAATTATTGTAGTAGTATCCATGGTGCTCCATGGTAGTGAACCTACTGGGGCAGGGAGGTTCAGTCCCATGGATAGCTCCTCTAAAGCTCAAAATGAAAGCTGCAACGGATAACACAGGAGTCAACAGTCTCCCCATGTTTTTACTAAAAGATGTATTTAATTAATCCAGCTGGTAAATAACTATCGACCACCCAGGGCCTCGCAGCTCTTTCCCACCCCTTCCCTGTCACATGGAGTCCACCCGTCTCAGGCCCGGAGGCCCGACTGCTGTGAGGATACGTGCAGGGGGGGCCAAAGGCGTTCAAGGAGCGGCGTCCCAGGCCCCGCGGCGGGGCGCTTTCCGAGAGCCCCTTCCTCCAGCACGGGGCGCCGGGGCCGACCTCACCCACCCCGCCTGCGGTGGCTTCGGTGTGGCTCCCGCTCCCTCGTCCGTAGCCGGAGTAGTAGCTGTTGCCGCCGCCGCCGCCGAGCTCCATCCGCCCCTTCAGCCCCCCGCCGCCATCCTCTTCCTCATCCTCACACAGGCCCGCTCCGTCCACAGCGCCCGCCCGCGGGGAAGTCGGCGTCTGTTTCCGCGCGTTCGATCGCGCCCGCTCGCCGCCCGGATCTCACTCAGCGCCCAGCGGGGGGGCTCCGCGGAGCCCTCGCCGCCGACCCCGCAGCGCCCGCGGCGGCCCCTCGCCTGACTCCCGGGCGCCGCCGTCGCGACGCCATCTTAGCAACCGGGGACGCCGCTTCCTTCGCGACGGAAACCAAGGGCGACGCCGCGGCGGCGGCGGGCCAGGAGGCGGGGAAAGGGCAGCGCCTCGCGACGGAGGCGCGAGCGAGGAGGCCGCCCGGGCTGCGCGTGTGGGGGCGTACGCGGCGCAGTCCCGCGGCTCCTGCTCGCGCGCCGGGGCTGCCTCGTGGCGAGGCTTCGGCAGCCTGTTTATCTGAGGGCCGCGTTGCGTTGAGAATGTAGGGCCTGTGAAATGCATCAGCCTCAAATGCGGGATTGTTAGGCATCCCGACTTTCTGCACAAACGCTCCTATGACGGTTTTAAAAACAGCGTATATTTCCAAGGGAGTTTGGTGACTCCCAGGTCAGTGGGGCTGCTTATCCGCTGCTGCTTTTATTCTGAGCTTTGTAGGATTATAATCGTAGGGGTTCATCTATTTTGGGGATGGAGCTCAGAGCCACGGACAGTTCCTCCAAAGCTCAAAATAAACCTCTTCGAGAGCTTTGGGTATGGGGCCGGAGGAACTGAAATAAAATTAACTTTAATAAGGCGTTAATAATGGAACAGTCTATAAAAGCTTTAAATAAATAAGTAAGCTTTAAATAAATAAGCTTTAAATAAATAAGCCCCGGTGACCTAGTAGCCAAGCAGCCAACTCTGACAGATAGAGATATATAGATGAAATGAAAGTAGGAGTGTCCCTAATTTAAAGGCTCCACTAATTTCCAGTTGCTGCTCACCTAACCTTGGGAAACAGAGATACCCAGTGCAGAGCATGTGATGGAAGTTTTAAAGTTTTGACTATGTGGTGGTGTAGAAATGTAATACAGTAATTATACCAAAGCTATCTGTCCCATCCTTGAGTGCTGCAGCCCCCTCATCACCAGCCAAACCTGTGCCCAGATGGTGGTTAAACTTAGGAGAAATTTGCATTTTAATTAAGAAGCTTATTCGCCAGGCAGTCGTTCTCCGGTAGGGACGCAGCTGGTGAATCAGCCGAAGCTGAAAGAAAGTGCTCCTCACCTCCTCGCCACCGCTGTTGCTTGAGCTTCCAGCGAAAACTCTGGATCGAGGAGCACTCCCAAGCTGCGGACCTTGTCCTTCAGAGGGAGTGTAATCCCATTCAGGACAAGGTCAAGGTTCCCTTCCCCAAAGCCCGAACCGCCTACCAACAAGACCTCCATCTTGTCTGGATTGAGCTTCAGTTTATTGGCCCTCATCCAGTCCATTACCTGGGCCAGGCACCGGTTCAGTACAGTCACTGCCTCACCTGGATTGGTGGAGAACGAGAGGTAGAGCTGGGTATCATCAGCGTACTGATGATTTCGCAGCCCACACCTCCTAATGACCTCTCCCAGTGGTTTCATGTAGATGTTTAATAGCAAGGGGGACAAAATGGACCCCTGCGGAACTCCATGGCATAACTGCCATGGCGCAGAGCCATAGTCCCCCAGCACCACCTTCTGGAATCGGCCATTGAGATAGGAGCGGAACCACTGCAAAGCAGTGCTTCCAACCCCCAGTCTCGCTAGCCTATCCAGAAGGATACCATGGTCGATGGTATCAAAAGCCGCTGAGAGGTCCAGGAGAACCAACAGGGACGCACTCCCCCTGTCTTTCTCCCTGCACAGGTCATCGTACAGGGCGACCAAGGCAGATTCAGTGCCATACCCGGGTCTGAAGCCGGACTGAAATGGGTCCAGATAATCAGTTTCATCCAAGAGTGCTTGGAGTTGTCCCGCCACCACCCGCTCCAACACCTTGCCCAAAAACGGGATGTTGGCCACTGGTTTGTAACTGGAGGCCATCTCTGGATCCAGGGATGCTTCTTTAGGACTGGTCGGACTTCCGCCTCCTTTAAAGGGACAGGTACCCGGCCATCCCTCAGAGAGCCGTTGACAACCTCCAGGATCCAGGTTCCTATCCCGTGCTTGGTGTTGTTTAGCCAAGATGGGCAAGGGTCCAATAGGCAGGTGGTGGGACGTACTTGTCCAAGCACCTTGTCCACATCATCAGGCCACAATAACTAAGTTTCTACCCTCTGAACTCCCTTAGTGCACTAATAGGGAGTGTAGCATGAAAGCACTAGCCTTTTGAAGCAGAGGGAAGGCTGCAATCTTTCCTTCCACAAGTCACTCACTGTGCATTAAGCAGAAAGACCAACATGGCCTACTGCCACCATCACTGGACTTTCTTGGAGTGAGCCTGACTCAGCAAAGATTGTCCAGCCAGTTGATAGTGGACAATTGCACTTGTTCCATGGAACATTATAGGCTTTGAGGCCCTGAGAAGAGGGCCACTCAGGTATCCGTGCCAGAGCCCTTCCTCGTCTGTTGCATCCCCAAGCTTTCCTAGGCCCCTTAACCTTGGGGAGAAATAAAAGTGACCATGCTTGCAAGACACTCCTTAATACACAGAAATGTCTATACTAGGGGCAAGATAATGTATAATTGTACAGTTTGCTGGATTGCTTGAATGTGTCTGGACCTCCTTGGCTCTGTACTAATCAATTTGGGGCACATTTAAAACTTACTAAGGTTCAATGGGGCCTTTGTGATTATGCCACAGCTTCTTATGCCATAGGAAGAGCTTCCTCCCTGACCAAGGCAGTATGGGGATGAATCCCTATAATTGCATTTTTATGCTGGAAGCCCCCAAGGAGCCCCTAACCTTTCATTAGAAATAAACTACTGGAGGACCATATAGGAAAATGCACCTGCTTCCAAATGTATCTATATGTAGCACTGCATGCATGTATGCCCAGAAAACATCTGGGTTGAGATTGTGTAATAATTCATTTTTATTGTACAGCCAACATTTGACCAAGAAACTTATAATTACATTATATAATAGAAGTCTTACTGTGATCCGTGGCACTTTATTGTGTAAGTTCCTGTGTACTGGACTTTAGATTACTTCCAGATGATCAGTTAGTGAAATCAGCAGGTCAGATTGGTGCTGTTTAGTTAACAAGAACAAATGCCTCTGAGCTAGAATAGGGATTGGTAACTGTCATTCTGTAAACTGAATGTGTTTCCAGATGCCAACCCTCTCTTTCCTTGTCTTCAACACTTCTTGAAACAGCTCAGAAGGGAAAAAGCAAGTTCTGAGCACGTAAGAGGAGAAACATTTCTTATGCAGATATGTTCAGCTTACTTCAAAAGAAGGTAAAAGAGAGGATGGTCTTCTAAACAATGGTAATCCAGGAAAAAGAGGATCCCTACCTACTTAACTGGCAGACTCCCTTCCCCAACTCTACTTCAGGTAATAGAAAGGTCTTGGAGGCAAACCACTCTATCAGGAGGGGTCTCTGCAAGCACACCTCTCAAAGTGGTTCATTCCAGAGGTCTGGAGGTTATGGACAGAGCATGGTTTTGATGATAGCTGGCAATTATCCTTGTTTATTTTTTTTTAAAATCCTCATAGTTTATTCGGGAAAACATTGGCACTGACCCCAAGCTGTCAAAGTAGTTATTTTCACTTTTTAATTACATGGCAACTGTTCTACCTTAGTAATATTTGCTTTCAGGATCCGATCATTTTATGGTTTATAATTACTTTGTGGATCAAACCATATATGGATTACATGAAAGCAAACTTGTGTATATTTTCTGAAATCCAGACATAAAAGGGTTGGCTTGCTGGCTAATGTTTCTGCTGTACACATTCCTGAATTCCTAAGTGAAGACTTCATCAGTTAGTAGACAGTCTTTTCCGAGGCAGTTTGAAACCTTCCGAAACCTTTTCATTTCTTGAAATCAAAGATGATCTATCTCAGTGCATCCTCACTGATCTTCCTAAATATAATATTTTTCATTGGGGCTGATACTGTGTTTGCTTATGTCAAGCCATGTTCTGCAATGGTAAGGTTTGCAATGTATTGCCTTGATAAATTATGGAATCATAGACTCAAGACAGCCAAGTCTGTTTCAACATTATTTGTCTGGGAGGGCTATTGCATATATGAAGTGGTTGAGATCCTGATGGAAAAACCCTGCTAAAACTGTGCTAAAGAAATTTGTAAAGCAAATAGTAGATTAAAGGCTCCACTCAGGTTTTGCTGTTGACATCTGTGAGGACAGGGCTTTTTACCAGGTCATTAATCAAAGTGGCACAGAAAGACCTACCTTTTAATGAATAATATATGGATTTTGTAATCTTTAGATTAGCTTCTAGACACATTCACACAAGTGAAAAACCAAAATTAAATATATGTGCACATTTTACTTGTGTAATAATGGGGGGAAATATCCTGATCCTTTTAATCTGATATGGTTTTACAGTAAATATACAGTAAATCTGGAAGTTGAAATGGGTTGTGATATTTTATTGTGTGATACTTTATTGTGATATTTTATTTTTTATTATTTTGTAGACACAATTGCATTTCATTGTTATAAATTTCTGGCAATTATGTTTTAACTAAAGCTTTGGAAGCTTTGGAAGATATGGAATAGGGTCTGGGTACTTTATTACCTTTTTATATGCCTGAAGAGTCACTTAAATCTGTTAGAATGGTTGCTTTCAGCAGTTTCTGATCCACAACAGCTTTATCCTTTCAGGAGTATGTCATATAGAGTATTACATATACAGTGTTAGGATGTGAGCAATGCCAGAAGTAGAAGATAAAACAATGAATTTCTATAAAAAGAAAACAACAGAATTGACCATGTGTGTCCATGTTCATTCTAATCCTGCACAAATACACTGTACAGCATTCAATGAGCATTAATTCCTACTAAGGATGTTTAGGCTTGTGGCCTTAAAACACTAAAGGCAAAATCATATGCATGTTTAAACAAAAAATTCCTACAACTCCCAGCATGCTAGCTGGGGCATGTTGAGTTCTTCCTCTAAACATGTGTGGGATTGCACATTAAATCTTGTCTTAAATGGGAGAAAAGAAAAACCCAAGGCATAGAATCTGTTACTGACTTTGAAAACATTTCTTTATATGGGAAAGGAAAAGAATTCAAGGAAATATTTGGAAAGCCAGCAACATTTTTTTTTGTGTGCTTTGGGAAACTGACGAGTTCAAGTGTTCAGATTTTAACTCTTTCTCTGAATTTTCAACTTTGATGCTAAAAAGGAAAGTTTAACAGTAGTCATCACCAGCATTTAAATTCTAAACTGAAATAGCTGGGTGCAAAGCCATACTCTAAATGCTACATATTGTGCCTTAGCACGCTATGGCTCTAACCCAACACATCCAGGGTCTGCGCTTGCCTTTGACATTCTGAGCAACCATTGTGCATAATGTGCTCCGCAGCTGAACCCTGGCATCCTAGACAGACTGTAGAGGTCCCCAGGCTCAAAGCAAGTTTTAGGACTTGCCAGTTTGGGGAGGCTAGAGTTTTGCTGGCTTGTACTCCTTAGCCCTGACAATCTAATGATGCATTAAATGAGCATAAACTTATTTATTCATCTTTTCTCAGGCTTTGACTTGTATGAATTTGACAGTGGTCAAGGCATATTACATGACTGGTAAACTAAATATATTTCAAATATGACTGGACAGTCCATTGCTTTCTTGATAGATTTCTAATCATGTTTGAGTACTGTACATGTGCAGGTTCCTAAATCTTGTAATCCTTACGTCTCAGCATGGTCTGGGCACAAGATATTTAAAGTCCACCAACCACAAATGCACAGACATAGGATTGTATGTGAATAATCACTATATAAATGGAAAATCGAATATGGTAAACATAGGTCAGAGTGGCTGTGACCTTGTTTTCCTTCTCTGTGTTGAATTAATCTGTGTGATCGGAACATCAGTGTATTAACATGGTGTCTTCTAGACAATATTCATATGGTAGCAGGAACAATTTTTTAAATGCACAAAAATTTATTTAATATTTGGAATATTTCTAAGCCCCTCTTAAGCAAAGACGCTCAGGGTATCTGATAATCACAAATCTGGATAGTAACAAATATTCTGACACTACCATGTTTTCCCCCAGATAATAATTTCATTTTCACACTGATTTATTAAACAAATTTTTCTCGTGCAATTTTCAATTTATTTATTATATTCTTAATCCACCCAATAGCAAACATTCTCTCAGTAGATTACAATCTATTAAAAGAATAAAACATAATATATATAATTAAAAGACTACAATGCCAATATGTAAAATAGAGAGTTGTCATGACTAATGGGTGGTATAGAAATTAAGTAAGTAAAACAATGCAATTAAGTATAAAATGGCAAGCATTCCATTAATAGACAGATATAAATAGCTGCCATATCATCTAAAAAGCAATAACATGTTTGAGAAGAAAAGAAACACCTTTATGTCTCAAAAAATTAACAGTGTAGGCACTAGGTGGGCCTTCTTGAAAAGTTCATTCCATAAGTGGGGTGCTACAACAAAGAAGACCCTTCTTTATTTCAGCCAACTGTCTATTTTCCTTCAACTGGAGAACCTGGAGAAAGGCCTCTAAAGAAAATATGAAGGTCCAGGCAGGTACACATAATCTTGATTGCCTATGTTCCAATACTGCGAGATACTACAGACTCAGTTAATTGTACCAAAACAATTGACTTTCCCTTTAGCGATCGCATAAAATTTCCCTGTAGGGAATGCAACCATTGACCTGTCTCGACCAGTACTGTCTGTTGCTCCAGCACCAGTTCTGCAGTCACACTTTTTACAGCCCTGCTACCTGGCCTGTTGCTGCTAGAGGACTCCTCTAAGAAAGAGCATCTAGAGCTACCGGAAATGGTTGCCAATGGCCCATCCACACCTGAAGAGCAGGAGCAAGACACTGAGCAAGCTTGCAGCTCCTGGGGGTGTCATCACCCCAAGCAGCCGGCTATTGTGCCTCCTGGGAGAAGGAGTACCTGCTTGCAGAAAAGGACTGCTCAAGAGAAAGGAACTCCTCTAACCAGAGAGTTCTAATACACTTAGCTGAGTTTTCAGTGGGGTTCAGAAGACTGGTATTAAAAGTCTTGAGTAGCTGTCTAGTCAGCACGGGAAACAACAGTTTCAGTGTTTTCTGCCCTGGTTCCCTGGACCTTACCTTGATGATAGATACTTTGTGCTGCTGACCCTTGGACCTCTGCCTGACTCTGCTTCTGGGCTATGTAATCTATCAGTTTAACCGTGCTGTAACCTCTGCATCTACTTTGATGAGTCCTGCCTGCAGGCTCTCTTCCTGGACTGAACTCTCAGTGCTTGGCAGTCTGCTTGTGTTGTGACCTTGCCTGTTGGATTGCCATTTTGGTCAAAGCAGGATAGCACTTGAGTTTCCTTTTTTAACTGGCAATCTCATGCATTGAATTGCCAAAGTATAGCTCATTAAGTTATAGCTGTAACTCTTCTCTTTATAGAAGTGGCTTTGCACAGTGGACTGGTTCACACCTTACTGGAACCCATTTTCCCCATGAGTTCATTCATTCATTCATTCATTCATTCATTCATTCATTCATTCAATGTTTCATTTGATTTATACCCTGCCTTTTTCTTTCATAGAATTCAAAGTGGCTTACATCATTCTCCTCCTGCTCTTCTCAATCTTATCCCTTTGAGGTAGGTTGGGCTGAGAGGCTGTGACTGGCTCAGAGGCATGTGAGGAGTGAGGACCAGACCCAGGTTGCACAAGTCCCAGACCTGCGCTCTTAGCCACTACACCACACTGGTCCTCTCACTGAATGAATCCTAGATTGCATTTTCCCTTCATGACTGCAGTGAGGGAATCAGAAGTCTTTGCTGTAACAAACCACAGTTCCCTCTGATGTCCAAATTCAGGGGACTGCAGTTTGTTTAAAAACTAGTGAGAACAAATGAGTATCAAATTCAACAGATCAATTCTTGTATAAGAAAAGTGTTTGCAAAACTGTGTTTCTCGCAGGTACAGCGTTTTGCAATGTTTTGCAATGGTTTACATGTTTTACAATGACTAATGTTTTACAATGACTGTTTACATGTTTTACAATTGAAAAACAGAAAGTGTGAAGTATCCCTTTTATTTGCGTTTTATTTTATTTTTTGTTTGTTTTATAAAACCACAATCCGCAGTCCCAAATGAGACTCATCATTTCAGTGATGCTAGTTCTTTCTTTCATTTTGCACACTGTTTTAAATTTTCTTTTGTTTGATATTGCAGGGTAATTTCACAGCAAATACTGTGGAAGAGCCAACCAATGCAGGGGGAAAAAACCTCTCAGCACTTAATTCTCAGGAGAAGAAAAAATGCAATGTGCCCTGTGATTTTCAAGCTAAAATGTTAAGAGAAGAAAAGCATTATATGTGTCGTATGTACATTTTTAATTTAGCAGCTCTTCCCTGTTATTCGCTGTTACAAACCAACTTATATAATATCCCTAGGATCACACTATCATACTTATTTGATGGTGTTCACATACCTGTTCATTATGCACTGATTATGAAGTACAGTAATGACTTGTATATGTGAATAAGTGATTACCTATTAATCTCTGTAGCTAAAACTTTCATATTACTCTCTCATACCACTCAAGTTAAGTACTTTTTAGTGGACAAAGTTCAAATATTAGGCCAGGAATTGTATGTTTATATACAAAACTGTCCTTAGGAATAGCTCCTGGAGGAGGAGGAAGAGGAGGAGAGCTTCAAATATACTATCCCAGGGATCCTTATATTAAATCTGTAACATAGCTCAATACTTCTAGGACTATATTTAAGATGGGGAAAGAAATTGGGGCTGAGAGCACAGTGATTTATGGCTGATTTGTGGTTTTTTATTACAAAAATCAATTTGTTTAAATTGTATATCTGAAACACTTCTGAGTGGCAATACCCTGCAGACTTACTAACTAAAGCAGGCTTAATACAACCTTCCATTTAACGGCAATATTTTATTCCACATTTTTAACTCATATCTACTTATTTCTGAACCTCACTAGTTTGCCTTGTGGGAAATGGGTATTTTGTGATGGGTGATGCTCACCATAGCAACCATTTTGTGAGGGTCCACAACACTACCAAAATTTTAAATGTGCCCACCATACCAAAGAGCTTGGGAATTCCTGGTGTGAACTAAATGCATTGTGAGAACTTTTTCATGGCATGTAACATGTAGTGGCCCAGCACAAGTGGAACCAATCAGAGAAGACTTTCCTGCAGAATTTTCATCCTTGTAGACACTGTAGGAAAGAAGGTGTGATTGTCCTCCTCCACAAGGTTATGACCTGTTAAAAATTCCAGCAGCTCTGTGGAGGCACCCACAGAAGAGTAATACTTGAGCCACTGCTGTAATTTGTAAAAGCACCTAAGATGTGTACTTCCCCTGGCCCCAAGAGAGTGACTTTTACAACTTGGTAGCCACATGGAATTGTTTTTCTGAAAGCTTCAATCACATTTTAGACCAACCTATGCAGGGGTCTACTGTGTGGTGGCTTTGTAGTCAGGCACCTTTGGCAACTTAACTCATGTGGGTTCCATACTACCTTGAAAGCCATTAGACAAAGAGAAGAAAGAAGACATAAACCCATAATAGAGATACTCATGTGGGAGTGAGAAAGGAAGCTACACACACTTAGGATAATATAGATGACTTAATATTACTGGCAGTGTACAGGAACCATTTTAAAGGCTTGAAACAAGCAAATATGTGCCTCCAAGCTTGCTTTTTTGATCATCCCATCACCAGCACTGAATACCAGAGAACATGATTCAAACCCCACAAACCACCCAAATCCCAGTCTACCAAAGAAGCCAGCTGGCTCCACTTGATCCATTTTCATGCAGTGCTAAAGAAAACTCCTTGGTGTCCTATTTCATTATTTAAATAACCTCAAAATAATTGACAATCTGTGTTTTTAAAGGAAATTTGCAGAATTCTCTGATTGAATATGCAAGAAGTACCAAAAAAATGATACGGAATATGATGGATGATCACCAGTCTTCTCTGGATTATCTTTCCAATCAGGTACCATTTATTACTATTGACAGAATACATTTCTTTCTGTAGAAGGCTAATATTACTGAAAAATCTTCTTCAGCTCAGCTAAATGTCAAAACCTGGCTTACTGAATGTCTTGCATCAAAACATCTTGTACCACAGGCCTTCAGCAGTTGGTACTTGTTCTCTACTCTGTGCAAAGCAAACTACTGTTCTCTTTCTCAGTGTTAAAGAGAAACAAAACAAAACCAAGTTGTGCAAATAGATATCCAGATTAGTAGTGATTCAGAAGAGAGCCTCTGAGAGCTTTGCCCAGAATACCCAGAACTAGTCTGAAATGTTTATCCTGTATGACCATGGGTAGTTCGGGATTTTGAAGCTAATATCCTTTAAAATATGGAGTTTAAGTTATGCACATGATCCAGCCAGAATTAAGCACTCCTTGGTCACCTTAATTTTATTACAAGAGATGAAAGGCTGAACTGCTAGTGGCATTATTAATGCAATATATTAATAAGGCAGCATTACTAATGTGGTATACAGGATTAAAGAAATGGCATGGGTTGTGTAGGGATTTAAGGTTTTGCATCTCTGCTGGTCCCAATCAGAACTGCCCCATGCTGTGTGTTTGTTCTTCATGATGAAAGAAAAGGTCCCATTGGTGCCAAAGGTACTTTCCCACCATCAGTAGGCTTGTGGGGGTAGGTGGGTGTCAGATGCTGACTGGGACCACTTTAAAAATCTTTTTAAAAAGCCCCTTCCCTCACAATACAGTTCCAGTCCTTTTAGGAAGGTGATGTGTCCTCCTTTACAGAGGACAATCCTCTATTCAAAGGAATCATCTGTTTGAAAGTCTGCCCAGTTCAGAACTGGTTTAAGGATGGAAAAACCTAAGAAGGGGGAGCAGCAGAAGACATGAAGGTGCTCATCAGCAGTTAGTCCCTGGACTTCGGACTGAACAGACAGGCACATGCTTCTTCCTCAGCATGAAATGGCCTTTATTGCTACATTTTAATAATTCTATATTTGCATGTATTACATGTACTCTTTTGCTCTCCTTTTTGTGACTGCTAAGAAGCCACCCTACACACAGTACAAGTTGTTTGCCTATAAAGGGTGCTCACTAAATTTGTAAATGATTTAGATTTATAGAACAAGTACACGTGGCCAAACCTTGTTGGCCTGTAGTTTGGGCGATGGGACACCATCTAGTGGGGGTTTCTACTGAATAAACATGTGTAGGCACATCTTTCTCTCATTAAGATCAACGGGACATGCAGCCTCATGATCTGTATCTTGATGCAGAATTAAGTCCTGCTTAGTTCAGTGGTGCTTAATTGCAAATGCATCAGACTAGGAATACAGACTTAGACATACTTTGGTTGGATCATGTCCCATGTTAATATTTTGAGGCCCTGAGTCTGATGATTTAAACATTCCTCTTCTTGTAAAACACACAGGTCAATGAACTTATGAGTCGGGTAATGCTTTTAAACGCAGAAATGTCTAGAAAACCAATTGAAGTATTTCCTCATCGAGCTGTTCAGTCTCACGGTAAAGACATTTTCTCCCTAACATTTACAGTTTCTCTTTTAGCTCTCTAACACTTCTGGAAAAGCAATGGAAAGATAATAAAACTGTAAGATGTTAAAGATAATAAAACTGTAAGATGTTAAAGATAATAAAACTGTAAGAACAACGGCAAACTTTGTACCCACCTCCCCACCATCGATATATTATGACATTGCTCATGTATATTACTGAGCATAGTCAAGTTTGGTTTGTAAGGGCTAATTCTCTGAGCTAGGAATTTCCTTCTTCCTAACATCTACTTACATAGCCCCTTAGAATTGTTGTAGAATTAGTACTAATAATTTCTATAGCATTCATAACATGTTCATTCCGTCTTAAATCTTACTGTGTCCAGTGCTTTGTAATCTTTGGTTTATAGCTTGATTTACTTATTTTGTATTGTTCTTATGCATTGCATTTTAATTCTTTATTCCTTTATTAATTTATGTAAACTACTCTGGAATTGAATTCAAAGAAGGACTGTATAAATGTCTAAAAGAAAGATATAGATCCTCATAGTGCACTGGAATCTAACTTTCCAGACTCCCCAGAAGCAACGGATTGGCCAAGCCTTAGACTTAAAGCACTTGTTTGACTCAGGAGTATTGAACTAGCCCCAAGCTAGTCCAGCTCATTAGTGGTCCCAATTCAGCCTTCCAAATCATCACACCCCCTTCCCCAGCATCCACCCCCTTTCTCCCAATCATCAATTGTTTTGCACATTTTTCAACATTCTAAAAGTGTGAAATGCTTCTTCACAGACTTAGTCACTGGCAACAAGGAGCCATACCTTAAAATATGTGGATAATTTGGCCCTGCCCGTTTTGCCTTGGGTACCACCCACCACTGGAACATGGCATCCGAGAACTCTGAAATCAAATCCAATCATCAAGCATAAAGAAATTCAACTTCAATAGTTTAAAACACTCCATATATTCCTTTCCTATGGTAAGATTAGCAAAAAAGGGTCACTGGTGCTGAGGGGCAGTGAAAGTGAGCTCCCCTGGCCTTCATCTTTATGAATTTTCTTGAGAGATAAAGCCTTTTCTGAGAATTCTCTGAGAAAAACATGTTCTAATCCTGAAGAAGCAGTTGGGTGCTTACTGACCACTTGCTATGTGTGAAATTAGTAGCAAACAATGCTATTTGGAATAGTGCAAGGATCTGCTGGCCAAATGACACATTACACAATGCAGCTGTGCTTGACACTAGCTTTCAGAGAGGCCACATAGCCCAGCCTGCCACAAACTGGTGTTCTCTAGATGCAGCTCCCATAATTCCCAGCAATGGGGGTAGGGAATTAAAGGAACTGCAGTCCAACATTTCCAGAGAACTCCAGATTGTGGCAGGCTGAGGAAAGCTGGGTGAACCTTTTCCCATCCAGCCACTTTCTTCAGAAGTTTCCTCCTCACCCAGTCACCTCTTTATATCATATGCATGGATCTGTTAGGGGATCACAGTTAAGGGTAGGATCAATGGAAAAGTTACTGTCAGAGAAATGGCTAATTCATACTTCAGTTTATATTTACTTGCCTGGGAGTAAGCCCCATTGAAAATGATGGAATTTTGGTGCAAAAGGGTATTGGGTTGTGCTTTCAGTGTTTCCTGTTGGCATTTTTAAAAATAAAGTTGAAGCTGAACTTCACTGGATAACATTGCCCTGCAGGTTTGGATTGCAGCGATATTAAGGATACTATTGGCTCTGTTACAAAAACGCCAAGTGGTCTCTACATAATCCATCCAGAAGGATCAAGTTACCCCTTTGAGGTAATATGGATTTTTCCTGTTGATTACTTGGTTGGGAGGTCTTTTCCTTTTCCTTTCCTTTCCTTTCCCTTCCCTTCCCTTCTCCCTTTTTCCCCGTTTCTTTCATCAACATTAAAGCAATCCCAGTTTCCATAGCAGTGGAATAGCACTTCTTATACTGCTTTGCTCCTTCAAACCTGTTCTCCACTCTACATTATAGAAACTTGGTGGTAACTCATCCAGCCCACATGCCTGCTGCCTCTACATGTAGTGGGTCTATTAAACCTATGAGAAAAACAGAGTTTTAATAAGTGCCTTTGCTTCTTCACTACATTGTGATATTGCAGCCAGCAGGGCCTTTCACAGCCATGCACACAATACTTGCACCAGAGATCAAAACTCCCTCTTGGGTTCAGTTCAGCATTGTTGTTTTTGCCAGATCAGCCTTGTGTGACTAATAAAGACCAAGAAAATGTGTTTTTAATACAAAAGTTCAGATCTTTAGAATAAGGACTGAGCAGAGGGAGAACATGAAATTAAAGTTGAGTTGGTGCTTGCAAACTAAATGGGTACTTTAGCTGCCAATGTTCTGAAATGATAAACAATCTGCTTTTGAAAGGTGCACAATTAATTGAACCTTTAAAAGGCCACTTTATAATAGCTCCAGCCAACTGCTTATTGGTATGATAAGTGGAATAGAAATCCTGCCATAAACACAGGAGGATTGTTTTCCTCTGTCTCGATCACAGTGGCATAGGGTACCCAATTAGGTGTTACCAAAAAAGGACAAAAGGGATTACCGATTTGCATAAAATTTGCACAAGCTAATTGACATGAATCAGTGAGAAGTTAGAAAAATATAATTTAAATAGACGTAAACATTCGTAGTGGGGAAGACTGTCACCAGGTGATCTGTGTACATTTCTGGTAAGTTTGCTATCTGGGTGCTAGATGTTGATGGGCAACATAAAGGCCCTTGATCTCCTTCCTCCCTCTTTAAACTGGAGTTGTATTGGAGAGCCTTCAGTTCTTCAAAGAGAGGGCAGCCTTCTGCGAGCTCTTTCAATGCTAGACACTCACCTTTAAAGGGGGACCCAGGGCCACCCTATAAGAAGTTACTGCATCATCTTGAAACAAAGACATGCATTGAATGAGAAGGCAAGTAGCCTCTGCTAGAAACTGTGAGGGACTGGGGTGGGTGGATCTGTCAGTTTTGCTTTCTGCTGCAATCGGCATTTTATTTCTCAAGTTCTTTCTATCCCAGATAGGAAGGACTTTGTTAATTTTGGTAAATTCTTTGAAAATGAGCTGAAAAGAAACTTTCTCTTCACCCATCTAAACTATCCAAGTTAGGTAGCTGCTCTTATTCTCAGCATAGAGAGGAATATAATTACCTTGCATTCCGTAGAGCCGTTAAAGACGCCTGCAAGAAAAAAAGAAGTGGTCCTAATTATGGATGAACACACAGAGATTTGATCCAGGCTTTTAAGATCAAAGTACTCAAAGCCATGGATCTAAGATGGATAAATTTGTTTTAGCTTTCGCCTACACTTGATTTTTGAAATAACAAAGATGATAATTTAAGGTCAGTTTTTCCTCTTTTAAAAAAGTTTCCAACATTTAGGAATTAGTGCCAATGTCTACAGAAGCTGAAGTCATCAAATAAGTTTGCTTATGTTTGCTTGTAGCACTGGCTGGAGATCAAGAACCAAAGGGAAAAGGAAAAACATGGTTATATAATGTGCAATAATAACCAAGATGGAGGAGTTAACACTGAAAAGAAAATTGGGTAACATTTCTGATTTAAAAGTGTCTAGGGAAGGAAAATCAGATACAGTTATGTCCAAAAGCCCAAGAAATGGGTGCGCCTGAGGAATAAAAGGATGTGGTGGGAAGCTGGGATTGGGAAATGCTCACATGAACAGAGCCTCCACAATTAAATTTTTATGGAAGGCAGCAGGAGGAGAAGGACATTTGGGCAGCAAGTCAGATTGTCCTTGGGGATCGAATGCAACTTTTATTCCAGCAAGTGCCCATGGACAGCAGTGTGCTGGGGCAGATGACAGACGGGTTTGGGGCACCAGTCATACTGGAAAACCTCTCAACCCCACCTCTGATGCCAGTGCAAGCTTGTAGAATTCAGAGAACAGGGCACAGGGAAAATTGGCTATTAGTCCCTACAGAAATGAAATTAACAACAGTTGTGACTGACACACATGGGTGAAGGAAAAAACAGCATTCCAGAGATATTCAAATAGGGCCTCCTCTTGAAAAAAGTGATATATGCATGCTCAAAAGAGCAAATGGTTAAAATGTTTTACTTGAACAATAAATTAAGCTTGCAGATTGCTTTACCTACCCAATGAATCTATTTATGCTATCATTTATCCTGACATAGCAATCCATAGCAATCCACTTCAGTACTTGGATTTGTTTTCATTGGCAGTTTGATAATGATCAGGATTCCTCATAACAATAACCCATCAGTTTAAAAACTTGCAGGTCTACTGAGTACCATGTGCCTGTCTCTCCTGCTTTAGCATACAACCCATGTTTAGCTTCTTTGTAGGCTGTGCAGCAAGACATGCAAACCCTGACCACTGGGTTGCTGTAGGGCTAAATAACCCAATGGTTAACCTATACTTGGTTTTTAATCCAATCGGTTGCCATTGCATACAAACATAACCAGTCTAAAATAAGAGAGATTCCAAACAAAACCTGGAAATGTTACAATGGCCCTCTTTGATTAATATGCAGTATTGGTTTTGTCACTTGATTGAATGTTCAAACCCTAATGATGGCTGGAATATTGACTAGTTTTAGATGTTAGTTGGCACTCATATATGCTGCTTGGCACATTAAACAACATTTTTATGCTCAGTCTGTGCATTTCTGACACAGATAGAGCTCATCTAACCAAAATCTTAGGTTTGGCACTTGTAGCTATTCCTGTCATGCCCAAATTTAGAGATGCTATTAATCCATAAGTTTTAATCCAACTCAACTTTTGAGTTGATGATAATTGATTCTAAGAACCATATAATCCTTCATTTCTGGAACCCATATTTGACTTTTTATTTCATAATGCTCCCCTAAAAACCACGGACACAGTTATGGTGTGATCTAAACTGACACCTCCATCAGAACTGATGACTCGTGCAGTGATGTCCAGAGATCTGGAGATTTTGTGACATTCTACCCATTTAAAAAAATCCACCGCTGGCTCTGGCTGTGTGAGTCTTAGAGAAGAGTCTGGGAATTGGGTATACCCTGCAGTAATTTTCTTCTTGGAGTTGATAAAACAGCCATGTGATGCTTGGAGCACAAATGCCACAGTAGCTGAAGGTGATGGCTTTGCTGAACCAACTGAGAATTCCAGATCCAAATTAAAAGCAATTGTTCCACTATATCCCCTTCTGAATAGATCTGACGATGCTGCCTTTTCTGGGGTGGTGACCTCTCACTTGAATAAACCATTCCAAGATTTCTTTAAGCTAGGAAAGTTCTTTTCCTTTAAATCTATATTTTATATACAAATGTCAGTATTTATTTTGCATCATGGGTGCACAGTGTGGATGGAAGAAAACCATATTCCAGCTTTATTATTAACTGTTCTTATCCAAGAGTTTTCCCCGCCTTTATTCATTTTAGGTATTGTGTGAGATGGATTTTAGAGGAGGAGGATGGACAGTGATTCAAAAGAGAACCGAAGGGATGGTTGGATTTCAAAGGACCTGGTCTGACTATTTGGATGGATTTGGTGACCTTGCAGGTACAAATTACATGTATGGGTGCACACGTACACATAGTCGTCTTTTTTGTAGTCACCCCAACCTAGCTAAGTTGGACTCAGGAATGTGGTCTGCAGGCAAGGGCCGAGCCCAGTCCAGCAACTGGAGGTGGCATGTTGCTTATTTATCATTGCTACATCTGTGTCACACACTTTCATTCAAAGAGCCCAGGGCAGTATGCATCATCTCCCCCCCCCCCCACTGTATCTGCACAACAGCTCTTCGAGGTAGGCGATACTGAGCGTCAGAGGCCGGCCCAGAGTCCCCCAATGGCCTTCAAGGCTGAGGAAGGGCTACAACCTGGATCTCTGGAGTTTACACTGCATTGGTTATGACCTTGAGAAGAATGGTGTGACTGTTCTGAATGTCTGAATCTCTACTTTCTGAAAGGTGGGACCTGAAGAGGGTATTGGAGGGTAATGCCAGAAAGATATTAAAAGTGGGGAAGTGTTGGAAATAGTTCATCCAGTGCACACATTTCCTGTCCGTGAAATTGAATGTTCTTTTACCTCATTCAATTACATGGTCAGAGCATATCTATGTCACTTTTAAGAAGAAATCCATGGAATAAACCTCACTGATGTTTCCTACTGCATCCATGGAGCATTTCCCATTGTTGCTGTCTTCAGGGGCAGGTTTTCATTCAGCTGAACCAGCACTCAGAGTATCAGAATATTAGGGTGTTTTTTGGTGGAGTGTTTTGTGGCAAAGTGACCAAGGGTAACTTAGAAGGAGAGAAGGCTTAGTTTCTGATCTTTGAAAGTTTATTTAAATTCTGTTTACAGGGGAATTTTGGCTTGGGCTCCGAAAGATTTTCCACATAACAAATCAGAAAACTGCCAGCTTCATGCTCTATGTGGGCGTGGAGTCTGAAGATGATTCGTATGCATATGCATCATATGACAGCTTTTGGTTAGAGGATGAAGCCTGCTCCTTTAAAATCCATTTAGGACGTTATTCTGGAAATGCTGGTAAGACTTAGATATTCAAAGCAGGTTCTGAAAATGGGAAAAGGAGGTGACAAAGACATTCTATGTGCATTGCATATTCTAAAAGGGCGTTGCAAAGAAATGACCTTTGGAAGCCATAGCAATGTAAGAACCCAACATAGAACACAAGTTTGTTTCCCTAACTTCTCCATCTTTGTTTTGTAATGGCCAAATTATATGCTGTTTATGTTTTCTGATATTACAGTCCAATGGTCAAAACAGATGTGATGCCATTCACACAGCTAGTTTGGTAGGTGGGCGTTGTTGTTGTTATGGTTTTTTGTTCTTGTTTTTTTGTTATTTGTATGCTGTCCAGAGACTTTTTAGTAATGGGGCAGCATAGAAAAACTTCAAATAAATATATAAATTCCACTAACCATTGGCTGACTCACCCAATCAGCAATCCCATTAGTTGCCTTTTGAGGTAAATTGCAAGAGAGGGGACCTAACCTGGACTGAGAGCCTTAGATGGAGGAGGCTGTAAATCTTGTCTCCCTAACTGTGGCCCCAATTCAGATCAGGGTTCTTTTCTTTGCTGTTTGCATTGGAAAAAGCTCACACTGAAGAACATGGGAGCTTTCTCTAGCAACGCATATAATATGGTCAATGTTCCCCAGTCCAGGTTGTGGGGGACCAAGATTTATAGTGTACTTCCATCCCCATGTGAATGGCCCAATCTAGATTAGGTCCCCAGTCAAAAGGGTCCAGAGATTCCATTTTCCCTTCCATTTGTGAACTTTCCATGAAGCAGGTGAATAATTTTTACGAGCATATAATCAATGAATATGAATGCTGTTCCAGTACATCTGTGTGTCATAACCTTTCCCTCAAAAGAAGCAACTGATGAACATTGCCAAAACTGTTTTTTTTTAAATATTAGCTGTTTAATAGTTAGCTGAATTAGACAAGTGCTTATGAAAGAGAGGTTGCAACAGGCATAACAGATACAAAAGGAAAGTCTTTGCTGAATAAGATGCAGCCTGAGGTCCAAATTCCCAAATATCCCACAGGTTCAAAAAGGGTTGGGGACCCTGGAATGGACACCTGAGATTGTCATGATAATGTAAAGCTGGGTTGTAAGGCCAATACTTAGGCCAGCTAGTTTGGAATAATCTTCATCAGAAACTTTACATGCAGAATAGTGCAAAGGCAGAAAATGAAGGAAAAGATCACTAAACGCTCTGTTAAAGGCTCCAGAAATGGAATCCTGACCATTCTGTGATGGTTCCTTTCTTCATTTCCCTATCACAGAGCAGCCAGTATAATTCTTCTCAAAGTCCACACTTGGTCTGTTGCTTTTCACCACAAGACAGCTCAAGCATTAACATTCTTGCAGCAATTCTGTCAAAGTTCCTGTTCAAGCTGTTCTGTTCCAGAAGAGAATGCTGGGGTTGCCATCGGGAACACATATGGGTCAACTGTTATCACAAAATTTGGCACATGGTTAGCACAACTAACAGAAGCCTCTTGGTCATTGTTTCATTTCTCCCATTTCACTGTGTGATTTGCAAGGATTTGGGGTGCCAAATATTCACAAAACAACTGCTCGAGTATGTCAAGCCCAAGTTAATTAAACCAAGAGCTTGAACTGTAATAATTTCTCCTTCTTTTTGTACCTACAATTTAGGTGATGCATTTCGGGGATACAGAAAAGAAGACAACCAGAATACATTACCCTTCAGTACTTTCGATGCTGACAATGATGGTTGCAATCCAGTTTGCTTACTTCAAGAACAGCCTGTAAAGAGCTGCAGTAACTTTAGTGAGCAGACAGGCTGGTGGTTCAGCCAATGTGGTCTTGCAAACCTCAATGGCATTCATCGGCTCACAAGGAGGAAGCTGAAAACGGGGATTCGGTGGGACACCTGGACAGAGAATGACAAACCTGTCAAAATTAAATCTGTTTCAATGAAAATCAGAAGAACATATTTCAGATAACTGGATGATGTCATTGAAATATATATCTTCCGGAAATCAGGCTAAGAGCTCAGACTAAAATGCACAAAATTTTAGCTTACCCATCCATTCGTAGAAATGTTGGAGACATTTTGCACATTGTATTACTTTGCAATTCTGGGTTCCGCGTACTTATAAATTCTCCATGATGTAGCTGCATTGGCAATATTCTCCCTTCACTGCTGGATGTCACCAGTGGTTTATCACTTTAGCACTTTTATTACATGGACGGGTAAGCCAGAAGCACGATCGCTACAATTTCGATTTTTTCAAATTTTCTCTTTTTTACCTTTATGGTGGGTCAGCAGATCTGGAAAATGGCTATAGTGGCACTAATTTTAAAAAATAGAGGGGACTTTCACACAGTCAGTATTGGACAGCAGTTGCAGAAGGTATCTCAGTAAATCCCCGGGCATGTAGGAAACAAAGCTGTGCAGCAATTCTATTGTGAACAAGGACTCTTTCCCTGAAGAAGGAAAACAGCCACCTTTTTATTTATGTACAGGCACAGCCTTAGCAAGGGCACAGGTGCAGTCACTGGCCATCATTCCAAGGACAGCCAACAAGTGGAGGAACGCTTAACCCATCTGCCAAAGATGAGTAATTGGCAAAGTGCGGGGAAAATGCTCCATAAAGAGGCGCACCATGCATCTCCATGCACAGAGGTTATGCCGGCTAATTTCAGTGGTCTAAACTGCCATAGCATATTAAAATAATTTGAGATTTCATCCTGATCAACAAGGACTGCAAACCTGAACAACTTCTGGAGGTGCCACCTGTACCTGTGTCTCCCTTCATCTCAGAAACCCCAGCAACAGTTTGTCAACATATATTCTGTATGACAGGAGAGTATAACATCAGGCCAGGGGGCCAATGCATCCCACTTGTGCTCCAATCCAGGGCCACACCCAATTGTTCCTAATTGCCCATCATTTGGTGGTTTTCAGGGGGTTTTTGGTGCAGTTTGCCCCCTCACATTCTAAAGGGTTGCAATTACTCTCCTACGGCTTAATTATTGCAAGAGCTTTAGCTCAGATATGCTGGTATTTTGGTCTTTCTCCCCAGTCTGCCCCTGGAATATGGCGCCTAAGAGCATCTCTCAAATCAAGATTAGCCCTGCTGCAAGGCAAGACCATTCCCCACCACCCTTCACTCTAATTGGCAAGCTAGGTACCCTCCCTGGAACTCTATGGAAATGCCACCAATATATCCTTGGAATACAGGTGTGGTCATTTGCACTTGGGGAGCCAGCCTTGAAGGGAACATTCTCAGGAACATGACCTAATTTTGTGTTCTTAGTTGAAGGTAATATGAGCTAATTTTTCCCTAGCAATGAGGCTGTAGGGAGACTATGGCATAAACCAGATTCGAAATAAAAACACATGTCTTGCAAGACAGTATATTTGGGGTATGCATATCATTCCACAGAAAAATACTCTGTTTGTGATACTCACAGTTTTGTCATCTGGCCAGATAGACACAGAATGCACGAAAATGTACTTTAAGTGTACTTCACCTCCCAGAAGTGCTAAAACAGGGAAAGGGGAAGAATTCATGGGCTGGGGGGAGGGGAGAGAGAAAATAGAGGTTTCTGTTCTTCAATTTCAGTGATTCATGGGCTGAAATTGATACATTTTTCTGAGTATGGAAATAGAGCTAGAGTATTTGATGGTTTAATAATCTTGGCTTTGCACTTTGTCTACAAATTCAAGTTGTTGAGTGAGCTGCAGTAGGTATCACTGATCTGTTTAGAATCTAGCTGCTAAGATGTATGCATAAAATATGCATTTTTTATCACCAGAGTTAAGAGTACATCCAGATGCTGGTATGAAGAATACTGTTACATTATTTTATTTCAGAAAAGTATGTTAAATAATAGGAATTGCTTTTTGCACTGTTAGTTTCTAAAGCATGAAACCATTTTTTCCTCTGTCTGCTTTAACTAGATATTTTCCTGTACTAAAGAATATTAACGATATTCCCAATCCCTTAAAAATAATCATTTTATCTGTAGTTGCTTTGTATTTTCAATATGTGGAAATCTTAATTAAAGAAAAATGATACAGCATGAGTCCTGCCTGTTTTTTTTCTTTTTTATGTATTTTCTTGTGTTGTAAGCCACCCCGAGGTTTCAGCAAGGGGTGGCATAGAAATGTTATAATAATAATAATATATTAGTAGTGCTAATGACTGAATCCACATTTGGGGGAACTTTCTGAATCCACATTTGTGGGGAATTTTCTTTGTTTGCTTAGAATAAATGTTGAGATGTGATTTCCTAACTGTTCTGTTTAGCTGCTGTTCTAGCACTGGTGAAGCCTGGGGTACAGAGTTCTATGACTGATCCAGGATTTACTGATCTGGGAGTTGTTGGAGGGAAGATTGGCTTTAGAAGGCAATTAGACCTTCATGGATGATAAGGCTGTCAATGACTACCAGTCATGTTGTCTACATATCACCTTCCAATACTGGAGAGAGTATACCTTTATATTGTCCACCAGTTGCTGGGGAACATGGGTGGGAGGGTGCTATTGCACTCTTGCTCTGCTTGTGCATTTTCTGAGGGCAGTTGATTGACCACTGTGGAAAAGGAAAGCTAGACCAGCTGGATTCTTTGTTTGATCCAGTACAGCTCTTCTTATTTTCTTAGAATCTTGTTTGGAGGAACATTGAGACATGGGGATGTCCAAGAAAGTGGGGAACTTACCTATATCAGTCTTCCTCAGCCTGTTCCCCTCCAGATGTTTTGGACTTCCATTAGTCTTAGCAAGCATGGCCAATGCACAGGTATGCAGGGAATTATGCTCTAAAACATCTGGAGGGAAGCAGGTTGGAGATGGCAGGAAAGGTCACTTTCTATCTGCTCCCAAATATGTAGCATAATGTATAGTGTGCAATTTAAAAATTGCCCTCGAAAGGTCAAAAGAATTTACAGATTTGCATAAAATTTGCACATGCTTATTCATATGCCTTTTGTGCATTTAGATTTTTAAAAAATAATTTAAGTAGAAGTACAGTATACTCCCCATATAGCAGCAGGCTGTGACATGGTGTCTCCACCTGCCCTGTCCAGGTGCTAACTTGATAGGTGATGCTTCAGACAGTTCTTTAAATCAAAATTGGACAGGGCAGCTGTTGCAATAGAGGATACCTTCAAGAAAACAATCCTCAGTCCATCAAATAGAGAACTGTCCTATGTCTAAATATGAATAATAAATGGAGATATAGCCACATTTTCCATTTCCACAGAGTTCGTCATGTACTTTTTATAGGTGCTTGCACATATTATAACAAAAACATAAGTGAACAGTCTCAAATACAAGATGTCTTTTAGTGCCACCAAGCAGCTGAAAAAAATGTTTCTGCCGCAGTTGGGAAAGTGTACGGCCAGACTGCATCTGACGTGGCAGCAGACACTCTGTCTTTTAAACATCTGGAAAGAACAGAGCATTTCAGTCCAAAAAGTTTCCTTTTTCTCTGAAAAGCCTTTCATCTGGGTTTGCAGTCTCTGCAAATGTACTTAGATGACTAGCATCGGTGTCCATTTGCATTTCTTAAATACAGTTCACTGAATCCTCAATAAAGTTTATGTATATATTATCATTAATTGCTCAGTGCAATGTACTTGCACCATTCTGGATTAAGGAGCAGATTTTTAATATGGTGCAATGCAATATTAGAAATGAGGATGACTTTTATTTTGCAAGAATTTCCAAAACTATGGATTAATGTGCAACTGGGGTGCAGAAGTGCTGTTGCAGTAGGAAACTGCACTGTCGTTTGGGAGACTCCTGCTCTTAAACTAAGCAGGCAGGTATACTGCAAGCATCTGCCCCAGTTAGACCTCTACAGGTTGATAAAACAAAAGTATTCTGCTTTCGATGAGGTGCTGTGAATTCTCTCTGAAAGCCATCACTCCCCACTTCAGTGCCCTGCTTCATCCTAGAACTACAGTTCCCAGATCTCTCGGGTTATAAGGAAGGAAAACAAAAACAGAAATAAAAGACCACCAACTAAAAGTCATTAAAAGCATCTCAGATATCATTAAGGTGCAGTAGAACACATAGTACTCCACCCAGACTCCAAAAGACAATGAAGATCACATCAAGTGAACATATCCAATGATAGTGCCATTATTTGGATACCAAAAGGCTCCCTTCATAGTTGCAAACCTAAACTCAGAAGGTTTTATGTTCTTTATTGTGCATTGCCATGGACAAATTTTTGTAGAAAAGTGGCTAGTGCAATTTAAATAATAAAGTCTAGTGACTTCTTAAAGTCTAACTAATGTAATATTGCAGAAGGTGATGAAATGAGCCTTACTCCCAAGATTTGTGTTAAAATAGATGTGCTAGTTTCCAGGGTGCCAGCAGATTGTTGCTTTGGCTGCAATCAATTCGAAATGCTGGCCAAGTTCTCCCAAGCCAAGCTTGCAAATGAGCGTTGGGGGGTTATAGGAATCCTCTCCAAGGAGAGATGAGTTTTAAAACTCTGAGCTGGAAAAGAAATCCTGGCTGCTCCCACTTCTTTCCAAAATCTTCTCAGCTGCCAAAAGCTCCTTTAGACCCCCCACTTCATAAAAGTGGCAGAGGCAGCAGCAAGACAACAGGTAGGAGATGTTGGAGATTTTGCTAAATGGCATTTCCTGTGCTGCACTTAGTGTAATGGAAAGGTCCAAGAAAAGGGGAAAATGTGCCGCCATGTTTTTGTCATACATTCTGAAGCCAGCTTTCCTTTTCAGGTGTGGCAGCTACATTTCTGGAAGAGAGGGGTTGTTTGGGAGGGAATTCACAGAGCACCAAGCAACCTACCTATTCAGTGGACGAGAATATGTGTGAGCCAGGCCAGGGGAAGGGATGGGCAGTGACCCCCTTCCTCATGAAGAGAGTGTGTTAATTTATATAGGCCATGGAGAAGACAAGTTGAGAGAAAATTCTCGATAAGCACCAAGCATTAAATGACTGGCATATTTTTGCTTCGTAAGAAAAAAGGATAGGAGACCTCATCCTGCATCATGGAGTGACTGGCATGCCCCTAGCTCATGTTCTTTACTGTAATTTACACATAAGTAATCCTACTGTTTTGTCTTTCTAGGACATTACTGCAACGTACCTTGTCTAAAACGTCCCTAGCTTTCAGCCCCCTGTCTTATGACGTTTTTCCTCTAAACCAAACATGCCCAGTTCCCCAGAATCTCCATAGGAATAATTTTATAGGGTACTTTTATGCCTCAAAGTATAGGCCCCCAAAGACGGAACAAAAAGTGGATCAATACAAATAATCTTGGGCTCTTCTTGGCTAACCCCTCCATCAACCAGAATTAAAACCTATTGAGAGAAATATGATCTTTAAAATTTAATAGGCCATAGATGAGTGCCATGCAGAGAAAAGGTCAATGGGCCAAGTATTGCTATGCAGTTTTCTTTGTTTTGTATAGCCTTAGGGTGGATTAAACCTGAAATTATCTGCACTAGCCAATATCTAAAAGCCATTCATATGTTAACTGAAGCCTCCTGGGAGGAAATTTCAGCTAGAAATGTGCAGCAATTTTCTTGCCTGAGGCATTTGGCCTGGGGTCAAAAATGACCCCAAATGCTACTAATGCTAGTTTCTTTCTGAGGCCAGAAGAGTAGACAAAGAGATATTGTAAGATATAAAACAAACCAAGTATCTGGCCATCTAGATAAAGTGTA